AGTTAGAGCAAAAATAGTCCACAGATTGATTTTACCAGACGTACAGTTAACAACGTGCTGGGGAATTCGATTGCTCTTGCCATTTCTAGTGAAAAGCAATCCATCTTTAATGTCTTAAGCATCACGTGTATATACAAGGATTGTCCTGTAGCTCAGTTGTTAGAGCATTTGTCTCGGAAGCGAGAGACCTGGGTTTGATTCCAAGGAGGGCAAAATGTTGGGCAAGTTTCCTTACTCCACATGCCTCTGTTTATCTAGCAATAAGTAGGAACCCGATTGTTAGTCGATTGGCAGATAGCTTTTCCATGGATAATAATTCCTTTTTTAAAAAAATTGGTCACTCAATCCATGACTGTTTGTGGGATACTGCTGTGGATAATTGGTTGCTGCGTTTCGCCCACAAAATATACTATCAATTCACTTGGCAGTATATCCTGTGAAGTGCTTTGAGACATCTTGAAGATGTGATAAAGCGCTATATCAAATGCAAGGAATATTATTACTGTATCACTTTGGTTTATGAGATTGACCTGTTTATGAATTCAGTATCGCAAGCCATTGAAAGTCTCAAACGTTCACTTTTATTTGGTTTTACCCAACTGGTTTTGGATCGCTGGTATAGCCCATCTTGTACAAATACGGCAGGAATCGTCGAGCTACAATGCTACGACTGTGTTTTGCTGTCAAAAAAGACCATTGTTTGTGAATGTAGAAGGGCAGAGGAAAAGGGAGTTTTCCATAATTCAAATACCTTGTTTAGTATCGTAAATAGTTATCGTATTCATCACAAGACGTCTCCTAGCGGAGAGGTTATTTTAATCGCAACTTCAAGTCATTCTCTTTAAAGTATACTGTATAAAATTGCTGTCACACAAGGATGCTGTAAAACTTATAACTATACTTCAGCTGTTCTATATATAGCTGGTGATTTAACGCTCCATTCGGGGGAAAAGCTGAGGGTGGTTTCCGTTGCTGTGGACTATCTTGGCTCCTGGCCGGATCGCAGATCCAAAGCAGAGATCAGAGTTTTAGTGATTGCAGCAGATGTGACTGACTTTTAATGCTCTGGAATGACTTTTTGGCTCTGATGCACACACCAACCATGGAGGTTGGCCAAGAGAAGTTCTTTCCCCATTTTAGTTCCCTATTTTCAGGAGCTCTGAAAGCTGCTTTTTTTTTTGAGTGGCAAAATGTCCCTGGCCAAAGGAAAGAGTAGGTTTGAAGCGGCTGTGATTTGAGTGTGGTCAATGAACGATAGCCTTTTTTTAATATATAATTATTATGAGTGAATAGTCCTTGACCAGGTCCTCCTCTTTTGCTCTTTCTAGCCCACGGCCAATTCTATTAACCATTAACCTCACTCTGGCCTAACTCTGGATCTTGCCACTCCACTAGCTTTCCATTTAGAAATCCTGACTTGGAAAATCAGGGAATGGAGTCAGAAATAAAATTCCCATTGGCTGTTGAGTTCAGCTTGAGGGCTGGAATGAGAGAGCCGATGTGACGAATTCAGCATCATGTTCACGGCATGTTTGTTCAATAGTGTGTCAGGGAGATCAGCCCCTCCACCCGAGGATACAGCTGAGAGTGAAACCTGCAAGAGAAAGATTAATGTGTCAGAATTGCGAGGTAATGCTATCAGCCACTCCCCTTCCCCTCCACTCCCTTCTCCCCCCCCCGACCCCAGCTCGGGTCTGAAATGCTGCACTCTGACCAGCACCTTGGGACGTCCACCCGACGTGAAAGGCGCTATACAAATGTAATCTTGTTGTTGTTGTAATGGCCTCATGCCCAATGAGAGCACTCTTCCTCACCAACTTGGGGTGAGTTGAAACTTCAAAGAGCCCTGGGACAGCTAGCGTTGCGTTCATTGCTAGTCATTTTGGCCATTCGCACTGGTTAAAGCAGAAAAAAATAACAAGGCTGATCCAGCCACAAGTCAGTAGTCACATTCTCATCTGTTTACTTCAACCATCCATTGGACCAGAACCCTGAGTTGGCACCTTTGAGGGAAGAGAGAGAGAGTGTGTGTGTAAAATGTATACACAGGGAAAGTCCTTAGCTCCCTGGCAGCACTCCAGTCGTTTCAAATTACATTCTTTTTGAAACCGCGCTGCCTTTTAGAGTGGTGGAAAAACAGAAAAATCTGTCTCAAGAATCATAGTGTTGCCTTCTATTGCGTCCGGGTTAGTGTCTTGATTCCCATCTCTCTTTGCCATTTTTAAAAAATTTATCTCGTTTTCCCCAGTAGCTGTTCACATGGTGTGGTTTCCAGTAGCGTCTAATTTGAGCCTAGCTTTGTAGTTTAGAATTTCCTGGTGTTAATGACCGACCGGTGGCAGTGCTAACAGCTGAAGCTGAGTCCATGGTTTCTACAAGTAGCAATGACAGGCTGTTCAAACTCAGCACTGGATTTGTTTTTTTGCGGTTGGGTGGAGAGGGAGTGGTGGGGCAGAACTGATGGCAGCCTTTGCTTTTTTTTACTGACCACCATATGTAAAACCAATATGTATAGAAGGAAGTTTGCCTTAATCTCAAAGCACTCTGGGTGTTGCTCTATTGTCTGAATCGGGAGATTGCATTGCACCGTTCCGCAACCAAGCTGTCGCCTCCTATAATATATAGTTTGGGAAACGTCATGTCAAGTGACTGCCAGAATAGTGCAAGATGATCTGGATGCACCTTGGTCTTCTTTCGTCCAGCAAATTCTTATGCTCTTCTTAAACTGCACAATAGAGGATCACATCCATCGCTTGACTGGAAACAGGGTGGCAACTAGTAATGAGATCAAGTACTCTGATAGCACAGCAGTGCTGGAGGGGATCCGGTTGCAGGTAAATTTGGAGTATTCAATGACTTATTTATGTCCCAAACGTTCTTTCACGTGCAGAGTTAATAGTTTGTTCAGCATGCTTGGTGGTGGTAACGGCACAATGTGGGTCAAACCAATTTTGAAAAAACTTTTCTGGTTTCTACTTCAAATCCCTCCGGAACCCGGCCCTTACATCCCTCTCTACCTCTGTAGTCTCCTCCAGCCCCGCTCTCCCTCCCACTCTCTCCATGTCACTTCCCTCTGGCCCTCAACCCCCATTGTCAACAGCTGGATGCACATACACCACGAGCACACGCTCGCTCATTCTCTTCCTGCTTTCCAAAGCCTTTTAAGAACCTACTACTTCAACCAGATCTTCAGTCCCTTCCTCCCCACTTCCACACTTCCTGGCCTGCTCAGATTTCCACACCATCCCTGTAGGAAAAGCACTATAAATACCCGTTTGTTATTCTTCTCTTGTGCTTTTTTTTGCTTGATTTTAAATAGTAAATTCCAGTATGGTTGCATCTGTTCTCTGTTTGTAAGTGAGTTCCCAATTAGACTCTTGCATTGTGGACCTGCCTGGCATTTTGAACTGTCTAGTCAATAGGACAGTGAATAAGACTCGCAATTCCTGAATTGTTTGGCTCAACAGGGATGTTGATGGCAATGGGAATGGGTCGCTCTGACCTTGACTCACTAAGTCATATCCAGGCAGTGAATGCAAACGGCTTGACATTTGTATTTGTTTCAAGATTTTCTTGCAAGCCAATTGACAGCTTTGTCAATTGCGGTGAATTTGGGGGTTGGAGAATATTGGGAGCATTAACCTGAGACTTTCTCTAGTCCTCATTCCCCAGCTGAACTGTTTTGATGTGTGAAAACAGCTGCTGGAAGACCTGTCCACTTTTCCAGCCCAGGCACAGCATTTGGCGTTTGAGTTCCAAACACTGTGTTTGGGTGTGCCTCTTCTTAACCGCTGGTGGGCGTGCCTTTTCCTGATCTTCGATGATTGTGCCAACTAATAGGAGCAGCATCGTTTACCTTAAACTTCACAGGTGGACAGCAATCTGCAGCGGCTTGGGAGAACACGACTGTCGCTGCAACTCTGCCTGTGAAGCGTTCTTGAGGGGTTTTGACAAGTTACTATAAAAATGCAAGTTTTCTAAAAATAATGTACAGTTTCGGGATTGCACTCGGTTTATTGGCAAAGCACGTGGCTGATGAGCAGGTAGCAAATGCCCAGCCATTTTAGGGGAAAATGAATGTATTGTAACAACAACGACAACAAAATCACACTTGTATAACGCCTTTCACGTCAGGAGGACATGCCAAGGCGCATTATAGGATTGCTAGGACAAGCGGGACGTTTTGCTGGGCAGGGTGTTCTTTATTGAATTAACCTCAGAGGTTCGAAGGACTCTTTTGAGACTGTGTATGTATGTGTGTTGGCGAGGAATGTGGAAAATTCTGCTTCAAATACAGTGAGGGTTCACCTAAATGTCAGCGAATTGTTTCTTGTTTTTTTAAAGAAAACATAAACTGCCATGCTGAGACTTTTAAAAGAGGGGAGACTAGCAGACGTTCCAAGCTTTTATATGAGAGCTCAAACGTCCAAGTCAATGCAAGTCTTGTTTTAATCTGTCCACTAAACACATCCACGAGACTGGTTTTGTTAATTAAAGGCTGGAAGTGATCCAACCTTATTCTCACCCTCCCAGAGAAGGATTTTGTGGAATTTGCCCTTCCCGCTGGTTCCTTGCAGTGACTGAGAGCTTGAATCCCACCGGCTCATGTGTGTAACTCTGGGGTAATTGCTATTACACAGGAATCTGTGTGTCAGGCCAGCTGGGATGCACACAGACAGGGTACGGGTTGGGTGTTGGACCCTACTTGTCTTTTCTCCTTTCACCCTGATAAGCTTTTATAATACTGAATGCCTTTGATATTGCACCTGTGGTCTTGTCATTTACAAGACACACTGAACTGTGTGCTGTGCATGTATGACTGGTGAAAATCTGGACCAATTTAATGCTGCTTTATTGAACCCTCTTGTTGTGTCGTGGATTATTTACTATTATATTCTCAGCACAATTGGATCACTTCCCCATGACTAACAAATTAGTCTAGAGCAAGGCGTGCGGTTTGGAAGAGTCGTGTGCTAATGATTACATTCTTTTGCTTTCAGTGGGAAGTTAGTTTCGCCTAAGTGGAAGAATTTTAAAGGATTGAAACTTCTGTGGAGAGACAAAATCCGACTCAACAATGCTATATGGCGAGCGTGGTACATGCAATGTAAGTAAAGCCACTTCCCTTTTTCCTCTCAACATCGCAGTTGAGCCCGGCTCTGTTCTTGGCTGATGTCAACACGTACGCTTTCTCTCTCGGCCCTGATCTGGAGCGAGGCCAGATCTATATCTGTTTGTGAAGACTCTGTACATTTCTGGTTTTGATGCCCCGTCATTCAACAATAAATTGTGAGCGTTGTCATCACGTTGTTGTTTCCAAAGAGGCCTCTAAAGAAGCGTAACAACTAGTAAATGCGGTTGGTTTGTGAACTTCTGTAGCTTAGTGGTTAGAGAGCTCGCCTCGCACGCTAGAGCACATGGGTTCAATTCCCAGGTGGGGCGAAACCTGCGGCAAGTTCCTTATGGCTCTGTTCACCAACGGTAATGAGGAACCCGATTGTTAGTTGATTAGAGGGTCGCTTTTCCGGGGGTAATAACCCATCAAAAATAATAATAGTAATTTGTTTTCTCAATCCGCTGCTGTTTGTCAGACACTGCGGTGCGTAATTGGCTGTCGTGTTTTGCCCGACAAAATATACAGTCAATAAACTTTACAGTATATTCTGTGAAGCGCTTTGAGATGGTCTTGAAAACGTGATAAGGTGCTCTATTAAATGCAAGGATACCAGGGTTATTATTGTTTTGACTGTGTAAAGATTACTTGAATTGTGTATTTGTTGGGTAGGTGCATGGGGGTGGGAGGGGGGAGATTTCTTTTAACAAACAAAAGCGCTATTAAATATAAAATCCACTAAAAACAGTCAACCTCCAGCAATGTGCAGACCACTCTCAAAGGTGTAGTGTGCTGCTTAGAACCAGGGAGCCCACATTGGATCCTGTTTGACCACTTCTGGATTCGCTCCTCCCTTTACGTGTTGCCTGCCCTGCCGTAGGGCAGTTTCAGGGAGCCAGTAACTGTCACTGTGCCCGCATAAGCTTGTGCTTGCGGAGTTGTTTTTCCTGTGAAATCAAAACTTGTGTTTTTCCATAGTTGTTGGGCAAAGCCGGAGACATTGGTGTAGATGCACTGTTCAGAGGAGTTCTGCAGGCCCAGCGTTGCGTTGAGAATCATGCAGTCGAATATTTTTTCCCTATTTGTAACGAGAGATTTCTTTTCTCGTAGATGTAGAAAAACGAGACAATCCTGTCTGTCACTTTGTTACTCCATTAGATGGAACTATTGAGTTTGAGGAGCCTCGTAGACCTGAAGTAAGTAGTTCGTGCCCGGGACAAAAACAATTCGAGCATCAAATTCAGGCTGTTCGTTCTCTCTCTCATTTTACAGCTTTGCATACAAACTCATGATCCCACCTTCACATACAAGCACTGATTGTTGCTGACTTTCTCAATACTCCACATGTTTGCCCAGAACTCCCTGGTCACGGCTAAAGCTGCATTCAATGAGAAATAAAATGTTTGAATCCCTTAATTGGTAGCCATACTCCAAACAGCACATTTCCATTTGATATTGCCATCCATGTTTTCATAGCCGCTCACACTGCACTCACAATAACTATCAGTGGGAGTGACGAAAGGAACATCGCTGTGTCTTGTCTAATTGTGATCGCTCCCGTCACCCACGGCCATAAACTGCAGAGAGCAGCGGACTGTTGTCTAAACGATTCTGTTCTTTTTCGAAGGCGACTGCAACGGAGGGAAAGTTCTGGAAGCGAAGGATTGAGATTGTGATCAGAGAGTATCACAAGTGGCGCACATATTTCAAAAAACGAGTACGTTGAGTATCAAATTCACCCTGTTCTCTTTCTTGCCTTTACTATTGTAGTTTTAGTTGGGGTATTTAACCCCCTGGAAATATCTATATGGTATATCTCTGCCATGTGTTAAAATATCTCTGCCATATGTTAAAAGGTCTGTTCAAGTGTACAGTTGAATTTAATGCTGGTATTCTGGGGCTTTGTACAGTGGGAGTTTTGAAACGTTCTTTCTCTTATTTTTTCCTTTTGTCTTTTTTTCTGTCTCCAGTTACAGAAACACAAAGACGAAGACCTTTCAAGTTTAATTAAAGTAAGTTTGGTTTGGGGCACGCTGATTTGGCTGCAAAATATTACGATTTCATTAAAATCAATATTTACTAGTCTTATTGGTGATAGAGCAGCCGTGTTGGATGACAGTTTTATACTGATGGCTTGCAATTGAATTCAACTGTGTGTTCAGTGGTTGTGGGAGCTTGAGGCTATGTCGTCTCTGCCTTCTGAGTAAGCATTGGTACAGATGAACAACAGCTTATTTCAGCAGGGTTCCTATTGAGAGCTTTTCGCTGTTGGCTGGGCATCTTTGAGCTGGTGCAATGGGGAGCACGTGGGAGAAGGTGACACGGATGAAAAGAGAGACTGTAAAGAGGCTAAAGAAATCGGGGGTGGGGGGTGGGGTGAGGTACATAAAAGTTGCAATGATGTCCGTGCCCCAATATTATGTAAAAAGTTAATGATTTAAAAAGAAAACCCAAGAGCTTCTGTCCTTGCACATAGTCATCATGTTTTCAAGCAAAGGTTTCCTCTGCACACCAGTATTTTGCCTCTACCCAGCATAGTCTTGAGGCGCTCACTGTCCCCATTTCACATTCACGAACTAGGAATTATCTGCAAGTTATCCAGCACTCTGCTATGTTAAGACAAAATGTGAACATTGCCATCTGCCGGAGGAAAGATTAAATTATTTTTCCAAGCTCTGCCTGTCTGCAAGAGAGGAAAACAACTTTTGATGTGTGCTCTTTGAGGGTGGTTATTTGTGTACTCACCGCACAGTCCTCTGCTTCACCATCAGTGCTTTCATTTACTATACCCTAAAATTCTGGAATACTCCCTCAATCCCGCCGCCTCATCCCTACTTCCCCATCTTCAGATTGCGCCTGAACACCTTCCTCTTCGACCGTGCTTATGGTCACCTCTCCACGGCTCGGCATCGTGCTCCGCCACTGCCGAGCGCTCTGAGACGCTATCCTGCGCAAGGTGTGCTATTTAAACGTAAGTCGTCGTTGTAAGCCTTGTACAGAGTTGAATTAGCTCTCCATTCTGACACGCTGGGTGCCGGGCACAGCTGCCTGGCTTCGACGATGGCTGCCCCGAAGCCTGTTGCCCTTCTTTCCAGGATGAGGACTTGGTGGCCTGGAGGGCGAAGCGCAAAGGAAATGAAACGCCGGTTCCCATGGAGCAGGACCAGCTCCTGGACATGGACATGCTGATGTCTGAGTTCTCGGACACGCTTTTCTCAACCCTCTCCTCGCATCATCCTGTCGCCTGGCCGAACCCCAGGGAGATTGGTGAGCAAGCGATTTTGTTTCTCTGCTCCGATGTTTTGAATGTTGTGAATTATGTTGGCTTTTTCGTGGTGGGGGTGGCGGTGGGGGGGAAAGCATATCAATTAACTTTGTTTGGTTGCCTGGTTTGTCAGTTTGCTGATTCGAGCCCCATGACAGGATTTCAGTCGAGGCTGACACAGCAGTGTATTGTATTCTTCAGAGAGGCTAGGACGACCATTCAGCTGTATGTTAAAGGTCTGGTGCAGTGAGCCAATGTGCAGGAAGTTTTGATTCTGTGCACATGTTCAGTGTGTGTGTGTGGTGGGGTGCTGTTGAGTGTGTTTGTGTGTGGGAGGGGTGCATGAGGAATATTATTCAGAATAAGTATCTTAGACCTCGGCACCCCAGACAAATGAAACACAATTTTTCGGAGACGCAACCCTTTCATCCTTAATTCTAACCATTTTCTTTGTTTCTGTCCCCTCCGATCTCTCCACTAGCACATGCAGGAAATGCAGACATGATTCAGCCCGGGCTGATCCCTCTTCAGCCCAACCTTGACTTCATGGACACCTTTGAGCCTTTCCAGGGTAAGAATTGCGTGAATATCTTGCGTTTCAATGGTGACCAGCGATGAGCCACAGCTGCTGTGCCAAGTCCACTTCCTCAATTAAATACATGGAAATTCGCCAGCCCGAAACTCTTCACGTTCTTACCATTTTCTAACGGTTTACGATGGTCTGGAATTTTGGAAAAGGTCTTAAATAGTCCTGGCTTGGAAACTTTCTCCCAGTTCTTTGGGAGATGATGGTAGAGGCTTGATGGGTGTATTTATTCCGGTATTCTGCAAAAACTTATCTGTTTTGTACTGTTTGCAAATGCTGTGTGTGAAAACATTGTGTTGTCCGCAGCTGAACTCTTCTCATAAGACAGCTGTTGAGTATAGAGTGCTCCAAATCAATTCTTCTGCTCTTTTTATTGAATTTCAGATTTCTTCCCCATGGCCCGCTTCCCGTCTCTGGTTGGCAGCATCTTCTCGTCTCCCACCTCTTCCGTCCCTCCCATTACGCTAGGCACTAGCAGCTCACCGCCACAGGTAACTGGTCACAGAGAGAGGGGATGGTGTTCTGTAAGATGGGGTGTTTTATGAGGACTTTTCTGAGTATTTGTGCTTTGCGTGATCTTCAGATTAAAGGATTTAATGATTTCTGGCCGGGTGAGGTTCCTGAACAACACGGCACGTCACCTGGTCGGTCCTCAAAATGAACAAACAACTTCAGTACCAGCTTGTTACCACAGGGTAGAGCTGTAACTAACTGTAATAGAACATTGCCTTATTATAGCGGTAGATTCCAGCTGCTTGGTTACACCGCACAAGCCGAGAGTGGCTAAAAATATTGGTCCATCGCGGCAAAGTGGCTCATTAAATCAACAGCTCCCCCAGTGGCAGACCTCATCTGAGTAGATGTCTTTAATAACTCCTGTGAATCGCAGGGAGAACAATGATGAGAAATGCACAGAACCACTGAACGAAAGCGTTCTGGGACTCTACCCTGCGTGAACGGCGCTGTATAAATACAAGTTGTTGTTGCTGCTCATTTCTAAAATGTGTTTGGAGACCAGAGTGGTGCCATGAGCTGCCTGCAGCACTCCAGTCCCATCCCTGATCCATGTGCTTGGGATGAACTGAACTCCCACTAATTTGCTCCCTTTATTACATGGGTATAGACAAGAGGAGAATCAGGGACTCAGGAAAACTACAGTATACAACTATGATGTACATGAATGTCTAGTTTAGGAATACTGGATCTTGCATCATAGGCAGTGGAACATTTTGACCTCTGCTGGGTATTTTTATGGATTCTGGCTAGCTTCCCTCACTTCTCTTTCTGCAGTTGCCTCTTATAGCTTGCTATTTGGCAGCTTTACCAATAATGTGGCGGGAGAGGATAAACTTCTGTGGACCAAGGCTCCTGCTAGCAGTTATCTAACTTTTATTAACACATGAGTTAGAAGATGGATGATTTGCTTCATAAAATCTGACTTGTGCAAAGAAATCTTAGGAAACTGAATGGGACGCGGGTGCATTGTCAACTTGGGCAATCGTATGATTTATAAAGAGAAGAATTAGTTTTACTGTACTTCACAACACAGCTTGAGGTTGACTGCTGAAGATCTGAACTCGTTTGGTTTGGCAATATAGCCCAGCATTCCGTTTGCCTAAAATCACATTGAATTTGTTGTGCAAGTACAGCTGAGCATCTGATAAAGATGTGAACTGAATAATAATAATAATAATCCTTACATTTGATATAGTATCTTATCAAGTCTTTGTGACATCTCAAAACGCTTCACAGAAAATATTTTGTGGGTGAAACCCATGTCCAGTAATCGTGTTTTTTTAATCCCTCCTCCTTCCTCCACCCCCCCGCATCCCCCCATCACCATTATTAGGAAAGCATCTTGCCAGCCAGCAATCTGACCAACACAATTTCTTCGATTAAGATCGAGGGGGAGTTGATTTCATCCCCGGGTCCTTCTTCAACAATAACGGGCCGGCCAAGCACCAGCAGCAATAACAACAGTAGCAGCTCAAAGTTTGCACCTTTTGTTCCACACCAGGGCTTTCGACCACAGGCTTCGCTTACCAGCCAACAGACGTTTTTGCCCCTGTTTTCACCTGCCGTGCCGTCTCCTCAGACTCCCTCCACCCAGCCGCCGGCACAGGCTACCCAGCCCACGATACCTCACAGCCCCCCTCTGATCACCCAGTCCTCATTCGCCAGCCCAGCGAGCCGCAAGTTTGGCTTCACCCCCTCCCCGTCGCCACAGGCACCGGCCGCCAGCCAAGCCGCGGCCACCACCTTCACCCAGAAACCCAAAGTCCTCGCCACGGGCAAGCAGCAGGGGGCGCCGTGCAGCTTGGCTATGCAGCCACCGAAAAAACTCATGCCCTTTGCTGTACCAAAGGCTGCTCCCCATGTAGGCTCCAGCAGTCGGACCCCGAAACAGCTGCAGAAGATCGTGCCCGCGTTAAAGTCCGAGCTCGTCCCCATCGCTTCTGTTGCTTCTCCAGCCACCGTCCAGTCACCGAATGCCTTCTTAGCACAGTTTTTAGCAGCAGGTAAGGAATCGTTTGATCTCGACTACCTATAGCCACCTACCGATTTTATACATGTTCTTGTTTTCGTTCGCCCATAAAACGCACGCCGTCACTAAACCTGAAACTGTGAAGTGCTTTTAGACGCCCTCCCAACATGAAATGCACTATCAAATAAGGATTATTATTCTGCTCCGTCTAACCTTAATAGTAATAATAATAATCCTTGCATTTGATTCATGTCAAAGCGCTTCACAGACTACTGTAAATTGGATTGACTGCATTTTGTGGGCGAAACTTGCTTCATACATACACTCATAAATTTTCACAGCGGCTTCTAATGCACAAGTAATGTGAAGTTCTCACAGGCCATCATTTGGTATTCATAGATTATGTTAACTTTACAAAGCTGTTTACTCATTTCATTTTTTGTAGGTCGTGATATAAATCGATCTTCCCCGCGATTTGATTTTTGACGAAAACTTATCACAATCTCATCCGCTAAGCCTGCCAAATGCACAGATAGGCCATGGCGGGGACAATATAGTAAGAGTTCACACTTGCATAATATGGGAAACCAAGCAGTGCCACAGGGCTGTTTAGCCCCTGCATAGGGATCAGCTAGATTAGACACTGATCAGCTTAGCACAAAAGCTCTCTCCGATGACCCTGCTTTAACTGTGAGTGAAAGCTATTTCTCCACCACGCTAGTGCTCAGATGGGGAGAAGGTGTGCGGAAGGCTGCTGTACTCTTTACTGTTGGAGCTGTAATCCTCAAGGGATTAAAGATCCCCCGTATATTTTTTAATTTTGCCAGTTTGCTTTATCCGCTAGAAGACCCGGCAGTGGTTCAGAACAGTAATCTGTACCCTGGCTGCTTGGTGTTGTCTGAGAAGCCACATAATCTGCCTTGAGGCTTGTCTTCGCAAACTGGGAGTCTTGAGCAGAGATGCCAGATGGAAAGATATCTGCAAGTTTTTCCGTCATCAGCGGGTGCCATTCTACTGGGACCCACTGTGTACAGCTGGGCGAGTAGATCTCTTAGGGTTCACGCGATCCTCTTCTCCAGGCTAGATTTCTCACTTGCCAAGCCATGTGTGCAGAAGCCCAGACTCTTGTGTGTACACGGAGGAGGGGGAGGTCGAAGCCTCCAGCACCCTCTCACTGAGCTGCCAAGTCCCGTTTATGTAATGGCACAGGAGCGAGGTTGTCGACTGTGTTTGCTGCAGTCAGTCACTTAGAAGCAGTAAAACAGATCCCCTGCCTCCACCTGTTGCTGCTGTCATCTCAAAGCTGCAGATGTACATATACAGGGGAAAGTGGCATACCCTCCACTCTTCCTGATTCCAACCCCGCTCAGGTCCAAATCCCTGATTGTCCAGCGCCTTGGGACATCCTCCCGATGTGAAAGGCCCTATACAGGTGTAATTGTGTATTGCATTGTACAGAAGGGAGTGTAACCAGGCTGAACCGTTTTTTTGTGTCTCTTCAGGTTCCGGTGCTGTGCTTGTAACATCCTCACCATTAAAACCTGAGCTCGCCTCTGCTGTTACCCAGCCCAGTGTTGTCATCACACCAGCTGGCATCGCCACGGTAAGCGGTCCTGCGTTCCCTTGTACCCCCAGGGTGCGGAGGGGACAAGGTGTGTGTGTGTTTGGCAGATACTCCAGTATCCCTCTCCATTTCCCAACAAAGTTTATATTAAAATAAACCATGTATGATTCATTTTCTGAATCATTTTGTGTCACCCCTCGTTCTGGCCTTTGTTCTCCCCAATCTTTCTTCCTTCCTGATAGGTTTTCATTGATTAGCTGAAACTCTTACTGTGGTAATTGGCTTCTCTTATCTTTCTTCATTTCCTGGAATGTCTTTGAAGCTTATTTTCCTCACAGAGAAACTCACAGACCATTACACCGTGTTAGCTGACTAGGTGGCGACATCTCTATCTAGCCTGTTGTTTGTGCAGTGGGAACACGAGGCCAGGGGATTTAGTTTGCTATGAAAGTAGGTCATGAAGACACACTGAAGATTTACACCTTTGCGAGGGTTGCACAACTTTCACTTTCCCCGAAATCTGACACTAAAATACTGTCATAGATGACCCCCACCCTTTAACTTTCAATATGACAGTAACCAGGGGAATTCTATATCTAAAAAAAACCAACCAGGTGAACTTATTTTTGATGTGTGTGTGTGTAAATAACATAAAAAAACAAGTTGTGATTGAATAAGTTGTCTGTCCGTCGTCTGCAATACTCAAAAGGATGTGTGGAGTGGAAATTATGGTTGTTGAGCTATAGTCCATTGCCGTTAATCAATGGAACATTTGATCAAAACTTGACTTGGTTTTGAGTTGCAGTGCATCTGCGGTAATGCTCTTGCTCTCGATTCTCCCAAATATTTTTTTGTGGTTACTATATTTCTTTAAATAAAAACCCCTTCATAACCAATTTTTTTTTCACCTTAAAGTGGTTTTTTTATGCGCACACACTTACATGCGCACACTGTTAGAAAATAATAATAAGAGACACTCGCTCGAATGGATTATATTGGTTCTTTAATACTCAGAATCCCAATGGGTTAATACACTCGGTTAATTGCCTGCAGGCACGGCCATCGTCCCAACTATCTACTAGTTACGATCGTACCGGACTCATAAACACGTCAACTGCCGAGTGTATTAATTCAGAGTATCCTGCCGAATCCCAAATTGTTAGAAAATAAAATCAGCCAAATCTGTAAGGAAATAACGCTAATTCCTTTAACCAGATATCTGACTGTTTTATTATTATTCGTTCGTTATTCCCTAATATCCCGATGGGTCAGACCAAAGGCCGATACAATCAACAGATCTTATAACAGAACAATACCACTGTAGATATCTCGAGTTCAACACTGTGTCTTTACAGCACACAAGCTTGATTCTTCATGCTTTCATTCTTCTTGCTTACAGCTTTCAATCTTCCATCTGATATCCTCAGTCTTAGTGTTTCTAGCTCTCAATCTTCCATCTCCCGTACCCTTGTCTCCGCAGCCCGGGATGGCCCCGTCTCCCGTACCCTTGTCACCGCAGCCCGGGATGGCCCCGTCTCCCGTACCCCCCGTCTCCCGTACCCTTGTCACCGCAGCCCGGGATGGCCCCGTCTCCCGTACCCCCCGTCTCCCGTACCCTTGTCACCGCAGCCTGGGATGGCCCCGTCTCCCGTACCCTTGTCTCCGCACCCCGGGACGGTCCCGTTCACAAAGTTATCGGAACTCTTATACCGATGTTCATCCAATCATGGTGCGGACATTAGATCACCTGTCGAAATCATGCTGGGTTCACGTGAACACCTCATGGGGTGTACGTGCCTCAGCACACATACACATTGTCCTTAAGACCCCTGTTATCTGCTGCTTGTTATTTTGTAAGGTGGGATCATTAGTACATTCCTTTTAAGTGACTGGTTATTTCTTATCAGTATCCCGGGATGGTACCAAGGTCCTCTAGTTTAAGCAACTTGCTAGTTAGCTGCTATTCTTGAGGGTTGCCTTCTGTCGCTTGGCAGGCCCCTATCAGAATCTCGCGACTTATTGCTAAGTCGAGATCCTGTGTCGACCCGGTACCTTGGACCGTTATCTTTGTGGGCGTGTTGTCATTTACTGATAAGAGGTGACCCCCTGCCCTTTTCCAAAGCTGTCCTGTTATTCTTTCAAAAACAGAGAAAACCAGATGTATCCTATCCCATGACTGTCAGTCCAGTTGCCCCCCACAATTTAACTTAAAAGTTAACCCGTTCACAACATCTATTATGATTCTAACATTATACAAAAAGTGTAAATTCTTACACGCGCACATGTACGCGGACACACATGTACACACACACAGTTTGTGTTATGGAGAATGGCCTCTATGTGTGTGTGCGTGTGTGTGTATTTTAATCTTGCCTTGGTTTGCAGTGGGGTGACTTTGGTGTCAGTGCCTGGGCAAATGCAACACGTTTGTCTTCCTTTCCCCATCCCCCCAATACAACCTCAAATGCCCCCTGCCACCCTACCCCGCATGCTCATTTCAGAAACCCAACTTCTGTCGCTGCTGGTGAACAGGTGGTTAACCTTGTTCTGCTTTCACTGAATCGTGGCTATTACTGTGTTATTGCACCTTCTTCAGCTTTGCACACTGTGACGTTAATAAAAGGGCCCCTTATAAAATGTTGAGCAAAGCTTAGCATTGTGGTACAGTAAATCTCACAAGTCATATCAGTTGGGACCATACATTTAATATGACTTAACCAAAGTATGAGATCAGTCACTTGCATAGAATATAATAAACTCTTGAATAGGACTTGGGCAGATGTACGATTTATACAGATCAGACTTGTGTGAGTTTTACTGTATTAACCCAAACTAGTGAAATAAACCCAGACAAAGCTTTCTAATAAAACCTTTTCGGAACCCTTTACCTGTACTTGCCCTATCACACCCTCTCCATCAGTTTATTTACTTTTTATTCGCATTTATTTCGTTTACTTCTCTCTTTCACCCACTCCCCCAATTCTACCATATTTCTACCTTTTTACAATCTCATAGTTACTTTACTTTATAAAAGTCATAATCAATGTTATTTTCACTGACCAGACCAAGCTTTTGTTGATACATGTGGCAAACATCCCATTCAGCATTTCCAAAGACTCGTGAAACTTTGCAAAGACTCGCGAAGCTGAGCTGTTTATCATTGTATAACTATTTATGCCTTGTTGTTGCAGGCTACCGGTGTGACTGATTTCCATGGCAGTATTTTAGTTGGCCCAGCCCAACAATCTGGTGTCATAACCGCCTCCTCCCAAACCTCCCAGTCCGCAAAATCCACTATCTCGCAACTCTTTGCTTCGAACCCAATCCCCAGCGCAGTCCAGATCCAGTCCAAAGCTGAACAAGTCGCACCTCAGACCTCAAATGAGCACGTTTCCTCTGCAACAGCGAGACGTAAGCATGCGCCGCCTCAGGCTGAATGTTAAACGATTTGCGTGTTCATTAGATAACTCAAGACACTAGGTCAGCAGTTACGTTTGCTGTTCATTGACAGAATTTACATTTTTAAGATATAAAAATCTCTATAGCATTTTCTAGTAATTACTGTTAAGCGTAGTGACTGTACTGTAGGCAAACGCAACAGCTATTTTGCACATAACAAGTTCCTGAGGTGAAAGAGTAATTTAATCTGGAGTATTGGAAGAGGAGAAAATTTACTTTTTCTTCCCAATGTTGCGGAACCTTTTAACAGCTTGTGTTTATATAGCGCCCTCCACGCTGTGCACGAGTGTGATGCCGCGTTTGCTTACAAATACACAGTCACTCCATTTCACAGTAAATCCTGTGAAGCGCTTTGAGATGTCCTTCGGCTTGATAAGGCGCTATATCAAGTGCAAGATTATTATTAACTGATTCAAGTGAATAGCCTCTTGAACTCCTGAGTGTTATCATAGCAGGACATCTCTCATAATCTGGCTAAATATTGAAGGGAGCTGATAGCTTGTTTTTAACTGTTGCTCCTCAGCCCGGGAACGCCAGGCTTCCGGTCAGGGATCGCCGGCAGTGTCAGAGCGGATCCCCAGCCCACAGTCTCCCACCAATAACTCTACAAACCCCAAAACTGAAGTGGTGGTATATAAGGTAATTATTAGCTGGTTTTCAGGGCTGTGTTCAGAGTGTCATGTTTTTGGGAGGGTTGTACTCTTTATTCCCCTTCCCTTGCGCCCCAAAAAGTTTATCCACAGCACCCACTGCATTGCTAGAGACCTGCTTCTGAGTCTCTCCCAGTGCCACCGCTGATGAAAGCAGTCCAGGGGATGTGAACCTACAATTCCTCTCTCTTTCCTCCCACCCGGCAACCTGTTGACTGATGCTCAGCATCTCTCCACAATCATCTCTTTCCCAACACTGGAAGTTGTTCAGCTGTGGTGGGGTAAGCAAGACCGACCACCATTCATTTTTCTAGGAGCAGCTTGCCGCTGTGATGGAGGGGCATGAGATCAGATGGGCCGAAGGATGGTCGTCATCCAAACCGGTCTTGTGATCTCGTGCCTCCAGAGGGTACTGCAGTGATTGTTGTAGCTGTGTTGATGTATAGTTGCTAGACTAGCACACTATGCACTGATGTATATGAGATATTCCAATTTAGATTACACTAAAGACAGTTTTCTGGTACTATAGTTCACGTGTTTTGTATCTCTCACCGCAGAGTCTAAGAATGACGCACATTTCAGCAGAACAGAAGAGGCGGTTTAACATCAAAATGGCTTTTGATACTCTTCACAGTCTGGTAGCCACTTTGAAATCTCAGTCAAACGCAAAGCCGGTAAGTTGGTCTGCTGCAGTGTGTCACCTTCTCGCCTCCGCGTCAGGACTTCGAATCACACAATCTTAGCTGACACTTCAAAGCAGCCCCGAGGGTCTGGTGCATTGGCGGATGTGCCGCCTTCGGATGAGATGTTAAACCGTTGTCCCATCTGCCTGTTCAGGTGGATGTTAAAGGTTCTAAAAAGGGAAGGGAGTTTCTCTCTCCCGATGTCCTGGCGGCCAATACCCCAAATAAAATTGGTCACTCATTCCATAGTTGTTTGTGGGACACTGCTGTGAGTAAACTGGTTGCCATGTTTTGCCCACAAAATACAGTCAATCCACTTTACAGTAAATCCTGTGAAGCACTTTGAGACGTCTCAGCAATGTGGTGAGATTCTGTTTCAAATGCAAGGATTGTTATTATTATTATAAGATGCCTGGGTTATGTTTGTGCGTGCCAGAGAGAACTCTGGTTCCATGTTTGGTCACAGGTTTCAGTAATTAACCTAACGTGCCGAGACTTGGTTTGTAAACTGTTTCCACAGATCAGCAATGCGGTCACACTACAGAAGACTGTGGAATACATAGCAAAGCTCCAGCAGGAGAGGACACAGATGCAAGAGGAAGCCAAACGTCTCAGGGAAGAAATTGAAGAGCTCAATGCATCCATCAAGTGGGTAATTGATTGATTGCCGTGAGCTGTTTTGGGGGCTGGTAAAATTCCCTCAGTGGGTTAGGTTAAGTTCACCAAAACCGGGCATTATTTTTTTTGCTCGCATGTCTTGCGTGTTCTCAAGTGGGTTTGAAAGTAACCAAAGTGGCAGCAGTTAGCATTGGCTCTGTGCCAGTTGCCCACTTGCTCACTGTCGTGTCACCAGGTGGCGTATGACACAGGGACACTGGGGACCTGGGGTATTGTCAGAACGTAAACCTTGTGCGCACTCTCGCTCTCGGAGCCTTTCCATCCTCCAGTAATGAGTGGTGTATTTTTGGGAAACACTTGCCAGTTACAGTAAATATTTCAGCCCAGGAATGGAAATTTCTATTTCATTGATAACTGAATCAACAGGTTACTAATCACATTTCTCATTACAGTATTCTCGCTCTCGGGTTAAATGTCATTCAACTACCTTTCCTTAGTTGCTGGGAATAGCCTGTGCTTGTCTTGTTAAACCACTGATGATCTGGTAACATCCCTCATGTTAAAATTCCCCCTTTGTTTTTGCTTGCCCTGTTTAATCATAGAATCACAGAATCTTACAGCACAGAAAAGGCCATTCGGCCTTTGAAAGAGCTATCCAACGAGTCCCATTTCCCCACTCATACCCACCCCATTGCTTTACAAATCTTTCCTTTTCAAGTACCATTGTAATGCATTGTACTAGTTCTCAAATTGAATGTGGGATTTATACACTGCTCTGTTCAAAGGGAATTATTTTGGGTTTATCCTTTCCATTGACACATGACAGTGGAACTGCTGTGTTTTAGTAGTTGACGGTGTTTGTTTGTGCCAGTGGTCTATTGTGCTCCGTTGGTAATGTGTGTGCATCTCTCTCTCTCTCTCTCTATTTCAGTACCTGCCAACAACAGCTTCCTGCGACTGGCGTTCCTATAACGCGGCAAAGGTTTCATCACACGCAGGAAATGTTTGATGAGTACGTCAAATCGAGAACGCTTCAGAACTGGAAGTTCTGGATTGTATCCTTTACCATTGGCCTACATTTTGTACAGGGCTGGGTGATGGGAATTTTCTCTCTGTCTCTCTTAATCTGTGTGTTGGCCCTGTCTAAATGGATGTTTTTTCAATCAGTTTTATTACAATACCTTGTAGTAATAATAATAATAATCCTTGCATTTGATATAGCACCTTATCTACAATGTTACCCCGTGTGACGGGCGCTCTATAAATTTAAGCTGTTATCACGTTGTTGTGATGCCTCAAAGCACTTCACAGAATAGACTGTAAACTCCGTCGCCTCCATAGGCATTAGCGCAGGGGGAACATTGCCACGAATCCATCCTTCAGATGAGACATTAAACCGAGGTTCCATCTGCCTGTCCATTAAAGATGGCCGTTAAAGATCCCACGGCACTATTCGAAAAGAGAAGGGAGTTTCCCTCTCCAGATGTCCTGGCCAACAATCCACCAAATAAAGTTGGTCACACACCATGGCTGATTGTGGGCCATTGCTGTGCGAGTCCAACTTGACAGACTTGCTATCTTCAAGGATCGAATTGCTTGCTCTCTAATCTGATGGGGAGAAAGCATGTGGCATGTGGATTTTAATCTTTCACAAAATGTTTCCTGAATCATAAGGTGAAGCTTCATCCGGAAATAATTAGCAGTCACCAATGGTGAGCTTGGTTATACAATGACAGCTATGTTTTTTCCAGCCACTCATCAGTTTGATAAAGGGAGACATGACCTAATTAGGGGAAAAATGTTTGCTCCCTCTAACCTTCTCCGCTCTCACCATCGGGCTCCATAACTTGCCAAACTCAACACTTTCTGTATTTTCACACTAGATATTTTAGAATATTTTTGTGCCTCTTTAAAATCAATGATGTTAGTGGCGTGTGGGGAGGAGATTAAAAAAAAAATTGCTGTGTGCAATTGGTAGCCATGTTTTGTCCACAAATAGTCAATCCACTTTACAATATATTCTGTGAAGCGCTTTGAGACGTCTCGACGACGTGATAAGGTGTTATATCAAATGCAAGGAATAATATTATTATTATAAGCAACCTAGCTGGCCAGTCAATGAGACTGGGTGAGCATGACTGAGCAGCTTGTCATTTGCACAGTCAGTTATGGTTATCATGTGGTCATACATAACCAGCGCCTTGGGACATCCTCTGGACGTGAAAGGCGCTATACAAATGCAATTTTGTCGTTGCTGTTAAAGTTATGCTCGTGGTCCTTGACTCTCCACCACCAGTTCAGCATAATCATCAAGCCATTGTTTGAATCTTTCAATAACATGGTCTCCACCTCCAGCCTGGAAGACTTGGGCACTACCACAATGTCCTGGTTGGATCAGCATTGCTCCCTCCTAGTTCTTAGACCAAGTAAGTCAGCGCTTGTGAGATGTACTCCTGGCGTGAAAGGCACTTGTTGTACATCAGCCCTGTGAGTCGTGCGAAGATGAAGCAGCCCATCTTAAAGCTTGTGCTTATTTTTCCATGTTTAAGAGAGCGCTGAGTTGCCGCTTTTTATTTAAACTTTTTTTTAAAAAAAAAACAACCTGTTAGGTGGAAGGAAGGGTTGGGAGGTTTTTTGCATTTTAAAGTGGGCTGAGGAGGTTGAGAGGACAGATCAAAGGCTGTGATAAAGTAAACTAGTAATGGATAATTTGCACTGCTTTTTCTTTATTTGAGTAGAGCACAAATTTAAGGTGAGAATTGAAGGGGAAGTTTGTGGGAGGCGCAGGAGGTAAAAGGTACTCAGAATACGTGGAATAATAAATGGGTTTGGTGTTAGCATTTGGAATGTGGAGTTGTCAGCCGCAAACCATTTGCAGGGCAAAGTCACCAAGAGCAGGAGTTTGGGGTTAGATTGGGTGGTTTTCATACGCAGTTTTTGTCTCGTCTGTCTCCATGCTGAAGCAGGAATTGGATCAGAGCATCTTTAAGCCTGCCCCTATCTTATCTGATCTGATCTGATCTATGTCTGAGCGCAAAATTGCTAAAGAAAACGTTTACTAAAAAAATCGTCACCACATTAAAAGCCTGTGATGAGAAATGTAAATCGCTGAACTGACTTTTCAGTAGAATCCAGTCTGAAATGTAGTGTGTTTGGGATTTTCCCAGGAAAATGAGCCCTATACCACAAGCTTTCACCCAATACTCACTTGTCCCAGTAAGCGATAGTGCTCTCGATAGATAATGTGGCAATAAACCTCTGGGAATGGTGTGGGCAGAAAATTATGCATTTTCTCTTTGTTTCCCCTGCTCCAACCTATAGTTTATTTTGGGGAATCTTTCAGTCCCTGATGTTGCTCAGTGATTCCATTAATTTGTGAGACACTCATCTTTGTGAAAGTCCCGAGTTGTATCACATTGCACAGCTCACCTTGACGAGTGTTTTTTTTTATATAGCCTGTGTTTTCTTTTTACACAGTCACTCCACTTTACAGTGTATACTTTGAGGCACTTTGAGACATCTCAACAATGTCGTAAGGCGCTGTATCAAATGCAAGGCTTATGATTATTATTATTATATGCTTATTTTTCACAAAGATAAGCATCTCGCAGTGCTATTCCTACAATCCTAGATTGTCGCAGCATCGAAACAGACAGAAATACTGCACGTGAAGGCACCTCGTCTAATCCCAATCTCCTGCTCGCTTCCCAATATTGTTTAACGTTCATATGTGTGTATGCAAGCGCTCTGAGACGCTACTCTGCATGAGGGGCACTATATCAATGCATGTTGTTGTGTACTTTTGGGCAACTTGCTGAAAATGTAGCCTATTTGAGCTAACCAGTGTGTTCGTTGTGTATCTGCTCGTTTCCCAGTGGTGCTCAACACACTTCGGCAACTCTCTACCACCACATCCATCCTGTCCGACCCCTCGCTCATGCCGGAACAAGCCACGCAAGCCGTAAGCCAGATCAGCAAGAACAGCGGCAACTCGTAACCGGCTGCCATGGCAACTTTGCCCCTACCCCCGCCATGTGTGAGCATGTGACGGTCGGTCAGACATTGATTGCCCTTTGGTGGAAAATCACCTGCGCTTTCTCTCTTCTTCCCCCCCCCCCCCCCACCCCACCTGCCTCCCCGTCTCCCAAATTTTCTCTTTTTCTCTCTTCCTCTCTCTTTCTCCGCCCCCGCCCCCCACTTCCCCACCCCTCTTTTCCCTCCACCCCATCCCCCAAGTTCTCTCTCGCTCTCTCTTGATGTGAACTTTTGCACTTTAAAAAGATATTGAGCTAAGCTGTGATCCGGGGGTGAGTGGGGCCACTTATAAAGTGAGCTCACGGGTCTTCAAAGGCTTGCTTTTCCACCGATTTCAATCTCTTGCCAAGTGCTCCCCTCTGAGGCTGACAATGCTGGTGATTAATGACCGAATCCTGCTCAGGTACACAGAAGCTGCAAGCCACCACACCCCCCCCCACCTCTCACCCGAGCGAGGCAGCTGGCCGGGCCTTATATACTGTGGTTTACGGAAGCCTCTCACCACCATTTTGTGCATCTAATGAATTTTGTATGGTCCTAACAAAAGGCGATGATGTAGCGAGCATGTGTGCGCGTATAAGAGGCATTGACTCAAGGGAAATAGTAAGTTGGATACGTTTAATGTTTTGAATCTGTCCAAAAAGACATGATTTCTTTTTCTTGATTTTTTTCCCCCCCCCCCTTTCCCCCGCCTCTTCTCCTCTGACCCCCGCCCGCCCGAAACATCCTGAAAAAGTGCAGTCTGTATGGGGGATACCAAAGACTCGCTTATTTTTAAACTGATGTAAAAAGTGTTTCTTGGGGTGGGGGGGGGGGAGGGATCTGATTGCATAATTCCAAGTAACTGCAGGCATAAAATACTGCCGTCTCAAACATTCGTTTTGAAGCTGAACTCGATTTTAAAAAGCCACAGCAATAGAAAATCTTAGGAAAACGTACCGGGCGGGCAGGGCTGTATGAAGTCAGATCATTAGTGACATCTTTTTTCAGCTAGATTTTGTATTCAATTTGTCCAAAATCCAAGAGCTAATTGGTGTACATATTTTTTACGAATCCAGTCCTATTTACACTTTCATATTTCTATTTCGAACCATGATGTATTAAAGGCTTCATTTATTTTATTAAATAAAGCTGAAAGCCACATAAATAAAGGAAAATGGACAACGTAATATTGCCTTCTTGCCCTCGCTTCTGTGCTCGCCTGCTTGTGTCCACGTAGATCTGCCCTTGGTATCTGGCTGCTTAAATAATAAATAACGACGTCATCTGAACTTGTGTGACTGTCACATGAACTAAATGGGGCTTTGTCCAAAGCTCTTAACCATCAGCGTTAGCAAAGGCATGGTTTGTGCGATCTTGCCTGTGTTTCCAGTCATTCTTGTGTGTGCTGCGAAACCCAGCGCTGGATTTACCGGCTGCACCAGGCGGAAGAAGGGAGCTGTGTCTCCCCTTCCCCCCAACCTGCGTGTGAATTTCACATGTTCTCGACGGCCCTTTTCCTTTCCGTCATGTTGGCAGTTTTGGAGAGGGAGTAAGTCCTCAGAAATTATGTGTTATTACAGAAATAAGCTGTTTGCGGGGGATGTAGGGGGGAGTTTAATGCTTGTCCGTGGCATTGCTCGTCTCTCGTGCTCTACGATCAGTCGTCGTGTTTTCACTCACTACGGCCTCGTACTCTGGAACACACTCCCTCAATCCCTCCGCCTTGCCCCCTCATTCACCATCTTCGGGTTGTGCCTGAAGACCTTCCTCTTTGACCGTGCTTACAGTGACCTCCCCCCGGCTCTGCGTCATGCTCTGCCACTGTCGAGCGCTCTGGGACACTTCCCTGCTTGACGGAAGCGATATAAATGCAAGTTGCTATTGTTTAATCCTCGCAGACTATCATATTGGTTACAGACTGTTTTACCTTTTGTGATGTTGATGCCCATTTTCCATTGCAGGTGTGAGAAAGTGACAGTATTCTTGAGTTGAATCAGGAATATTTCAATCTGGTGGATTTCCTGTCCTGTATGCCACCTGTGTTACTAATTCCAGCTAACTTCCTGTGCTGTGAACGTAAGGCCATCCTTTCCCGTCAGCGCAAATGCAAAGGTGCCTTGGGCAGAACTGAAATCACATGCTTTTGAAAGGAAATATTGCACTTTTTCAAACCACCTGTAGATCTACCGATCTTTGTCCGTGGACGTGGCCCCTGTAGATATGAGTGCAAAAGCCCTGCCAGCCCTGTTACTTACTCAGTAGGTCTAGTTAGGACAGCTCAAAATCTAAGGCCAACAGGCCTGGCAGTCCTTTGGGGAAATGAGAAGGAAGTAATGGAATTCGGTTCAACGACAACATCAACAAATTACATTTGTATAGTGCCTTTCACGTTGGGAGGACGTCCCAAGGTTCAGGGTTTCACTGGCACGCAGTTGGATTTTTTTTTGTCCCTCCTGTGTGTGTGGGTGCGAGGATTATTACTACAGTAAAACTCACGCAAGACTGGTCTGTATCAATCGTATAATTGTCTTAAATCGGGCATTTGCTTCCACCACCCTTTCAGGCAGGACGTTCCTTTCAGCTACAACAGGACCCTTTTCCTCTCTCCCCCAGACTCTCCCCAAATCCTTCTGCTGCCCCCGTTCCCCCACCTCTGCTTTGTCGAAAGACATACCTCTTTACACCCTGACGTGTCAAATGCCTCTTATTTCCTACCTTGCCCAGTTTTCTCCATCTCTGAAGCACGTCTTACGTGATGAGCCCTGTTTAAATGCGAATTGTTGTTCAGTACAGAATGATAGGGGGGAGGGGGAAGGAATTGGCCCATCTTTATTTTAAAACAACAATTTACATTTGTATAGCGCCCTTCACGCAGGTGCTGTGTACTGACATATGAGTTATGTATAAAACTGATGATGATGTATAAACTGATGTGTGCTGAATTTCTCGATTAGTGGATGTTCCAGGGAGTTGTGCATTAGAGCGTGATAAGCAGCAATAACTTTTTTTAAACGAAAATTGTACAGTGATTAAACTCGAGCCGGTGTACCAGGCCGACTCCCTGGGATACAGGGCAAGGGCGAGTAATTGGAGTTGAGGTACAGATCAACCATGATCTAATAGAATGGCAGAACAGGCTCGAGGGGCTGAATGGCCTCCTCCTGTTCCTACGTGTCTCTCGCCACGGTTCTCCTTTACTTGATCCTTTTCCCTCCTTAAGCAAAGAACATCCAATGGATGCATGTGTGTGTGTGTGTGTGTGTTTCATGACCTGCTTCTGAATGAGGCTTTTTAAAGACTGAACTTTGATTCCCATGGAATAGAAGTTACTTTGTGATGTTCTCTCACCTGCAGTGGGAGGGGGAACCTTTTTCTGTGTATGTGTGCGTGTGTGTGTGTGTGTGTGTTCACTGACCTTACATTGCTGCTGTAATCACCAAATCTTTTATATCCAGAGAGGCGGGTCATCTTACGATCTTGTAGGCGAGGGAGGGGCGTTTAGCACTTAGAAGTTTCTAACAAGGATACATTTTGCTCTCTTGCTGCTGTGCAATTTCAGCCAAAACAGCTCGGAGTTTGACAAAGTGGCAAACAAGCCTCAAGTGGTCTGGTTCAACAGTACTGAATGTATATTGTCCGTCAATGCAATGTGCATTTTTTGGTTAATTGTATATTGGTGCCTGTTTGGGGCGCAAATCTTTGTGACTGTGAATCATAGGTGTTTCTTACTCTCCACTGATGTTTTTTAAACCCTTTTCTTAAAGGAAGCCAGTGAGCAAGGTGCTACCTAGCAGCTCGATTTCTCTTGAAAGCAATGTTTTTTTTTTGCGATCGCATTTTCTTGTGACGACTTAAGAATATTCTGGTGAATATTCCTAATGCTGTATTTTGTTTGGGGGGGTGGGTGGGGGGGGTTTGTTGGTGGGGGGGGGGAACGTAACTCGAGGCAAAATGTTCTCTCCGTGTTTTCAATGATAATCAATAAAGCTATTTTCATTTCTTTTAAGATTTCTACGTTTCGTTTTTCTGATCGGTTTTGGCAGGGCTGAGGTTACGTGCTTTCGGCTGGACGCAGACGCAGTGACAACATCTGTCCTCTGGGATGTGTAATGTTTACAGGGCCAGTGATTTTCTTTTGCTCATTAACATGTTTAATTAACGGGGTAATAATCGCTTCAAATAATAACGATAATTTGGTGACTTAATCCATGACTTTTTCTGGGAACACTGCTGTGAGCAACTGGCTGCCCCGTCGATCAGTCAATCCACTTTAACGGTATGTTCTGTGAAGCCCTTTGAGACGCCTCGACGACATCATACGATGCTGTATCAAATGCAAGGACTATTTTTATGGTTCAGGTTAATGAAACAGGTTGTTGGCAAGCACAATGGATGGGAAGTGAGGCACTCACTTTAAGACTATAAAATGTGTGCGTGTGTATATTGGGGCGAGGGCAGTCACGTCTGACCAGAAGCGTTTTTACCTGTGATTAACAAACGCTCAACTTGAAAATGAATCTTCTGTCAAGCCTATTTCAGTCGCTCGCACACTCGACTCCGGGCCAAAAGGTTGTCGGTTCAAGCTTTTCACTTTGGGCTTTCGCAGATCAGGCTGACCCTCCAGTCTAGCCCTGGGTTGGGGATGGGGTAGCGGGGAGCGCGACAATATGTGAAGTACCGTCCTTCGGATGAGATGTGAAAACTGAGGTCAAACCTGTACCTCTCCAAAAATTGGAGAGGGTGAAAGGGAGGGAGTGAGAAAGTGTCTGTTCATATTGGTGCCTGTGAATGGGATTCGTCATGGCATGTACCCATTCTGGATTGAGAGAGAACGGGTAGGTGTTAGGCACAGCGTTACTGCCTCACTGAGCCACACAGTCGTGTCTGACCAGTTTCCTCCCGCGACGCTCAGCACATTCCCCAGCCCCCAGCACAGGCCTCGTTATCTGCTTTTAACCATCTGCAGCAGCCAACACCACAGCGAAGATCACGAGGGGCTCTGATCTTCCGGGGGTGAGAGGGGGCTTCCACAATCCCCTTTGTGATAAGTGCTATATCAAATGAAAGGATTATTGTTAGAATTTGAAAACTGGTTTAAAAACTGTGTAACACAGCCTTCAAATGTGGATTCTTTCTGAAAGGCTAACAGCGCAGAGGACCCTGCTGTTAATCTGTGGCGAGTTTGGTTTTATCTTTCCTCATCATGCACACAACAACTACAAATTACATTTACACAGCGTCTTTCACGTTGGGAGGAAGTCCCGAGGCGCTAGACTGTCAGGGATTTGGACCCGAGCTGGGGGTTGGGATCAGGAGGAGTGGAAGGGCAGGAGGGTGACCGGAGGCGCGGTCGAAACGATGTGGTCTTGAGACGTGCCTTGAAGTAGGCAATGGAGGGAGCAAGGCGAAAGGGACTGTGGAATGGAGTTTCAAAGGGTGAGGTCAGGGATGCTGAAGGCTTGACCACCGATGGTGAGGCAAGCCGGGCGGGGGAACGTGGAGCAGACCAGAGCTCGCTGAATGGAGGGACCGGGCAGATCGATATGGACGGGAACACACACACACACACTCAAATCAACAAATCTATCCATTCTTACATTTACTCAGAATCTGAAAGGTTATTTTTTTTAAAAATCCCCACTGAAATGAGTTGTGACAGCTCTTCCCCCCCCCCCCCCACCTATATAATGCACACGGAGACTGTTTACTCTCTCCTTATCGATAGTTGCGCCTGTATAAAATGTTAAAAAGTGATCTCTTCTCAGGAATTTGCTGTCGAGTGTCGTTCGTGATTGTGTGTGTGTGTGTTTGTGGACAATATGTGGATGGTTTGTTGGCTGGGGTAGGGATAGGAGGGTGAAGAAGAAAGTTGGATGGTTTGTTGGCCAGGATATTGGGAGAAACTCCCTTCTCTCTCTCTTTCACTTGGGAAGGGGGGAAAACCCTTCGAGTTTGGGGGCCCTACCTAACGTTGACCTTACAATACTGTTTCCATTTCTTGACTGCCGCGTCATCAGGATAAATGTCACAATCTCGCACTCTCTTTCTCTCTTCCCCATTCCACAATCTATTTTGGGGCCTGTGCTCAGTACATGATGATAATATCCGAATCAGCCACACCGCCAACTACAGTGGAAACTAGTCATAGCCACACATCACATCCTTGTCGTTTCACTGTTCGTTCACAGCTCATTCATTCCAGATAGGCTTGTAAGATCCTCCCATGTAGCTGTTTGGAGGAGCAGCAGAGAGATTCCCCCAGTGACTCTGCCCATGTGCCTCCCTCATCCAAATATACACACACAAGAGATTTCAAGATCCTCACCCTTGTGTTCAAGTCCCTGCACTCCTCTGCACCCCCATACCTCTCTAACCTCTCTGACCTCTCTCCTCAAAACAGCACCCGTTACCTTCGTTCCTCCGGGTCTGGCCTCCTCCTCGTCCCCCGAGTCCTCCGATTCAGCCACTATGCCCCGAGGCTCTGGAACTCCCTTCGTCACCCCCTTCGCCTCGCTCCCTCCTTTCCTATTTTCGGGTCTCTGCTGAAGACCTTTATTTTCGACTGCGCCTTTGGTCACCTTCCTCCCCCTCCCCCTGGCCCCCCTTGGCCCCTCCCTCTGGCTGCTCCCCCTCCCCCCGGCTCGGCCCCGGGATCCGTTACTGTGAAGCGCTCTGAGACGCCGTCCGGCGTGGAGGACGCTATATGAATCCAAGTTGTTGTTAAATTGGATAAACACCAAACGCATTGTTCTCAGTGCTGTTGGGGTCTATGTGTGTTCTTGTACCAGTGGTCACCATCCTCTAATTAACGTCAAAGTAACTCATTGTCTGAATTGCTGTCAGGCATTTGACTGGTACGAGGTCTTCCGGGCAAAACGTTAGGCAAGTTTCCTGGCTCCTCATGTACGCCTCTGTTTACCTTGCAGTCAGTAGGTTCCGGGTTGTTAGTCGATTGGTGGATCACTTTCCGTGGGGTAATAATCCCTTTAAAAAATTGGTTACTCAATCCACGACTGTTTGTGGGACACTGCTGTGCGCAATTGGCTGCCGCGTTTCGCCACAAAGTATAGTCAATTCACTTTACAGTATGTTCTGTGAAGCACTTTGAGACATCTCAACAATGTGATAAGGCACTATATCAAGCGAAAGGATTGTTATTATTAAAAGTTAATAGCACTTTTGTCCCCTGACTTGAACCCATAACCATCGGACCCAGAGGTGAGTGACTATCAAGGCTTAAATGAATCTAATCAGTGAAAACGAAGGTACAACACTTTGGTCAGTTCTTGAATCAACAAGTTTAATTTTCCTGGTACAAAAATATAAAAATGCCTTTCACGTTACACTTTACACGATCTGGATTGGACAAATAGTTTAGATGTTGTAATAAATAATAATTATAAATAATCTCCATAAAATATCCATGGCATATAAATTACGGGAATGCAGCATTTTAAAGGTCCGAGTTTAATAACTCGGGCAGAGAGAATTTGGTTGTTTGGCTGAGATCTTGCTATCCGTTTGTATTTTCCTGTCTGTGTTTGGTGGAAGTGGATTCCTCACTTTATCCAGCAGATGTGGGACATGAGATTAGCTTATTCTCCTGATTGTACTAAACATGTTTTCGGTCCATTTCTGAGTAGATATCTAAAAGGTACAAGTCTGGTCAAGCTTGGTAGGAAATATTTTAGAGTGAAAAGCATCTTTGTAGAAATCATTTTATCATTTGGAGATATATTGGCCCAATAGAGCACTCGCTTTGCAAGCGAAAGACCTGAGTTCAATTCCAGGCAGAGGGCGAAACCTTGGGCACGTTTCCTTACTCCACACAGAGCCTAATAATAATCCCTCCAAAAAAAACCAAAAACAATAATGAATTGGTCATTTTCAATCCATGACTGTTTGTGGGACACTGCTGTGCGCAATTGGCTGCCGCGTTTGCTTAAGACCGTTCAAACTCAACTGAGAATTCCATGCATCCATTCCACCATGGAGACTCTGGAGATAGATTGTTGGCATGCGATGCGGAATATAATTTAGAATGAGATGGGGGAGGCAGGGGTGAAAAGGGTCTTTCTATCTCTCCACCTCTCCCTCCGCTGTAAACATTGTAAAGTTTCTAAGAAGACATACGCACACATCCTCAGATCAAAGTATTTCTACCTTCACACCACCTGGGCAAAATGTCACGTTGAGAGATTCTAACCACAGTGTGTACAGTGCGAGCACCTTGTAACCCAGTAGCTTTTTAGCGAAGGTAGACAGTGGTGAGGTGCTGAGCAGGGGCGCTGTAGGCACCTCGGACGTTGGGGGGACGGAGACGGACGTCATGTCATCAAGGATCACTTCCATCTGAAGCTGGTGGTAGATGAGTTCTTGGGAGAGAGGGGAGCCAAGGGTTAGCGTCTCCAGATCTCTCGCAATCTCCCCAAAGTACAATCTGAAGGCTTCCAAGGTGCTCCTGAACAGGGCCAGACTTTCAGACTCACTCACTGAGGTCAGGTCAGTGTCAGGTGGTGAGATCCCATCCACACTCAGCTTGACATTCTCTAGGTTGGTGCTGTACAGGCCTTGGAGATCGATCTGTTGGAGAAACCCAGAGAACAAAGGTCATTATTTTTTTAGAATAAAGTGGATTTTTTCTTCCCCTCTCTCCCAACACTCCCCACTGATGCGGAGACCAGAGGAAAAAATTGATCCCAGGTTCTCTCCCAGTCTTGTGAGGCTCAGCCGCAAGTCAGATAAACTGACAGATAACTGCCTCGGTGGCGGAGAGAGACTGGGGAGAGGAGGGGGAGCCAACGGATACGTACTTGAAAAGAAAAAACTTTGCAGGGCTATGGGGAAAGAGCAGGGTAGTGGGACTAATTGGTAGCTCTTTCAAAGAGCCATCACAGGAATGATGGGCTGAATGGCCTCCTCCTGTGCCGTATGATTCTATGAACGCGATTGCAAATAAACCACTTCCTCATCTTGTTAAAATGTACGAAATTCAACGCACTGTTATCTGATGACAAAAGGACAAGAGACAGAGAGAGAGAGCAGTGGTTCTTGGTGCACAGTAAACCTACATATTCTTTTGAAAAGCTGCTTGCTTGCGGTAGAAGTTCCTTCATCAGCTCACACGTGTTTCTGAAGCGAGGCAGTGGAGAACAACATGCTGACACGCAGAGCAGTAAAACACAGCAAAGTTTCCAGATTCCTGCGACCAAGACATGAGAGATAAGTAAATAAGTAAGTAAAAAAAAAAACACCAACAATGTAACTTTTCATCAAAAACATCGGGGAAATCTTATATTTAGTATTTAAACAAATATATATATGTATATAAATATATAATATATTACAAATGGCGTTTTCTTACCTGATCTCAAATCCATTTTTAAATTCCGAGTTTTTATCGATAGCCTTGTGTGGGTTTTTTTTGCCAAGGCGCATAGATCGATAAACCGACTTGCAGTGAGCTGATGTATGAAGTTTTCAGTGGCATTGTGGCATATTTATATCTCAATCAGGGAATTACCGTGGTCGNTTTTTTCTCTTCCCCACCCACACTATCCTCCATCGTATCCCAAAACTCCACCTTTTATCTCAGATGATCTTTTATTAATGATCTTTTACTAAAAATTAATATTTAGTAACTTTTGTATAATATTCATGTATATCTATGTATAGTAATAATAATCCTTGCAGTTGATAGATAGCGCCTTATCACGTATTCTAGACGTTTCAAAGTGCTTCACAGAAAATTCTGTGAAGTGAATTGACCGTATATATTTTGTGGCGAAATGTAAAATATATAGTAGAATATATAATATCCCGTTATCAAGATCTGAACTTTTAAATAATTCCTAGTTTTGTCTTCAGTAAAGTTGTTGAAGTTTACTTTAGTTTTTTAAAAAAAAGTAACTTTTTGGGGAGAGTGGACTTGCTTCTTTGCGGGGAGGCTGATTTTGATATCAAGAGTAGTGACTGTGTATATTGTGGGTGAAATGGGGCGGTCAATGTCTCACAAATGACCATGAAGCAAATGATCAATTTTGTAATAATAATAATTTAATAGATACAGCGCCTTATTACGTCGTTGAGACGTCTTCAAGCGCTTCACAAGCTATACTGTGAAGTGGATTGACTGTACTTTGTGGGCGAAATGCGGCAGATAATTGCGCACAGCAGTGTCCCACACCCAATCGTGAATTGAGTGACCAATTTATTATTATTTTATTATTTTTTCAAGGGATTATTATCCCTACAAAGCGATCCGCCAATCGACTTACAGCCGGGTTCCTCCTTATAGCATGGTGATGGGTGTCCGCATGTGTCAGACGCCCGGCTGACCCCAAAACATATATTTATTAAAAAAATATCTAATGTAAATCTCGCTGCTCAAAATCTGGGTGACGTTGTGGGTCAGGACACCGGGAGAGAGAGAAAGAGAGAGGTAGAAACTCCCTTCTCTTTTCCAACAGCGCCGCGAAGAGATCTTTAAGGTCCACCTGATGGAAGCTTGGTTTAACGTCTCATCCTGCAATGTAGCCGAGCAATGGGAGATCGGAATCCAGTTGATCCCTGGTGACGATCTCGGAAGAACGGTTCCTGAGCCAGGCGTGTCAGTTACCCCCCACTTTCCACCCACTTTTGACGATGGATTGGCCAGCCTGGCTTGTTAGTTATTCTACTCAATCGGCTCAGGTTAACTCTACAAGCCAAAGCCCCGATGGAAACTTGCCAGTGGTTGCAGTGGTAAGCTGTGTTGTTTTAACTGGTTAAACTCCAGCAGTTTATTACCCCCCACTCTGGGTGCCCCCCACCCTCCACCCCCCCCCCCCAAAAATAAATTGCTGGCTCTTGCCAGTCTGCACCTAATTGTTTCCAGGATTTAGCTGGAAGGGTGCATGTCTTAAAGAGACAATGGTGTCTCATTCACACACAAATGCCTTCCCACACAGGTGGAAATTTCCACACTGATGCAATGTGGAGCCCTCCGCAGTTTGGTTTGGAGACTCTTACACACGCACAGTGGTGGGTTTCCCTGTGTGTCATCTGGGTGGGGTGCCCTGACCTAGACCAAAGTATGATGTCTGCGTTCCATCTCTCTTTCGCAACCGCTGTCAATTCCATTCAGGAATTTCAGAACATAGGAACAGGAAGAGGCCATTCAGCCCCTCAAGCCTGTTCCGTTATTCTATTAGATCACGGCGGATCTGTGCCTCAACTCCATTTACCTGCCTTTGCCACATATCCCTTGATACCCTGACCTAACAAATATCTGATACCGTGTCTCGTCACGTCAGGAGGACATCCCAAAGTGCTTCACATGGTTTGCTGTAAAGTGCAGTGACTGTTTTGTGGGCAAATAATCCTTTCTCTCACACACACACACACACACAAACACACAACAACAACAAGATACATTTGTATAGCGCCTTTCACGTCGAGAGGACGTCCCAAGGCGCTGAAACACACACACAGAAGCGCACACACTCATGGACCTTTAAAAAAAGGTGCTTAACTGTCTATAGTTACTCTCAGAGCTGAGGGTGTGGGTCTTTGGGAGTTAATAACATGAGGTCTAAAAATATGGGTCATTTGTAATCTACGGCTTGACACCAGTGACGTCACTGTTCTGCGGTGCTGACGCCTGAATCAGTCAATCTACGTGTTTTTGGTTGCGGTTTCATCTTTCCTGAGAGTCAGGAGTGGAGATTCCTGATGATAGAGTTGGTGGCTGGTGGGTGTATGACCAGACAGAATCCTCCCACTCAGTTCCTGTTCACTCTGCCCTAACGGGTAGGGTTGTCCTCGCCGGACAAGCAGCAAGGAAATATGAGAGACAGCGCTCTCAACGGCAAACTATGTGGGATTAGCTGATTAGAATCCAGCGGTTACCGCTCAATGCACACTCTGGGGTCCCAACAACAACAACAGCAACAACAATAACATTACTTTTGTATAGCGCCTTAAGCCTTTCACGTCGGGAGCACGTCCCAAGGTCTTGGCTTGTGCCATCCTGCGCCTAATACTTTCCGGAATTAGGTAAGCAGGGTGTGTCCCTCAAGGGAGAGAGAGAGAGAGAGAGAGAGATAGGGCGCATTCCGTTCGAACGATCTATCTCTGGGATTTCCAGGTGTGGGTGGGGATACGTGGAATTCTCAGATTGGCTTAGAGACTCTGACTAACATTATAATAATAGTATTAATAATAATAATAATAATCCTTGCATTTGATATAGCGCTTTTCACGTCTCAAAGCGCTTCACGGAATATGCCGTAAAGTGAATTGACCGCATATTTGTTTAAACACATAACCGTTGACGGGTTTCCGCACAGCACGTGTCGGGCCACAAACAAACCCCCACCCGCCCCCCCCACCCCCCACCCCAGTGATTTGCACGGGGCCGGAGCCACGAGGCCTGTCCTTTTAAATCCGCACCGGACGACTCCATCGAAAGGACTGAAGCTATTTCTCGTTGCTGAGTAACCAAAAGGTGTAGCCGCGGCAACAAGTAACAAAAGGCCCGTCCTCAGACCCTGACTGCGTTGGGAAAGCGCTGCTCTGTCCGGAGAGGCCAAACCCCTGTGTGCGCGCGGCGACGACGGGGAGACTTGGGCGGTCGGGTTGTCTCTCCTCTCCTCTCCCAGCGTTAAATACGGTCCCACGTTCCTCACGGCAGTGGCGGTTTCCCCTCGGGAGCACGTGGCGGGCGAGAGAGTGAGAGCTCCTCACGTGCGATGGCCTCCATCACTGCCTTCTCGGCCTTCCAGCAGAGCGTGAAGTCCCTGTGTCTGACCGACTTTCCGTGTGGGATCGGGAGCTGGGTAAGCGGTCCCTGCTGTGAGAGGCAGCAGAGCAGGCGCTTAATAATAATACTCATAATAATCCGAATAATCATAATTGATAAGGATTAATCGTCCTTCCATCCCACGCCTGTAACATCGAAGTGTAATTGCCGCGGAGCTGCGAGTCTGGCGGAGAGAACGAGGCGTCCGATTTGCGCACGGCCAGTGAGCGAGCGATTTATTATAATAATAATAATAATAATAATAATCCTCGCGTTTGATTTCAGCGCCGTATCATGTCGTTGAGATTTATCGGGGGCGCAGTCGGCCTGCCCGCTGGTGTCGCTCATTTTAAGGGGGAAATATTTAAAATGACTTTAAGGTGCATAAGTCACCTCCAACACACACACACGCACACACACACAGACACAGTGCAAGGCATCAGGTTGAATTTCCAGACAAAGTGAAAGCATTACATAAGCACTGTGTGCGTGGCGTGTGCGCGCGAAGGACCCGCATTGCCATGACAAGCGCGTCCTCTGGTGGACAACACGAACATTCACCACAATCCCATCACCAACCCGTGCTCTCGCGTCGGGAGGACGTCTGAAAGCGCTTCACGGGATTTACGAGAAAGTTTGGTTAGTATCGGAGTTCTGCTCAGTTGCGGGCGAACGCGGCAGCCGTTCTCCTGCCTTTCTCCTATGCAACAATCAATAATAATCTCTGCTTTGTTGTTGCTGTTGCTGTTGCATGTGATACACCTCCCACTTCGAAACGATCCCAGGCTTTCGCAGGGAAACATTATCGAGTGTAGTGACTGTGTATTTCTAAGGCAGACCGTTTTAACTTATGTGTGTGTGTGTGCGGATTAATTACAGAACTATTCAAAGTGCGTCGTGAAGGATCCCAAAAACTACAAGTTGTTTAAGTACCATTCGGAGCGAGAGGAGGAAGAGGAGAGAGACGTGAACGAGGAAGATTTTGACTCCCTCAAGCAGTATTTGACGGACGAGTTTTCCCCCTGGAGCACGGTGGGAAGCCTGACCGAGGAGGCCAAGCACCTGAAGGAGCTAGCAATCGTCTCGCCCTTCCTCTTAGACCAACAATTTGTCTGTTTGAACTTAAAGTCGTTAAGGATTGTCAATAAGCACGTGAGTGAAGCACTGTCAACGAACAACGCCAGCGTTAGTCAGTAAGCCCGGCGCTGGTCTCTCGCCTGCTCTCGCCTGTGTCCCCAGGTCGTGGATTTGTGACTCCACGTTGGGAATATTGAGCTCCGAGTCTAGGCAGAGTCCAGGCTGACTCCCCAGCACAGGGAGAGGCACTGTCCTTTGGATGAGAAGTCAAACGAGCCCTCTCTCCTGCTTATGGTCGTTCAGGCTAACATTAAAAGATCCCGCAATACTATTCTACAAGAAGAAGGGAGTTTTTTTCTCTCTCTCTCTCTCTCTCCCTCCTGATGTCTCGGCCAACAATCCCCCAGATTAATTGGTCGTTCATTTCGTTTCAATCTCCAGTGGCTGAGCGAGCACCAGGGCGGAGGAGTGGAGGAGCTGGGATTAGACCGAGAGCAGCAGTGGGGAGCCGGGTCAGGTTAGGTCAGTCACCCTCTGTATCTCAATCTCCCTCTCCAGGTCGGGGAGGTGGACAAACAAATGATGAACTTCCGGAAACTTCAGGAACTGAATTTAAGCGTAAACAACATTACCACTGTAAACTCTGCCCACCTGCCCAAGACTTTAAAGGTAATAATAATATTAATAATAGCAATAACACTCCTTGCATTTGATATAGGGCCTGATCACGCCATTGCAACGTTTCAAAGGGCTTCCGGGATATACCTTAAAGTGGATTGACTGTGTACTGTGGGCGAAATGTGGCAGCAGTGTCCCACAAACAGTGATGGAATGAGTGACCAGATTTGTGACCGGAGTTTGTAACATGCACGCGCTGGCGTGCTTGTGTTTCTCCTGTTGTTGTAGGTTCTGGAGCTGTGTGTGAACGAGATCTCAAGCCTGAAAGAGCTGTGCTCCAGCCCCTTGCCTGACCTTCAGCACCTAGGACTCGCTTACAACAAGCTCGCTCGCTCCTCCCTGTCCGAATATCTCACCGCAGCCTTCTGGTAAATAACCATGAGAATAACCGCAAATAAGTCTTGCTTTTCACACCACGCTGTATCAAGTCATTGAGGAACTTCACAGAATAGACTGTAACCATGGGTTGACTGTGTATTTTGTGTGGCTGCAGCAGTTCACTGTGAAACGCTTTGAGACGTCTCGAAGACGTGTTAAGACAAGTGCACGGATTATTTTTATTTGGTGGGCAAAACATGGCAGCCAATTACACACAGCAACTCCATGACAAATAGTCATGGATTGAGCAACTAAATTGTTATTATTTATTTATGTTGGAGGAATTATTACCCCTGGAAAGCGATCCACCAATTGGCTAACAACTGAGTTCCTACTTACTGCTAGGTAAACAGAGGCGTGTGCGTGGAGTACGGATACCTGCCCAAGGTTTCACCCTGAGCTGCCCGTAAATCGAACCCAGATCCTCTCGCTTGCGAGGCGATCACACTAACCGCTACAGGCTTCTGTGTTGGACCAGTGCTGCAAGACGCTAGCCCATCCTGCGTGAAGTGCGCTGTGTAAATGCAAGTTGTTTTCGTCGTCGTTGCTGCGGTCACTCTTGTTGTTGTTCTAGGCCTCAGCTGGTGTCCCTGGATCTGAGCTTTAACAACCTGCTGGGGTTGCAGGAGTTGGTGACACAGCTCCGCAGGCTTCCCAACCTCCGCAACCTCATCCTCCAGGGAAACCCGCTCAACTTCCTGCCCCAGTACCGGGGCTACCTCATCGATAGCCTCCCCCAGCTCTACACCCTGGACGATGTCTGGATCTCTCCCAGTGAGCGGCACCAATTCACAGGCCTGAGCAACAACGCACGTACGTCCTCCCACTCGGCAGTGCTCCCTCCCTCTCTCCCCCTTTCTCTCCCGGTGTGAGGGGGTGAGTGGGTGACAATGCATCAGCCTTATCCGATGTTATCACATTTTCCTGGTGATCAGCTCAAATATTGGCCAGCTGAATGATGATAAGACAGTACAGTACAATACAAAATTACATTTGTAAAGCACCTTTCACGTCGGGAGAACGTCCCAAGGCTCTGAACAGTGAGGGATGAGGACCCAGGCAGGGTCCTAATAATCCTTGCATTTGATATAGCACCTTATCACGTCGTTGAGACGTCTCAAAGTGCTTCACAGGATATACTGCAAAGTGTGGTCACAGTATTTTGTGGCAGCCAATTGCGCACAGAATGATGCTTTTGAACACGTGCATTGAGCAAGTTGCTTGGAAGCACGACTCCACAGTTGTGTGAGCGTGTGTGTGAGTGTGAGCGTACTGGGGGGGGGGGGGGGGGACACGTGAGGGATGTTTGTGAGGGAATTTTAACTTGATGTTAATGGTTGTGTTTTTGGGGGCTCTTTATGTTTGTGGTTTGGATTTTCAGTTTTCTCAGGACTTTCCCGAAAACCACAAACGTTTAAAACCAAACAATCTCCCACCCCCCCCCACAACCCTCTCACCCCTCCACCCCCCACTCTCCTCTCCCTCCTTCCCATTATAACACAGACATTGTGAGTCCAATATCTCAGAGGTTCCCTTGTAACAAAGCGCTCAAAAAGAAGGTGCAGGAAGTGACATCGCTATTGGACGTTCCCCCACGTGAAAGGGGCGCAGTGTAAATGCAAGTTGTTGTTGATGATGTTCCTCTGGTCCCCCGCCCCCCGCACTTCCTCTCCCCACCCTCCCACCCCATCGCTTCTACCGCCATTTGTCTTCTCTCTCAGAGCTGCTTGTGAATGCGGTTCAGGTGACGGTGAGCATCGGAAACGTTACTGGGATCTTGAACCCCGTCGCCCCCCTGGAGTCAAACCCAAATCCACACCTGCTCGAGGAGACGATCATCGAGTACAAATACTTTGTGACGTATGAGTTTCTGACAGACGAGCAGGCAAAACCAGGGGACAATGTGAGTTTTGTTGCTTACAGCGCTGGGGCCTGGCGGTGGGATCGGTGGGGTATCGAGGGGGTGGGGGGGGGTGGGGGGGAGAGAGGTACGTCAATGGGTCAGTTTCATTTCCGGCTCTCTCTCTCTCACACACCAAACCCACACTTCCCTCAATGCACTCTCAGCCTGCCTCTCACCCTCGACTCTGGGTCAGGATGTGGTGGGTTTAAGCCAGGCTGAAACGCGGGGCGAGGGGGAGGGTGGGGGAAACATCGGTTGGGGGTGGGGGCGGGGGATTATGTTGTTGAGACGTCTCAATTCACAGAATATATTGTAAGGTGAGGTGACTGTATTTCGTGGATGAAAAGTCACGGATTGAGTGACCAAATTTTATTTATTTACTTATTGGAAGGATTATTACTGCTGGGTAAACAAACCCTATGGAGTAACTCGCCTCAGGTCCTGAGATGGGTCTTGAAGGAGGCAAGGGAGGGGATGAGGTGGAGGGACTGTGGGATAGAGTTCCCAAGGATGGGGGGGGATGAGAGGCTGAAGACCCAACCGCTACAGATATTAATTGAGTGTCTTTTTTTTTTGGTAGGAGGGGAAATCCTCACAGATCAAAATCAGCTCCCCGATAATTCAGAAACAAAACTCTTCCCAATTGGAGAGAAACAAGCACCTGGCGACAGACCCAGGCACTCCCCGCAGTTCGCCCGTCCTCGAGATCCCGGCTTTCAGCGGCCTCTCCGCCAACAGACAACTGATCCCCGGTAAAACCAGTCTCTACATTACAACGGACATCCTCACATTTGCAATCCATTACAATGTCACGTCTGTCTCCGAGACGCCGTCTGGCGTGAAAGGCATTATACAAATGCAGGTTGTTTTTGTTGTAATCATCCTCACATTTGGTATAGGGCTTTGGGACATCTTCCTGACATGAAAGGCGCTGTACAAATGGAATTTGTTGCTATTATCATATCGCTGAAGCGTTTCAAAGCGCTTCACAGGATATACTGTAAAGCGAATTGACTGTGTAAAGTGTAGGCAGGTAATTGGAGTTGAGGTACAGATCAGCCATGATCCAATAGAATGGCGGAACAGGCTCGAGGGGCTGAATGGCTTACTGCTGTTCCTTTGTTGTGGGCGAAACACGACAGCCAATTGCACACAACAGTGTCCCTCAAACAGTCGTGGATTGAAGTGACCAATTTACTATTATTGGAGAGATTTCTTCCCCAAAAGGCTGTGGATGCTGGATCTGTTCACATTTTCAAGATGGAGGTAGATAGATGTTTAGGCAGAGATGGCTTCCTCCTGTTTTGATATTACAATGAGGAAGGGAATAGAAGGGAGGGAGTAAGGAGTGGATGAAAAGTAGAGCACATGGAGTACAAACACCAGGATGGACAAGCTGGGCCAAATAACCTGCTTCCATGCTGGAAATCAATACAAAATTCATATTTTATAAATTCTAGGAAGGAAATAAACCTTCTGTCTGATATAGCATGTTGAGAAGTCTCAAAGCACTTCACAGAATATGCTGTAAAGTGAATTGACTATATTTTGTTGGTGAAACACTGCAGCCAATTGCGCACAGCAGCGTCCCATAAACAGTCATGGATTGAATGACCAAATTATTATTAAATTTTTTTGAAGGTTTTTTACCCCTGGAAAGCAATCGGCCGATTGACTAACAATTGGATTCCTACTTACTGCTAGTTACTTACTGTACCTTGGCTCCCACCCTATCTCTGACACTCACTCCCTCTCTCTTGTTTTATCTCGAACACACAGAGCTGATGGTCCAGGCAGGCGCAATAGCCATTCCGTCTTCTGATGGTGAGTTACACTCTGTAACACAGAGACCGAACCAAGAGAGGGCTGGGGGTTGGGGCTGGGGGTTGGGGCTTGGGGTTGGGGGCTGGGAGTTGGGGCTGGGGATTGGGGGTTGGGGCTGGGAGTTGGAGATGGTGGTTGAGGCTGGGGATTGGGGGTTGGGGATTGGGGCTGGGATTGGGGCTCAGGTTGGGGTTGGAAGTGGGGCTGAGCCAATGTGCTCTGAGGTGGAATTAGACCTTCACAAGTCCCTTTGGTTGCAGTGGTTCATCACAAGACCCAGGGCATCCCATGGGCAGAGCCCATTGTGGCCAACTACAGTAAATCTTTCTCGGTGACCGATTTACTGGGCCTGAAGTGGCTGCTGTTGAGAGGCATTATGGTGGCGGTAATGGAGGAGAAGGTAACAACACGGAACAGCTACAGTCATAATCCTGTACACAACAATAGAGAATAAATTACATAATACAGTAAAATTCATATCAGTTGGGACCGTACATATTCCAGAGGTAATAGTCCCTCAAAATAAAAAAAGTAATAATTTGCTCACCCAATTATTTGTGGGACACTACTGGCTATAAATGCACAGTCACTCCATTCCCCAGGAAATCCTGTACTACACTTTGAGATGTCCTTCTGACATGATAAGGCGTGATACCAAATGCAAGGATAATTATTATTATTATAACATGGTGGGTTCTCTGCCGTCCAACTCATCCCAAAATCACTGTAAGCGTTGCGATCAGTCAGTTTGTACCACAGGTGTGCTCCCAGCCTGGTTTCAAATGAGTATCTTGTGTTTCCCCAAAGGTCCTCTTCCATCCCATCCACACTTTCGAGCCGGAGGCAGATAACTCTGGGAAGAAAGGGAAGAAGAAAAATAAAGAGCCGGCCAAGGCGGTAGGCGGATGGGAATGGGTGGCTGGAGCGAGTCTGGATGTGCGGGGCCTACAGAGACGAAGGCAGGGCTTGGGAAATCGGGTGGGGGGGCGGGAGGTTGGAGAAGATGGGGTGAGTGGAAGATGGTGGGGACAATGGGTGGGTGGGGGGAGAGGATGGGGGGGGAGGTGGTGGAGGATGGGGGGTGTGGATGGGGGAGGATGGGGAGAGGGGGGAGGAGAGTGGGTGGAAGGGAGAACCTGATGGTCAGGTGTCTTCAAGTCAACAACCCGTGAGTTAGCTTAAAAGGTGGGTGTTTCTCTCTCCCAGGCCCGAGGGCAGACGGGGAAAGGCAAGGAGAAGAAAAAGAAGAAGAAATTATCTTCGGACTTTCTGAAGGACCCACCAATCCTCAGGACCCTGGGCAGCATGCAGCTGGAGCTGGAAACGTTGGTGGGCGGTGGGCACAGCGTGGAGACCCTGTGTGACTTGGGGACCCCCTATCCTGAGGTGGAGGAGATTCCGATGGTGAAGAAAGAGGTGAGGGCTCACGTCATAGAAATGGTCGTACTTCATAATGATCATCAATAAAAATAATCCTCGCATTTGATGTAGTGCCTTATCACGTTGTTGAGACGTCTCGAAGCGCTTCACAGAATGTACTGTAAAATATAGTGGCTGCGTATTTTGTGGGCAAAACGCGGCAGCCAATTGTGCACAGCATGTGTCCAATTTTTTTTGAAGGGATTATTACCCCCGAAAAGCAATCCCCCAATTGACTAACAACCGGGTTCCTACTTACTGCTCGTTAAACAGAGGCGTGTGGATTAAGAAAACTTGCCTCCGAGACGAGTGCTCTAACCACTACCCTACGGGACTTCTAATGAATAATGCGTAACAATAGTTATCATTAATATTATTTTTTAATAATGATGGGTGATGATAGGGAAGCAGTTTCCCCCGGTGTCCCAGCCAACAACAACAACAAACTGCTGGATGATTCCCACTTTTCCCTGTTTCCAGGACGGGAAAAAAAGTGGGAGGAAAAGGGAGGAACACGGGTCTGTCCAACTGGGCAGATTGAGCATCAAAAGCCCCCTCCCGAAAGAGAAACAGGACAAGAGTGAGTGAGAGGGGGAGCGCTGGGGGGTGTGGGGCTGTCAGTGTGTGGGTGTGCATGTACATATGAGCGCGTCTGTATGTGTGAGCTTGTGTGTTTGTGAGCGGGTAGGAGTCTGTGCGCGCGGAAACGTGTGTGAGTGTTTGTATGTGGGTGATCGTGTGTATGTGAACATGTGTGTGTGTGTGCTTGCAGGTGTATGTATGCAGGAGGTGTGGTTGTGTATGTGAGCGGGCGTCTCCGGTCGGTGCTGGAATAGTGACAAGTTCGTGTGATATTGTCATACATGTTCCGTCCGTGTCCATGTCCGTTCCATGTCGAAACACGTTAAAGGGAAGCTCAGCTCGGCGAAGACTCCAGTCCGCCAAGGAAACAAGTTGGTCGGTGAGTACACAGCGAATCAATGCCGCCTATCAAAACTGGAGCCAGAGTCACGAGTCTGTTTATTGTGCTGCGGTGACGGTGGGGGCTGTGAATTATCCTACATTTGATATAGCGCCTTATCACGTCATTGAGACATCTCAAAGCGCTTCACAGAATAAGTTGTAAAGAGGATTGACTGTATTTTATGTGGGCCAAATGCAGGGGCCAATTGTGCACAGCAGTGTCCCACAAACAGTCGTGGATTAAGTGAATTATTTTTCTTTCTGAGCAATTATTACCTCTGGAAAGTGATCCGCCAATCGACTAACAATCGGGTTCCTTCTTGCTGCGAGGTAAACAGAGGTGTGTCTGTGTGTGCGGAGTAAGGAAACTTGCCTAAGGTCTCGCCCTGCCCGGGATTCAAACTCTGGTCCTCTCGCTTGCGAGGCGAGTGCGCTAACCATTGCGTTATGGGACTCCAGTTCCTCCATCCCAAACATGGGGTTGAGGAGGAGGGACTCTGGAAGGATGAGATCCAATGAGCCAAAGGCTGGTTGGTCACTCTCTGGCGATGATGATGTAGTTATTATAATTGTTATTAACACAGAGTGACGGTGTTGAGAGCAGCCTGTGACAGCCGGTGTGTGTGTGTGTGTGTGTGTGTGACCTCTCAGCAGGGAAAGGCAAGGACCAGTCTGAGGTGGAGGTTCTGGAAGATTCCATCGTGCCTGAGCCCGAGCACCTGAAGGTACAGTTTAAGGTAGCCATGCAGCACTGGCCAAGCATGGAGGAGGCACTGAGAGACACGGGGGCTGATGAATAAACACAGCTCCCCCTCCACCCCCAAAGCGTCTCACAAACTCCCAAGGGACATGAGTTGCTCTCCCCCATTTCCCCCCCCAAATTTTATGTTCCAGATTTATTAACAATAAATATTGTGATTTTCACTTCAAAGCCTCCCTCTGCTCTCTCTCTCTTAACAGTGACTGACAGGCTCTGATCTGCCTTTTGTTAAACCACAACTGAAGACTGATCTCTTCAACTGTGCCTACGGTCAACTCCCCCTTCCCCTCCCCTTCGCTCGAAATCCAGCCCCTCCACCACTCAGCTCCGAGACATTGTGTAATAATAATAATACTAATCCTTGCATTTGGCATAGCACCTCATCACGTCATCGTGACATCTCAAATCTATCCACGGGGTTTTCCTGTGGGGTGTAGTGTAGTGACTGTGCTTTTGCTGGGAGTTTAAATGTGGGTGAAGGATGGACAGTGTTTTGCCCGATCAAATCAAATGCTGTCTGTAATCAAAGAAAACGACATTGTATTTTCACAGTGAACTTTAACAGCTCGAAACATCGCCACCATCTTTCCCGTGACCAATAATAATACAGTAAAACTCGCACAAGTCTGCTCTGTATAAATCGTATAATTGCCCAAGTCATACACCTGCCCAAGCCCCGTTCAAGATATTTATATTCTATGCAAGTTTGACATACAATTATTAATTATATGGTCCCAACTGATACAGCTTACGAGAGGTTTACTGTAATAAGAATAAGAATCTTTGCATTTGATGCAGTACCTTATCACATTGATAATTCATCATCGTATAAGTGGTGATTATATAACTATTAATAATAATGATTGTTAATTGCTGTGCTTGAATGGCTGCCGCGTTTTGCCCATAAAATACACAGTCACTTCACTATACAGTGTATTCTGTGAAGCGCATTGAGACGTCTCAACGATGTGATGAGGCGCTGTATCAAATGCGAGGGTTATTATTATTACCGACGCGTCGCAAAGCATTTCACAGCCTCAGTCTTCCCTCAGGTACTGCTCTGGAATCTCCTCCTCTGGGGCGGGGGCTGCAGCGGGTGTCGGGGTCTCTCTCCCTGGCTCCGCTTGTCGCTGCCGGCGAATGTCCTCTGCCTGGATCTGAGCCAGGTTGCCTTCGGCTCTTACTGCCTGCTCCCTCAGCTCCTCCACACGCCCCTGGCACAGCTCCAGCTGTGTGCGGGCCGTCACTGAGGCCTGGTCAGCTCCTGGGAGGTGGGGGAGAGTCAGTATCCATCCCATAATACAATAGCCAGGCAAGGTGGGGGGGAGAGAACTTGCAACATAGACTCTATGACATGGGAGTCTTATGGGGGGGTCGGAGCACCTGAGCTTGTGTGTGGGCGTGGGGTGGGGTGGGGGGAGGGTGGTGGAAAGAGACCCGTGCGGGGATGGAGGGGGGAGGGAGCCGGATGGGAGGGTAAGAGCCAGTTTCCATCCCATAATGTAACAGTCAGAAAAGTGGTAGCCATGGAGGGGAACCGGTAACGCAGCCTGGACTCTGATGCTGCGTCTTATGGGGGTTTGAGGCAGGAGTGGGAGAAAGACCTATGCTTATGGGAGGGAGATGGGGGAAAATACACGTGGGGGTGCGGGGCGGGGGTGCGGGCAGCCCGTTCGTGCTGGAGGCTTGGCTCAGCACCTGCTTGATATGCTGCCTCAGCTGCCATCTCAGACAACTTCACCGCTGTCAGCCACTTGGCCTCGAACTGCAGACATGCCTCCTGCTGCTCCTTTATCTGTAAAGATACAGCCATGGAGTCAACGGATCAATCAATCAATCAATCAATCAATCAATCTATTGATCCACTTAAAAAAAATGTCTGGACCTGAACGTGGCAAGCTCCTCCCTCCCCCCCCCCCACCACCCACCCGTTACCCCACCCCTCGGGTCTCAAGCTCCCCCCACCACACAGGTGGGGCTTGAAGCGACTGAGCCACAGGTTGAAGGAAAAGGCCTCACTCTACCTTGACTCGAGCTCCAACGATAACCTGCCACACAGCATCCTCCTCACTGCCTGTGATGCGGGGAGCCAGCTCAGTGTACCGCTGCTGGAGAGAGACCAGGGTATACACAGCCTGCAACCAGGGGAGTCCAAGGTTAGTTAGTTACCTACTTACTCTGTTTGTTATTCGGGAACTTAACTCAAACAAATGTTTACATTAAAATATCATGAACAGTTCTCCCAGCGGTTGTCCCAGAAAATAATAATAATCCTTGCATTTGATACAGCGCCTTATCACGTCGTCGACGTCTCAAAGCGCTTCACAGTAAAATGTAGTGACTGTATTCTGTGGGCAAAATGCGGCAGCCAATTGCGCACAGCAGACCCACAAACAGTTGTCAATTGAGCCACCACATTTTTCAAAAAAAGGGATTATTAACCCCGGAAAGCAATCCGGCAATTGACTAACAACTGGGTTCCTATTTATTTACTGTGAGGCAAACAGAGGCTTGTGCGTGGAGTAAGGAAACGTAAGGTTTCACCCTGACCCGCCTGGGAATCGAACCCGGGACCTCTCGCTTGCGAGGCGAGTGCTCTAACCACTGTGCTACGGGGGTTTCGGGTACCAGAGGGAAGCACAAACAAACACACCTTGTTGTATCGTGTCAGAGCTTCGGCGAACGCTAGAGTGGTCTGTGACAGGAAGGTGTTGGCTCCGTCGGTTGCTAACGACGCCGCTCGCTTGATTAAATCTTCGTGTGAGAGAGAGAGCAACGGGCTCTGCAGCAGAGAGAGAAACACAGACATTAGGTAGGTAGGTAGGTAGGTAGGTAGGTAGGTGTGGAGGTGGAACCGGGCAGGAAGAGGCAGCATAGCACATGGTTAACTTTCCAGCTCTTTCCCAATCTTCTGACACATTCAGCCCAACTTGTCCAAGCTTCACCCCCCTCCCTCAGGTAAGCACAACCTCAATTGGCTTCAATGCCTCTCCGCCAACCTCTCCTCCTCCTCAACCCCCATCCTCTGCTGTCATTCGCAGTCAAGGCTCGATAATAATAATCCTTGCATTTGATACAGCCCCTTATCACGTCTTCGAGACGAGTCAAAGTGCTTCACAGAATATGCTGTCAAGTGCAGTGACTGTGCATTTTGTGGGCGAAACGCGGCAGCCGATTGCACACAGCAGCGTCCCACAAACAGTCGTGGATTGAGTGACCAAGTTATTATTATTTTGTGGGGGAGGGATTATTGAAACAACCGCACCTCCCGGAAGTAAAGGGAGAGAGAGATTCAAACCAATCTGTGAGGGAGAAACTGTCTTGTGAAGAAACTGAACCCAGGAAACAAACAACTGTGCGTTTTCATAGTGCCTCCTCTTGAGATCAAAATTAGCCATTCCTTTCTTTTCACACTTGTGAGCAAGTTAAACCCGAAAGTGAAAGTTACTGCGTGTTTTAACCTTTAGAACCGCAGGATCGTCCCCAAGTCAGAAACTGTTCACAAGTCCATGACTCTTAATAATACATAATAATTAATAATACCATCAATAAAAATAATTTCACTTTACAGTATATTCTGTGAAGCGCTGCGAGACATCTCGTTGACACGATAAGGCGTTACATCGAATTTATTGCAATGGTTTACATGTGTATTAAGGATTATAATCATTTTCCTTTGCATTTGATACCGTGCCTCGTCACGAGTGTATCATTAATTATTCTAAATCAGAAAAGCTAATTAGCTAATTATCAGCTTAAACTTGTCATTGCTGTTTTTTTGGGGGTTTGGGCGGGGGGGGGGGGTGTGGGGGGGTACAATACACGAGAAACAGCTGAACCCGACACGTCTGTCTGCGGCTTTCGCAGCGGATGGGACGAACCTGTGGAGCCACGGGCACAGCGGCCAGGGCAGCCGCCACCCCCACCTGCACCCGCCGCCACCCCCGGGGAGTCGGGGTCTGTGTCCGGGGCAGAGTCGGGGGGAGGAGCCTTTTTAATGGGGGAGAAAAAAAAGAGAATCAGAGGGAAAGAGAACAAACAGCAACTCGGTCAGTCCCGGAGCAGCCGCGGCCTCGACACCCGGCGCTGCGGAGACGCGGTGCAGAGCGGATACACTGTACCCAACGCGGTCACGTGGACACAGTGTATCCAACGGTAGAAAGTGGATACATCGTATCCAACTCTGTGAAGTGGATACATTGTGCCCAACTCCGGCAGTGTACAAAGTGGATACATTGTATCCCCGTCTGTCCCATTGTCCCCTTCTCCCCCCACCGCCCCCCACACCCACACACATCCACACACACCCCCCCACCCACACACCCCCCCCCACCCCCCCCCCCACACACACACCCCCCCCACACACCCCCCCACACACACCCCCCCACACACACACCCCCACACACACACCCCCACCCACCCACACACCCCCACACACCCCCCCACCCCCCCACCCCACCCCCACCCCCCCCCACCCCACCCCCACCCCCCCCACACCCCCCCCCACACACCCCCCCACCCCCCCCCCTCACAGCTCCAGCGCGCGCCGCCTCTCGCGCTAATTCGTGTTCAACTTTGTTTTTAAATCGTATTTGCGTTTTTTTCTTTAAAAAAAAACCCCCAAACTCTGTCACTGTGTCTCTTACCTCGACCCTCGGCCCCACTTGCAGAGCGCGCGCCGCAGAGCTGCGGCCATGACACCAGCGGGTGGGCGGTGGCCTCCTGCCGTCCGCTGTCAGTCAGGCCGAGCACGTGACGCCGCCATCTTGGCAAAGGGGCCGGGACGCGACGCCGCCATCTTGGCAAAGGGGCAAGACGCGACGCCGCCATCTTGGCAAAGGGCCGGGACGCGACGCCGCCATCTTGGCAAAGGGGCAAGGACGCGACGCCGCCATCTTGGCAAAGGGCCGGGACGCGACGCCGCCATCTTGGCAAAGGGGCAAGGACGCGACGCCGCCATCTTGGCAAAGGGCCGGGACGCGACGCCGCCATCTTGGCAAAGGGGCACCACGTGACGCCGCCATCTTGGTAAAGGAGAGCAGGTGAGCCAGTCCCATGCGACGTTTGAAGAGGGTGTGTGTGTTTTTTACACACACACACGCGCTTCGTGGAATCTACAGGTTTTTGTTGTTTTTCGTGGCTCTGAGGCTTTACAATCGGCCTCTCAGCGACTTGTATATCAGCATTTAGAGCGCTCTGGGATTCTGACTCTGCGCCTCAATGTGACTGTGTCCATGTGATGTCAATGTCAATGTGAGTTGTTGTATTTCGGGGATTTCGGACGCGTTCACTTCAGCAGTTGGTGTTGTTGTGTCTCTCGGAGCCGCCGAGAGTGTGTAACCCGGAAACCCGGGGACTGAGGTGGGACAGGAGTTCAGCACTGACGGGGGAGTGGGGGAGTGTCCAACACCTTCCCGACCCGAAAGGCTCTGTGTAAACGTCATCTGTTGTTGTTGTTTGTTGCTTTGCTCGGGTTGGGGGGGGGGGTCGGGGGTCGGGGGTGGGGTGGGGGTGAGGTGGGGGTCGGGGTTGGGGGGGGTTTGGGGGTCGGGGTGGGGGTGGGGGGGGATTACAAGTCTTTGCTCTGTTCTAAACTACAGGTCTTGGATTAAGAAAAGAGAACCAATAGACTGGTCAGAGATCACAGTTTATTTCGTTAAAATTAAAAATTCCATTTGAGTATTGATCCAAACCACAGCTGTTACCACACGGAGGGAACCTGACCCCTCGCGGCACGAGGCGCCAACTGATGAGAGCAAAAGGAAATGGACAACTTCAAAGTTATTGAATCTAATGGCAAAATGAGCCGTTCTCTTTGGGATCTTGTCTTTACTATAGGGGTCACATAACCAGCGCAGTGCCACACTGCACTGCCAGCCCGGGCTTCACTGCTGCTGGTCTAACCCTTGCCAGGAAGGCATCTGGGCATCATTGCTGGACACAGACGATATAGGAGACCTTACACACAGGTATATTCATTCACAAGATTCATGACAGTATGAATAATAATAATTTCGATAGACGCCACAAAGTGAATTAGACGGGCCAGAAATCTGCAGAATATACATGAACTACAAGAACTGGCTTAAAGTGCAGGCGAAAGGTTTAAATACAAGACAGAACTTCCCAAGGCAATTAAATATGACCTTTGGTGTGTTAACTTAATAGCGTTGCATAATAATCTGATTGGACGCGATTTCCTCTTGTGGTTCAGAGACCAATCACTTGACCACCAGGAGGTAGGTTGTCCATCCGGCCACCACCAAAGCCCCCAGGAGTATGGTGTAGCTGAAGAGAACAAAGGCTAAAAGCTCCTTCAGGACTCGGAGATAATGGACAGTGAAGAGTTGGTGGGGCAATCTCCTCCCAGCCATCGCCTCTCAGTTGGCAGACTGTGGAAGCCTCCCTCAAAAGTAACTGTGATTCTGAGGAAAAGGAGCCAGCCAGTCGCTCCCCTCTTATTCCTGCTTTGATCAAAATTCCCCTTTTTTTAAAAAAGGAAAAAAAACACGGGCACAGATTACAACAGCAACAACAAGAACAACAAATTAAATTGGCATTGGCTTTCACACTGGGAGGACATCCCAAGGCACTGGACAGTCTGAGATTTGCACCCGAGCTGGTGGTCGGGATCAGGAGGGGTGGTGGGCAGGGAGGGTGGGGGTAGGAGGGTGCCCGAAGGCGCTGTCAAAGAGGAAGGTCTTGAGACAGGCCGTGAAGGAGGCGAGGTGGCCCACCAGTATATTTAGATCTTGGCAGATCTTTCCATCCCAATGCCCCGCCCTTTGGCTCCTAAATACCTTTAATTCCTTCCTTCAAATCCAGCAGTAAAACCATGTCCATCCGGACGTTTTATGGGCTGATGTGGATGCCAGGAATGTTTTTAACATTAATATTTAATACTTTCAAATGCTTTCTTCCCTCTCTTTAGATTGATTGACTAGGATTTGGGGGGACGTGAGGTTATTAGGAGTTGTGTAAGATAAGAAGAAGGAAAGCGAAGGGTCTGAGACAGCAGGGAGAGTGGGAGTTTGGTTTGTAGTTAATTTCCAATACTTGGTACTTCAATATATATTTATGTATATTTTATATAATAGTTTCACACCAATTCAATTGTGTGCTGAGTGAAGCGTACTCTCTGATCAGAGGCCAGGGGACTGAATTTGCACACTTCCTTGAATTGTATAATTACCACAAGGTGTTATGAAACGTCACAAATTTATACACCACATATCACGTTCAGTACTAAAATTCCACATCAGTTTTAATCTTTAAATATTTTAAGTTAACAATTATTATTTTTTCTTTTTAAAAAAATCAAAACCTAAGATTGAGACAAAGAAAATAAAAATGAACTGAAGGTTTTCAAGATTTCTGGTTAAATTATTGTGAATTTATTATGAATTATTATGAATTTTACAGTCTGCTTCATTTATTAGTAAGATATCACCCTTGCATATCAGTAGATATTACATTTAAAATATAAATATACAACCAGGGAGAACTAACATGGCTCTTTAAAGATTAGAGATTATAAAAGATATTTCATACAGTCCTACTCATTATTTTTGAATAGGCAAATCTGGGACAAGTGAGTATAACTGAGATTTAAGTTTCAGCGACTTATGTTGTTGAGATGTCTCAAAGCACTTCATAGAATAAACTGTAAAGTGGAATGACTATTTTGTGGGCAAAAACTCAGCAAAAAATTGCGCTGTGGATTGAGTGACCAAATTATTATTTGTTTTTTTTTTTGTATGGATTATGACCCCCAGAAAAACGATCTGCCAATCGACTAACAACCGGGTTCCTACTTACCGCTCGGTAAGCAGAGGCGTGTGGAGTAAGGAAACTTGCCCAACATTTTGCCCTGCTCCCGGGAATTAAACCCGGGTCCTCTCGCTTGCGAGGCGAGTGCTCTAACCGCTAAACTAAAAACAATCCATGCATTTGATATAACGCCTTATCACGTCATTGAGACGTCTCAAAAAGCTTCACATGATATACTATAAAGTGGATTGACTGTATATTTTGTGGACGAATGTTCAGTTCCCTGAACTTATTTGGTGTCAAAGTAATTTTCAAATACAATTAGTTACAAAAAATAAGGATTTATTAACTTAGCCCCAAAAAATAACAATGACAAATTATAAACCACCCACAGGTGAGGGTCTGAGCACTTTAGTGATCTTAACAGTAAATCTGCACACCAAAACACTGTTATTTATACACAATCCTCATGTCTAGTGTTTGCTCCTCTTCCCCAAATTAAGTACAAGTTTCCCGTTAGCTTCGAGGAGTCTCTGGAGATACAGAACTCCATTGGCAACATTGAGACAAACGATAAACAAAACTAAAAAGTTTAATTTTCTCACAGACGCGAAAATGCCAGGTTCCCCCCACCGAGTGTGTGTTTATTTATCTCAGTTAATATCCCAGTTCTTTTACAGCCTTACCTTGTGCAGCTGAGGAAACGAAAGTTGCTGATAATTTCTCCTGCTGGCAGACGGAACAGCTGAGTGAGTGATGAGCAGCACTTCCTTATGATAATGATACAAATCAGCTTTCTCCTCTGTGTCTGTGTGTTCACCAAATCCACTGGTAATTGGTTGTGTGCAGCGCAAAAGGAGTTAGGTGTGGTCAGGAACCTAATGAAGTGATTGTGGAATAAAACCCTGGAGAGGTCTGCCCATTGGCGAGGAAAACGTTCCATTTTGTGCTGTTGTTTTTGTTTGTCTTCCCTTCAAACCCCCAAACCCCCTCTACCCTCCACCCCCCTTCCCTCCCTCCTTAAAATCTCCCTCTTTTACTAAACCTTTCTTTCCAAACACTGCAGGTCCTTGTTCTAAAATCTGCGTTTGATAAAGGTGACCTAAGAAAAAAAGATCTGCCGACTTCCCAGTTTGGGCGTAAAGGTTAGTAACCTGATGTTCTCTGAGTGATTATGGTTTTGTTGGGAAACGTACTTTGAACACAAGTGGAAACTGTCAATTTGAGGTGTAATAGTTAAATAATAGTTAACATTAAACTGGACTAACAACTGGGAATATGGTGAATGGGAAAATCGCCTTTTCTTGTTGTTGAGACGTCTCAAAGCGCTTCACAGAATATACTGTAAAGTAGATTGATGGTGTCAAACGCGACAGCCAATTGGGCACAGCAGTCGTGGATTGAGTACTTGAAAGATGCTTATGTGACTGCATGTCATTGGTCATTAAACAAACGATAGCACAAATACAACAACTTGTACTTATACGGCGGCCATCATGTGGGCAGTGTCTTGGAGGGCTTAAATATACAGTAGCTTTGAATTGTTAAAACAAAATAATTGCAATTAAAAATTGATCACGACGTGAATAATTTGCCTTCCTGCCTGGCCCAAACCAGCAGCTGAACTAATAGTGACAGTGAACTTTTAATGCGTTTCAAACACATTAAAATCAGTAATTTTACAGTAAATGGTAAAACAAATCTCCGTTTATAACTGAATTATCCACCACCTGGGTTAACAAGCACTACCTGTGTGAGATGTGCTATAAAAATATATATGTATGCTATATAATAATAATCCCTCCAAAAAAACCAAAAAACAATAATAAAAAAAATTGGGTCATTTTCAATCTACGACTGTTTGTGGGACATTGCTGTGCGCAATTGGCTGCCGCGTTCGCCCACAAATATACAGTCAATTCACTTTACAGTGTGTTCTGTGAAGCGCTTTGGGACGTCCTCCCGACGTGAAAAGCGCTATATCAAATGCAAGGATTATTAAGGATTATTATTATATAAATGCAAGTTGTTGTTGGGTTACATTACATCAAGACTGCCCCCCACCCGCCCCACCCCCCAAACAGAAACACAAGCCAACCTATAGGTGAGGCCCACGGCTTTGCTCCATCAATCAGATATCAAAACTCCTCTGACATTAAGCACATTATCCCTTGCCAACCAAGAGAAAATGGGCCTCTTAATTCAATCACCGTTGCCTGCTATCGAATCGCTGCCGTCCTCAGACGGAAATAGAGCACTAACGAGCTGATCAACAAAGCTTTTAGCGGTAATTGCTTGTCTGGAGACCAAATGCACTCTGGCTTTGCTGCTCTCTCTCTCTCTCTCTCTCTCTCACTGTTTTAGTAAAAACATGTTAAGATTTGTGGTGGAAGCGATTCCTGCAGAAGACGGGAAACCGATCAGCACTGAAATAGCCTTTTATTGAAAACTGAAAACTCCGCCAAGTTGCGCTTGCTGGAAATTCAGTCACTTGCTGTGAAGTGCTCAGATGTTTCGATGTATAAGGTGCTGTAAAAATACAAGTCTGACTGTTGGGAAGGTGAGACGGGCAATGTGGTGCTGTATTCTATTTATTCAGCATCGTGTACATCAGTCCGTATTTAACAGGATACATTGAGCCTGTCAAGCCTGTTCCCCTAATTCAGTAGATCTCATAGGTGCTTTTCTCTGTACCCAATTTATCTCTTAATCCTGCCAACACTGTGCTTGCGTTGCTACCAGGACATAGGTGTTGTGTTCAGGAAAAAGACATGAAATAATAATCCTTGCATTTGATATAGCCCCTTTATCACATCGTTACGACATCTCAGTGCTTTATAGAAATAGCCAACAAGCAACAACAACAAAATTACATTTGTATTGCGCCTTTCACGTCGGGAGGACGTCCCAAGGCGCTGTAAATATACCGGAAAGTGAGTTGACTATGTTTTTGTGGGCGAACTGCAGCAGCCAATTGCGCACAAACAGTCGTGGATTGAGTAACCAATTTTTTTTTGAGGGATTATTACTCCTGCAAGCGATCTGCCAGTCGACCAACAACCGGGTTCCTATTTACTGCTAAACAGAGGCGGGTGGAGTAAGGAAACTTGCTTAAGGTAAAACAGCCCTCGCCCTCAGGAATGGAGCCCAGGTCCTCTCACTTGCGTGGCCGAAAACACTAACCCCTGCGCTATAGGAAAAAGAGACCTGGAATTGACCGATTAGGGAAATCAGAACCCTTTCGTGTCAAGCTTCTGTACAAAGAATAACCAGGTCAGTTCAGTGCAATGACATTTCACCCTCACATTCCAAGTAAATCCACTCCAGCCTTTATTCCAATATCACATTTATTTTTCACGCTGTACAGTACTGCCCGCGGAATGGCTTCTCACGCACACAATTTCCATAACATATTTATTTGAAGCTGTGCAAATATTTGTTGTAAACAAATGGGAAGGACATTACATCAAAATAATAAAAGCTTAAAGAGGCGGTGCTTGTTTTTAAACCGCACCGGATCAAGACTTGGTTTCGATCTGGGGCAGAGGAAAGTACAATGTGTCCACAAAGCCCACTTACTTCTCGCACGTTTCAGCCGTTGGGTCAGTGCACTGTAGGGGGAGAGAAAAATACGCGGGGTTAACAGGACTTTGTGGACATCCTGTGCAAGTCAGAAGAGAAGCTTTAAGGTGCAACTGTGAACCTTCCCAGGATAAGCAGGCACAACATTCTGTGCGTGACAAGTGCCTTACCCATCGCAGCCTCCAGTTTGCTATGAGATGCCAAACACAACAGTTCTTGTCCAGGTTTTGCCTCACCCGGAGTTTCAGCTGTAATCAACAGTGGGCGCAGTCTGCTCCGCCCCACAGTTAGTAACTACTGAGAGACCAGGGCTGTGCCTGCAGACTGGATTCTCAATGGGATTTTCAGCACATGATTGGATCCTTGCCTTGTGTTGGCTCCCAATTCGTGGCTTGAAGCGGGTCTCACGCTGGTCTCTCGGTCACTTTCCCTCGTCCTGTGGTGGGGCGCAGTGGTGCCCTCACACCCACCTGCACTCACATGTGGCAAAGTCTTTGAGATTCATGTTCTATGCACTCACCAATGTGCTGTTTTTAAGCTTTACCAACGCCACCTCTGTCAAACGCTCGCTCGCTCGCTCTCCTTTTCCAAACCATTTGTGTTCAGAATTGTCTCTTCAGAACAGTTTTGGCTCCAGTTTGTCCATCAGAGACTGAACCCAGCTGTTCCCGTTGATGAGCTTTGTAGTGGCGATGACGTACTCGATGCCTCCTTCCTCCATCTGTGACAGGAACCTGAGGGCCGCGATCTCAGCGTATGTGACTCCCCCCAGGAAAAAGACCAGAGTCACCCGGCTCTCCCCCTGTTGGCCTGTGCGGGGGAAGTGGGGGGGTGGGGGGAGGGGGGAGAAGAAAAAAGGCACAGCTTTCATGCAGGTCTCAGTGAGATAGAAAACTACCAGCAGCAGAGTCAGGCCGTTATGTCTGGGCCAAGTTTTTCTAAAATTAACCCCCACCCCCAAATGCTTTAATTGCTCAGGTATTTGAATGAAGGAGATTGAAACTTTGACCTGTGTTAATAATTATAATCCTTGGATTTGATATAGAGCCTCAACACAGTCATTGAGAGAATATACTGTCGAGTGAATTGACTATTTGTGGGTGAAACGCGGCAGCCAATTGCGCACAGCAGCGTCCCACAAACAGTCATGGATTGAGGCGTTGTCCACAAGTTTAAACTCTATGCGAAGGGACTCCATACTACAGTATTGTGTAATGGCTATTGACGCCCTCCCCGTTCTCGCTCGCTCCCTGCAGTCACTCACGTTTCTTGTGTAAACCGGAGGGTAACTGCTGTCTCTCCTCGAAGTGAGGCCCTGGCAGCATCTTGAGCACCTCCTCGATGCTGCGCCAGCCCGGGCGAGCCAGGAGCTGTGTCAAGCGCACACTCAGGGGAGCATAGCCACTGTACACGTAGGAGATATCATTGGGATTCTGCAACAGGAAACACACCTCGAATCACCAACACACACAGGAATAAAGCAATTCAATCTCTGTCGCTCCACCTTAATACACAAAACACAACAGTCAATTCACTTTACAGTGTATCCCGCGAAGCGCTTTGATACGTCTCAAAGACGTGATCAGGCGCTATATCAAATGCAAGGATTAGTATAAAAATAATAATCCATGCATTTGCTATAGGACTTCATCACATCACTGAAATGTCTCAAAGCGTTTCACAGGTGGTACTGTAAAGTGAATTGACTGTATGTTTTGTGGGCGAAACGCTCGCCACTGTTAATCTGTCACTCTGATTTGGTTAGTATGACTGAGGTAAAGATTGTCATTATTCAGACAGACATGAAAAAAGGCCTTTCTCTCACTGTGCAGTAAACAGGGCCCCTCCCTGCGAGTGTGGCGTGATGGCTGGTGTAAACGGCGGCTGCACCAATACAATACCTGCTCGTTGATATCGTCCATCCAGAGGCGCAGGGTTTTCCTGATGGTGGGATAGTTGTTTCGGGTCCCGGTCTGTGCTTTCAGTAAGCCGGCTTTCTCTAAGTTACTTAGTGTTAAAATGTGCTCATAACCGTACGTCTGAAACACACAATAAGAATAATAATCCTTGCATTTGATATAGCACCTTATTACGTCTTTGATACGTCTCAAAGAGCTTCATATAGGCCATTCAGCCCCTTGAGCCAGTTCTTGTACAGTGGCTACAAGATCATAGCTGATCTGTATTTCAACACCAATTACCCACCTTTGCCCCATATCCCTTGATAATCTGACCTAATGGAAATCCATCCACCTCAGTCTTGAAAATTTGAATGGATCCAGAATCCACAGCATTTTGGGGGAGGGCGAGAGTTCCAGATTTCCACTACACTTTGTGTGAATAAATGCTTCTTGATTTCACTTCGAAATAACCTGGTTCTAATTTTAAGACAATAACCTGTTGTTCTGGATTCCCCACCAGAGGAAACATCAGGCTCCTCATGCAAGGAACAACAACTCACATTTACACAGCAGCCTTCACGAAGGACAGTCTCAGAGAGCTTATCAGTGGCTGAGCCTGACGCCGAGCCGGGGGTGTGGGGTGGGGGAAGGGATAGCGAAGACAGCCTAGGTCTTAAAAGTAAGACGAGCTTCCATTCGAGCACGGGAATAAGAGATCGGCATAGGGTCTTACCTGTAAAATCTCCCGCTTGTAATAATCCAACACCTTCTGCTTCAGCCCATTGTTGCACACCGACTGCATGCAAACCAGTCGTAAGATTTTGATTAAGGGTTCCTTCTGTGCAATGGAGTCTTCAATGTAACTGTTGACCTGGCCGGGTGGGACGACGACGACAGAGAGATGTTACAATAATAATAATAATACTTGCATTTGATATTGTGCCTTATCACGTCTTCGAGACGTATCAAAGCGCTTCACAGAATATATTATAAAACGAATTGAAGCGCAGAGTAAGGAAACTTGCCAAAAGTGTCGCCCCGCCCGGGAATCGAACCCAGATCCTCTCACTTGCGAGGCGAGCGCTCTAACCACACTACAGGGCTCCACAGTAGGAGACCCACGTTTCCAAGCAGAAAAGTTCTATATCTTATAGGAAGTCCACGCTGTGGTTTCAGGGTTACCTTGTCAGTGTCGATGCCAGACATAAATTCTTGCTCTACTGTCAAGTTGTCAAAGAACTTTTCTGAAGCTAACAGAGAAAACAACTACAGTCAGTAAAGTGCTGGGATTCAGTCAGATTGATTCAATAATAATAATCCTTGCATTTGATACAGCGCCTTATCACATCGTTGAGACGTCTCAAAACGCTTCACAGAATATACTGTAAAATGGATTGACTGTGCATTTTGTGGGCGAAACATGGCAGCCAGTTGTGCACAGCAACATCTCACAAACAGTCGTGGATTTAACGCAAGTTACGTGACCAGACAATCACAGACAGAAACCTCACCTTTTCACACAGCTCCTCGGCACATCACAATGTAAAGTGATTCCCAGGGAACTGCAGTGTTCTGGTTAGCGCCGGCACACGGCTTTTACCAGTTGTAGCCTCACTGTATTCCCAGTGAGTCGACCTCTCACCTGTAATGTCTTTGATGAGCTCCGCGATGGAGGTGTGGTTGGCTAGGGAGGTCCTCGCTGCTTGCATGTGCGGAAGTTGCGAGACAAACTGTTTGATTTCACCCACTGTCTTTGCGTTGTGTCTGCCCTGCAGGACAGCACAAGCTGGTCAGCCAACAGTTTCTTATGACTCTATTCTCTTCCCCGCCCCTCCCCGCACACCCCCACCCTAAACAGGTCAGAAAAGCATTTGTTACTGCTTAATAAATATTAATAATAACCCTTGCATTTGATATAGCGCTTTTCACGTCTTCTAGACGTCTCAAAGCGCTTCACAGAATATACTGTAAAGTGAATTGACTGTATATTTGTGGTCGAAATGCAGCAGCCAATTGTGCACAGCAGTGTCCCACAAACAGTCATGGATTGAGTGACCAAATTATTTTTTTTTTCTTGGGGGATTATTATCAGGCGTGTGGAGTAAGACATGCCCAAGGTTTCGCCCTGCTGGGAATCGAACTCAGGTCTCTCGCTTGCGAGGCGAGTGCTCCAACTACTGAACTACAGGACTCCGCTTTGTGCTGACAGCAACCATGAGAAACGACAACAATCCACAGTACAGCCGTGATGTCGCTCAGTGAGTGACAGGACCAATTCCACATCAAGTCAAAGAGTCAGGGGCAGAGAATCAGCTACTTTACATTTTAATCCAACAAAGCCCGGGGTGTAAATCAGACGAGATATACATGGTGGCTGCTTACACAATCGAAACACTAAATCGGGCAAGTCTGGGCAGGAGGAGCAGTGAGGAGAGGTGTAACTCCTGACATTATAACTAAACATATTCATTACATTTCCTAAATACCCACATTGTGTGTCTCTGGCTCTCTCTCGAAAAAGAGAGAACACACGGACACTCAGCAAGCGACAAAAATCCACTTCTCCCATCCCCACACGGCAACAAGAACAACTTGCATTTTACATAGCGGCCTTTCACGCTGGGGAGCGTCTCAGAGCGATTAACAGGTGCGCCCAGCAGCGTTCACACCTAATAAACCCTGAGTCCCGTCACTACCAGGAAACCATTTTGAAACGGCAGAACTTTGATCAGTAACTGTTGTAACTGTTGTTTTCTATCATTGCTCACTGCCCGCCCCCACCCCCTCCCCGGGAGCTACGCTTTACCTCAAACGCAGCGGAGATGAACTTGGCCTTTTTGCTCAGGACGCTGCCCACAGCATTGAAGTTTTTGTCCCTGATCTCAGCGTACAACTCCTCGCCAGAGTTCAGCTGCAGCTTCTTGGCTTCAGTTGGAAGGTCCCGCCCGCTCTCATTCTGCTTCTTGGAGGCAAATTTCTCTGGAGGAAGCTTTACATAGGCTGCGGAATACAAATGGTCAGATATCAATCTGTTAACAGTGTCACAATAAGGAGGATCTCCTGTTGGGGGAAGAGCACATGGAGCGAGCATAAACAGAACAGACACCAAAAGACGCCACTGAGCTGTTCTCCTGAATTTATTGAACATGGGAAGTTAGAGATAGAAGGTAGTCATTTGGCCCGTCAAGCCCATTCCAACATGTCATTCTTGCCATTCACCCCTCCCCCCCCATCCCACACTGTACTAATATAATAATCATCCTTGAATTTGATATAGTGTCTTAATGCGTCGTTGAGACAACTCAAAGGGCTTCACAAAATATACTGTAAAGTGAATATGAATAGCTCCCAGGCTGATTTACCCAGGGTGTGGTTCTGTTGTTGGGATCTGGTGCTCGAGATAGAGAGCAGCACTAGTCAGGAGAGCTGATAGCATTCGCACTGGCATTTAGCAACTTACATAAACACATCAGATATTAATAAACCTGTGAAGAATCTCAGGCATGAGCGAGCTTGTACAGCAACAGATTGTGAAGCCCCTGGTGGCTTGCTCTGCACCCACCCGAATCTCCGTCACAGTCTCTCTCCACAAGTTACACTGAAGTTCTGGTTACATTCACAATTGTTTGTGGGGCACTGCTGTGCACAATTGACTGCCACGTTTTGCCCACAAAATACCCAGTCAATCCACTTTGCAATAGACCCCGTGCAGCACTTTGAGACGTCTTGGCAGTGTGATAAGGCCCTATATCAAATACAAGGATTATTATTATTCCTCAGGAAAACCAGCATTGCAGATTTCATTAGTTACAAAATAAGGTTTCCAGCACTTACTGTTTTGAATCCCATACATTTCGTCAATGAGCCCCTCGTAGGTGAGCTGTGATCCCAGGGGAGTTAACAGGTCAACGTTACGGTCAAGTAAGAGGAGCTTATCAAAGTTGGGCAAAATCTGGTTCTGACTCCCAGCGAATTCTCGCTTCATTCTTAGCATCATGTTGGCCACGTGCTGCAAAGGAAAAACTCAGGGTTAACATTCTGAGCAGGTGAGAGGCAAACAGCACATCCACGAAGAGCCCGAACCACCTGCTTCTGAGCTGGAAGCCTTGGCTCTTGCCCACCCGCGCCTGCTGAATACTTTCCGGAATTGGGAAAACAGGTGGATGCGTCCCTCCGCGGCGAGAGAGAGAGAGAGAGAGAGAGAGGGAGGGGGCACATTCTATTCCAACAGTCTATCTCTGGGATTTCCACGTGGAGACGGGATGCATGGAATTCTCAAGCTTGGTTTGGAGACTCTTATGTGCGGTGATGGGTTTGTGCGCGTGCCAGACACCCGGCTGACCAAACAAAACACCAACTAAATAAATAAATACACACACACAAATGGCTGTAAATATCTATGGTTCTAACCAGTTGGGACTGAATTTGATCAAAATCTCAAGACAGCTCCCTCCGGTGGCTACAGGTACAAATGACATGATGGGGTGAGCAGCAGTGGGAGCTTGAACATTAGGCAAAGGATTACCTGGGGTTTGAGGAGGAAGGAAGGAAAAGGATAGGGATCCACACTGCACAAAAGCCCCTGTGGATGTCAGGCCAGGGCAGGAACAGGTCAGAGTTAGAGACTAGAATTACAGCCCCTCATTTTAACAAATAATTAAGTTGTTATATCTACAATAATAATAAGTAATAATAAATAATTGACAATTTAATTAACAATTAAATAGTTAAACCCTCAAGCTTCAACTGTCTCCGAACACTGGTCCTGTTTGTACCCATGCATCCACTCCGTCAGGCTCGTTCAAAGCCTTGAATATTTTGTACGCTTTTTAAGTCAAAGTTGTAACAAACGGTACACTATATAGTGGAACGTACCCGGCACATTCCCCTTTCCCGAAGATCTGAGGGATGGTCCCGTACAGAGCCTGCAACGTCATCAGGCCCTTAGCCACGTGGAACAAGACGGTTTGGTCATTCTCCAGATAGCACTCCTGTGTGAAAGACACCACATCACAAATATAGCTCCACACTGTCATGAGACGAGACTCTTTAATACAAAACATCAATGTGATAAGAGTTACCCTGAATGCGCTTTCTGCTTCCATGGACATCAAATCGCTATCAAACGGAATGAGGTCCAGACTGTATTGTTCTAGGTTGATGATAGAACCCAGAACCCCTTGTTCCTTCAGTCTCTGCTCACACAGGAGGCTTCGACGTGGCAGAAAGAGAATATGGAAATCTCTGTGAGCAGTCCGGAGTTTGTCCTCACTAAAAAAAAGTCAATGTATTCAGAGTTAACTCCTCGGAGTTCAACTGTCCTCAAGTAGGAACCCGGTTGTTAGTCGATTGGCGGATCGCTTACCCATTGTAATAATCCCTTAAAAAAAAAGTGTTTACTCAATCACCGACTGTTTGCGAGACACTGCTATGCGCAAATGGCTGCCGCGTTTTGCCCACAAAGCACACAGTCACTACACTTTACAGTATATCCTGTGAAGCGCTTTGAGACGATTCAATGACATGATAAAGCGCTATATCAAATACAAGTATTGTTATTATAACTGAACCTTCACAACAGATTATTATTACAGGAAAGCATTTAAAGCTGAGACATGCTAACCTACGAATGTTATCAGCAATGATGTCCATCAGCTCCAGTCTGGGCCTCACAAAGAATATGATACTTTTCACGTCAGCTGAAGGCAAACGACCTTCTTTGAGGGTGAACATTTTATCCACTTCATGCTCCTGCAGTGAAATATTTCCATTATTAGCCCCGAGCCAACAATCCCAATGTTCCCAATTTCTTGGAAACTTTGGAATACAACTAGGTGGTTGTTCTACAGTATATCTATTTAGTCTATTATTTACCTGACATGTCTATTATTAAATATCTGAGTCTATTAAAAATCTGGAACTGAAAATGGTTTTCGTGGTAGACTTGTTTAAACATTCAGGCCACCAAACCCTGAGGTAAAAACACAGCCTTAGCATGTGGCGAATCCGAACCGTTTTACTCAAGAAAGCTACAAACCTTTAGAAGAGAGTACTGTGCAATTAATCCAAATGGTCCGGTGAGGTACTCATCCCAAACGATCGCCTGCACAGGAAAAACAAGTTAGTTTAGGCAGTAAACTTTGTTTCCCCCCCAATCACACCAGTTGTGGCCAGACTGCACTGGTTCCCTATCACCGAACGGATCGATTTCAAGATCCTCACGTTCATCACTGTGGAGTCCTGTGGCTCAGTGGTTAGAGCACTCGCTTTGCAAGTGAGAGACCTGAGTTCAATTCCCGGCAGGTCAGGGCCAAACCTTGGGCAAGTTTCCTTACTCCACACACAGCCCTAATAATAATCCCTCCAAAACAATAATAAATTGGTCATTTTCAATCTACGACTGTTTGTGGGACATTGCTGTGCGCAATTGGCTGCCGCGTTCACCCACAAATATACAGTCAATTCACTTTACAGTGTGTTCTGTGAAGCGCTTTGGGACGTCCTCCCGACGTGAAAAGCGCTATATCAAATGCAAGGATTATTATTATTATTATTATTATTATCTACGCATTCCTTCGTGCCCCGGCACGGCCGCACCTCTCTGACCTGCTTACTCCCCACACCACCACCCGCTGTCCCCGCTCAACTGGCTCTGACCTCCCGCTCGTCCCTCGTTTGCCCTCCGTTCCGTCATCGGTGGCCGCGCTTTCAGGCACTGCGCCCCCCAAACCCCCTCCGCCTCCCCCCTCCCCCTTCCTTCCCGGTCTTCACGTCACGCCCCGAAGACCTTCCTTACGGACTCCCCCCCACCCACCCCCACCCCACCCGCCGCCCCCCCACAGCTCGGTGTCGCGCTCCGCCACTGTCCAGCGCTTTGAGTCGCTGAACCCCTGCGAGTTACTCGAGCCCGAGGCTCAGGGGCAATGACTAGGCCGCACCCCGACCATCCCCCCCTCCCCCCTCCCCCCCGGGGGCCGTGTGTGGGGGGAGTGTGGGAGGGGCCGCGCTGTCAGCCGCTCACCTTAGAGCCCTCGCACTTGTCCAGGAACTCGCGCAGCTCTTTGCGCGCCGCCTCCCGCAGGAGGTTCAGGTTCACCCGCCCGTAGCTGAGGTGAGCCGCCATCTTTGCGCCGCCCGCCTCACGTGACCGGCCCGAGCCGCCAACTGCGCGCGCAGCTCCGTGTCTCAGGGGCTGTTTGAACAGGAGCCGCTCTACACCTACACCCCCTCCCCACCCCCTACACCCTCCACCCCCCACACCCCCTCCTCCTCCACCCCCTCCTACCCCTCCACCTCCTACACCTCCTCCACCCCCTCCTCCTACACCTCCTCCACCCTCACCCCCCTCCTACACCCCCTCCCCTCTACACCCCCTCCACCCCCCCTCTACACCCCCTCCACCCCTCCCCCTCTACACCCCTCCACCCCCTCCCCTCTACACCCTCCACCCCTCCTACACCCCCCTCCCTACACCCCCTCCTCCCTCCCCCCCCCTCCTACACCCCCTCCCCTCCACCCCCTCCTCCTCCACCCCCCCTCCTACACCCTCACCCCTCCTACACCCCTCCTCCTACACCCTCCACCCCCTCTACACCCACCCCCTCCTACACACCCCCCCTCCCTACACCCTCCCCCCCTCCTTACATCCCCTCTACACCCACCCCCTCCTACCACCCTCCACCCCCACCCCCTCCTCCACCCCCTCGTACACCCTCCTTACACCCCCTCCTCCCTACACCCTCCTACACCACCCCCCCTACACCCCCCTCCCCTCTAACCCCTCCACCCCCCCTCTCCCTCCCCCCACCTCCTACACCCCACCCCCGACACCCCCTACTCCCCTCTACACCTCCCTCCCCCCTACACCCCCCCTTCCCTCTACACCCACCCCCTCCTCTACCCCCCATACACGCACACACACACACTCAACCCCATTTACCCTCCATGTAATAATCATCATCCTTGCATTTGATACAGCGCCTGATCGGGACGTCCCACAGCACTTCACAGGATACCCTGTAAAGCGAATCGACTGTATAACCGCATACAATAACCCCCTCCATGACCCTCACCTGAAATAAACCTCCATCCACGTACCACACATTCCTGCTATTCCCCCACAATCAACCTACCCCCCACCCACCACCGCACACCTCAAACTCTCCCCCCCCCCGCCCCCCACCCAACACACATCACATACCACAACCCCGACCACACCCAACCAGCCCCTCCCCCATATACACCCCCCTCCCCACGACCTCATTCCCCATACCAAAATGATGTGCAAAGTGTTGATGAGAAACACTGGCACTTGAAGGCAGAAACTCAGGAATACAATCCCATTGCTTCAAATATCCCAGGCCCAGGCCATTTAAACTGACCAACCCCCTAGTGATCCCACCTGCTCGGGTCCTGACCCAACTGTCCAGCGCCTTGGGACGTCCTCCCGACGTGAAAGGCTCTCTATAAATTAAATCTTCTTGTTGTTTTCCCAATCATGTCACTACTCTAATCCGATTCCCCAGCTCACTATTTCACTCCCCCTTATTATTTCCCCTGAAGTAGACCATCAGTCTCTGAGTTGGGTTCTGCCAGGTGAATGCTGCAGGCAAGTCAGTGAATCATTTTACACAGAGAAAAAAATCATTTGTGAATGAGTTTTATTTAGAGTCGTACAGGAAACAGCATGAGAACCTGCAGGTGAGGGAAAACAACAAGAAGGGGACTTACAAGAGAGAAGGGAAATCATAAATGTGCAAGTTCTCAATTGGGCACATTTAGATTTTACAAAACGCACAAAGAAGCTTTCATTTCAGACCTTACAATCGCAACACCTTCTTCCCCTCCTTCACTTTGATTATTCATAGGAAAGTCAATTGAATTCTTAAATAATTGGGGGAAGAGGAGCTAAAATAATGCAGAGAATGCAAGACACTGAAAATCAACCAAGAATTAAAATGACAGAAAGCTGCCAAACCATTATATCATATTGTACATCATATATTATATATCGGTATATTATATCATATACAGGTCCAGACAGTCAACAGCCGCAGATAATAACTTATTAACGTTGGTACAGTACAAAGTGCTGGAGTTAATACTGTCTTTACAGGTGCCTTTTCTCCCCTGCAACACATGTACGGTGATTCTATACATTCATTTCAAATCCAAACTTAGAAACGGTGGAAAGAAAAAATATTCAGCATGTTCATATTGCTGACTTCTGAGTAAATTGGCTTTTGGGCAAAATAAACCGAAGGTATTTATATATACACAAACAGGTTGATAAAGCCTAATTTTCCCACATATATATTTTACAAAGAACAACAGGAGAGTGTTCCCATGTCATTTTATACATAGACTGAAGTATCCGACATTCACCGAGAAGTAGGTGCATTTCAAAATGCTGCAGAGATTGGTTTTCTTTGTACAATACCCAGGATCACACAAGAGTTTTGCTTTAATAAAAAAAATGATATTTGATACTGGAAGATTGCAGGATGTTCTGTGGATATTCTGGAAAGGAGGGTGGGTGGGTGGGGGGGGGATAGAGAGAGAGAGAGAGGAAATAAAAGGCCGTTGTTTCAGCAAAATAAACAACTTTGCGGAGACAGGACGGACCTAACACGGACGGAACAGAGGACGACTGCATTCAGAACGTTTCGTCGTCGTTGCAACTGTCCGTCCAATGCCCGAACACCTCGCAGGTCTCGCAGTACGGCCGCTCGTTGCTCCGGCTGCCATGGTAGGCAGTGTGTGGCGGGGACTCTGACATCTGCTGAGCCTGCGTGGGGCAGTCCTCCGTGTCGTGGCGGTCAAAACAGTCACAGATGTCACAGAACAGGCGGGGAGGCAGCTGCTTCTTCCCTGACTCACCCAAACTGTGGACAAGAAAACAGTCACCCAGTGTGTGTGTGCGCACGCGTGTGAAACAGAGAATGTGTGAGAGTGTGTGCACGCGTGTGTAGGTGACACACAGAGAGAGAGAGAGAGAGATGTGTGAGAGAGTGTGTGGGAAGAACAACATTTATACAGTACCCTTAACCAAGTCTAGTCTCAGTCCCGACCAAAGCAACATCAGAAAATGGGGGGGAGAAGAAATCAGATATTCAACGCAATCAATCAAGGGGATAGGGAGAGCGGTGCAACAACTTGAATCTATACAACAATGTACTTTTATAATAATAATAATCCTTGCATTTGATATAGCGCTTTTCACGTGGGGAGGACGTCCCAAAGCGCTTCACAGAATATACTGTAAAGTGAATTGACTGTACATTTGTGGGCGAACGCGGCAGCCAATTGCGCACAGCAATGTCCCACAAACAGTCGTAGATTGAAAATGACCAATTTATTATTGTTTTTGATTTTTGGAGGGATTATTATTAGGTGTGTGGAGTAAGGAAACTTGCCCAAGGTTTATACACGTTGGGAAAACGTGAGCCTCTGAGCTTTGGGTTGGGTGGGGAAAACAAATATGTGAAAGATAACAGAGTGGTCGAAGCTTAGCTTATTGGCCGGAGCGCAAGCCAGACAGAAAGCGAGTTAGCTCATACCCAGCCAAGCTGAGCCCCAGCCCACTCACCGGTCCGAGGTGTTCATGTCATGAGAGGTGTTTCCGTTCAGTGAGGCTTCAACCATCATCTCCAGCTTCATCTTCAGCTCCTCGTTCTTTCTCTGAAGATCCACGATTACCGAATTCAAGAAGTCGATCTGTGATTTGGCAGAAGTACACACAAACTCAACGTTCAAAGAGATTCCTATAAAAGTTCCTGGCGGAGGAAGCGCTCAATTCTAGTGACGGCTTTAATGGATGAGCGGGAAGCATAACTAAGTCAAAATAGTTCCACTCTGCACACACTGAAGTTATCAAGACATGTGCTTAATACAGGGGAATGTCATTAAAACTTCCTGCGTGTTTCACGTGCAGCGCTCCCTAGCGACAGACTCCACACACATTTCACAGCTACATGCAGCGATTCACTGGGATTTTCCAGGTTACACAAAGGACAATATCGTAATCCAGTGTTAAAGAAACCTCTGGCAGAGAGTGAATGAGGTGAATGACCAATTTATCTGAGATTGTTGGCCAGGTCACTGGGGAGAGAAACTCCTAAGTCATTTCAAATTGCGCTGTGGGGATCTTATACAGCCACCCGAACAGGCAGATGAGACCTTATATAAATGTCACATTCCAGAGGACTGCACCTCAGATTGCAGCACTGCACCCGGGTACTGAACTGGAATGTCAGCCTTGGCTTCAAACTCAGTTTAAAATCATCTTTTTATACGTTCCCAAGGCTAGTGGAAATCAGGAACTCTCTCTGCAAAAAGGCTGTGAATGCTGGAACAATTCAAATTTTCATGACTGATTTTTGTTAGGTAAGGGATATGGAGTAAAGGTGGGTACATGGAGTTGAGGTACAGATCAGCCATGATCTAATTAACTGGCGGAACAGACTCAATAGGCTTAGGCTGAATGACAGCCTCCTGATCCTATGTTTTACGTTGTATTTCAGGCTATTGTTGAGTTTTGATGCAAGCACAAATCGCCTCAAATGTTAAGCAAACTTTTGTCCAAATGGTGGGAATGCAGAAACAGCAAAACGGGCACGAGAAAGCGAAAGAGAGAGAGCGCAAAAACAAACCGTATCCTGATAGAGAAGAATCACCAGCATGTAGAGAGGGAAAAAAAACAAAGTGGATAAGGCAGTTAGTAACAACACAGCGCTCTATAAATACCTCTCTACTGTCAATTAAAAGCCACAGCAAACACAGCAGGGAATTGGTCGAATAGAGCAAAAGGAATCAAAGCAGCAGGCATCTGGCTACACAACCCCATTTTATTTCTTAAAGCAAGGATGTAAGATGCCGGCATCTCTTAGGGATGACCCTCGCAAAGATTTTAAAACGTCCCACCCAAATCAGTCAACACAGCTTTAAAATAGCCACAGGAAGGAGATTAATACCGGGCACCCTCAAATGAAATGCAATCAATAGGTTTGTATCAAACTTGGATAAATAGCAAGGATTTTTTAAAAAAAAGATTAAAAATGTCTAAGTTACGACGTGTTAATGCACGCAATGAATGCAGTAAACTTATGATAATTATTACTAGTCCTGCATGTGTTGTCGCACACTATTCCCCCCCCCCCCCCCCCCCACCATCATACATTTTATATGGATGCCTATAGTCAGCGACAGAGAGCAAGAGGAAAAAGGAAGATTTATTAATTAATATAAACAGAAATACGGCAGGCTGGCATCAGTGTGTAGGGTACCGGTTGCCATTAATACTTCGTCTGCCTCATCAACCGCTTTAAACACTTGCTCCATTTACTCCCTAGTGTTGGGCACTGGGCAATAAACTGCTCGCTGTTACCTGGTGTTCTGTTGACTCCTGTTCTTCTCTCAGTGGATCGACGACTGGATCATCTATTAAATCACAAACAGTGAAACATCAGCCAGAGAAACAGCACCTTTCCTTTGCTAGAGCAAAACTCATCTCGAAAAGGGAAACGTGGGCTTGTTCCATGGGTTTGGAAAACAACTGGCATGTTTCCACTCAAGACATTATTGACCGACCAGTCAGTCGATCGACACTGAACCAGGCTGGTGTCAGGGCAGGCAGGCTCACCCAACACGTGCATCTACACAGTGATTTATCCACAGAGAATACAGTGCTCTCCAAGCCCTTTCCAAAATAAACCAGATTAGATATAGTAGTAAAATCCAGACTGAGTGCCAGGAATTTCCATAATTTTTGATCTTACCCCATACGATAAAATGTTCTGATGGTCAGAGCCTCAATGGGATAACAACAACAACTTGCATTTATATAGGGATTGACGTGGACCACAAAGGAAAGATTTTTACTCCTTTAAACATGTGGCTCATGAGGGAAAGAAGCCACAAGGGTTAATCGGATCTCATGATTTCAGACTGGAATCCAGTTCTCCCATCACAACATCAAACTTTTTTTTTATATACGAGTCCCAGCCTCCACTGGCCTTCCTGATGCCAGGGTTTCAGCTGGGCCGCGAGAGAAGAGAAAGCAGTCAGAGCATTGATTGATTCTCTTACCTGACGAGGTCGGGGCATTGTCAAGCTGCCTCTTGTCATCATTGATTTTCTTTTCCAAACTCTGGATCTTCCGCTCGAGCTTGGCTTTGTCAGACTGCAGGGTCTGCACCGCTGACTGTAAGTCCTTTGCCATGGCGTTCTCACCACGCAGCGCCGACACCTGAAAACACAAGCCGATCAGTACTAGCAGTGACTGTACCAGGGAGCGCAGCGCTCACAGACAGCACCCCGCCTGAGAACACCCAACTTCTCATAAACAGTGCGAACAAGGCTTGCAATCTGAGGAACAAATACTGCAAAAGGAATAACCTCCAGGGTGTCTACAAAGTCCTGTTATTTGTTTATAATGTTTTTTTTTGTTTGCTGTTGCAGACAAGTCAAACGTAACAACGTCTGATACCAGTAACTTTCTCGTCACTCCATCCGTGTTATGGAAGATACACAGCAGCATAGTCAGGTCATCGTGCCTGACCACGTCATTATAAAGTTAGTAATAATAATCCTTACATCTGATATAGAGCCTTATCGTGTAGGTGAGACGTCTCAAACCGCTTCACAGGATATACTGTAAAGTGAATTGACTGTGTATTGTGATGTACATCAGGTATCTTAACCTGGTCTCTTATGACCTTCAAAACTGCAGTTGGTATGAAGCATTGCTATTGCACAGCGCTGCTTTAAGCTTATGACTGGTCAGAACGAATTGATGTATTACACTTCTATCATATCACAGACATCACTGATGGGAGTACGGTTCCCATCACCATCTGCCGCAGCAAGTCTCACCTCGCTCCGGAGTCTCTCAAGCTCGTTATCCCTCTCTGTGATCAAGGCACTAGTATCAGCAATGGATTTCTGTAATGAGTTTTTCTCTTCATCAAACCCTTTCTTTAATAAAGTCTCTCTGCAGGAAGAGGAATGACGTCAGAAAACAACCATAAAGGGTTTTTACAAGGCAATTAAAATCCACTCTCACTGGTCAGACAGCACTGAACGATTGTCCGAATTGAATCAAACAGAGTAACCAGACTTAAAATGAAAGGACGCAGGCATTTGGTATTACAGTGGGTATTTTTTTTTGCGTTTCTTTTTTGTTTAGAAATAGGAAATCTCATACTTACAAATAGGTGTATTTTCACCGTTGTGTCAATGCTGTGTGGCATTACAGAACTGCAGTGAGACACAAAAACTATTCCAAAACGGGTTCTGGCCACGCTGACACTGATTACTAGGTATATTAGTCGCACAGTCATCTGAACATGCAGAGTTTTTGCATTCCAACGACTGAGAATTTGATTTGTGAAACAGTACTCGCATCAGCACAATTTTATAGGTTTTACAGTAAAATGCTGGTTTTGACACAGAAAGATGTGCAACCGCCATCCCCCCTCCCCACCCCAATGTTATCATCTACTAAAGGCACACAATGCCAAACACTACACAGGTTCCATGCATAGTTCAGCTGCAGACAGATCCCGATTGACATGCAAATAAATGTCTGTGAATCCCTGTTGGCGTCTGGGCCATTCCTCTCCATGAGTGGCGCCGAGCGGGATTCCCAATCCTTTACCTGGTCGGCATTCCGGCTCAGACTTGAAACCGGGGGGAGGGGAGAGGAAATGGGCAGAGGCCTCCGCGGGTGGAGAGAGAGTGAGAGAGACCGAGAGAGAGAGAGAGAGCAGCTTCGTCAAAGATACACAACCATGCTGAACGAAATGAAACCAGTTCTTTGAGCGGAGATGGCAACAGAGACTGCTCAGTTATTTCCATGCTCACAGTCGTAGTCGGGGAGGAGAAAATTAAGCCGAAAATCTGGGTTTTTAGAGCAAAAGAACACTTGGGCGTCAAGTCGTAAAGTGACCTTGGTTCCGCCTGACAGTTTCACTCCTATTTATTCACACCTTAATACCCTAAAAGGCGAGTGGAAGAATTGATGGGGATTTGCGAGTCATTAATTTTCACACAATGTTTAAACAGATTGAACTCTCTCTGTGACACTGCACCAAAGTTTGGAATTCCTATGCTTTGTAGTGGGTTCTCCCTCTCTGTAAGTGTGGAGCTTTGGTTGTTTACAGTTAGGTGTTGGGAGAAATGGGACAGGGGCGTGTAGTATGGATTATGGTCCCGAAGTGAATGGGCTCATAGGAATAGACCATTTAGCCTCTCAAGCCTGTTCCGCCATTCTATTAGATCATGGCTCATCTGTACCTCAACTCCAATTACCTCCTTTTGTCCCATTTAATTATTTACCCATTGGCTTGATGGGGCCAATGGACATTTCTTGTGTTCTAAACTCGAGGGGGAGACCGTAAAAGTTATCATCGTAAGCAATTCCGATCAGAGCAAGTGAATTACTCTCAATACCAACTACAGTTTAAACCCCCAAGACTATTATCTAGAAAGTGGCAAAGAATTTCAACACATTAAAGCAGGATTAACTATTTCTAGACGGTGCATTGGGAAGAAAAAAAATGTTCTTTTCCCTCCCACAGTGAAAATCCAAAACAACTGCATCCCCTAACAGATTAACCAGGTTGATCATATAACTGAGCCCCTATAAACTGCAGCCCACCAAATAGATTTCAAACCAAAACTCTGGTCAAAGTTATGATAGCTTTGAGTTCAAACAAATCTTTGAACTGCTAACTCAATCTACTACTGTCCAGGGGATCCAAGTACTGAAAGCAACAGTTTTGAGACCAAACAAGTGACATTTCTGCAGACCAAATTTTAGTGGTTAATATCGAAGGTTCCTTGCGTCACCCAGATTCTCCTCTTACTATGAAAGTAAGAAAAAAAGTCTAGTCATGAGGCAGATACCTTATAGTGTTATTGGGCAAGCTTTAAGAATGCAAGATAAGAAGCACAAGTTAGATAAAAAAACGTGGAAGAAAAATGCAAATTACAATCCAGGAAGTTACACAATTCCGCAATTAAATGGTTTATTTCGTTTATATATATATAAAAAAAATTGAAATAATTCACAAAAAAGCAAGACACGAGAAAGGAAGGCGGCAGCCATAGTATGCACAAAATGTATTATGGTGGAATCGGTTTTGGCTACTTATTGTAACGTGGATAGACTTTTTTCAGTCTTACCATCAAAGACAGAACAGATTTAGCAAGGACGGCAAAAAATCAGGAGAAGGAGAGAGAGAAAGGAGTGCGATGAGCTGGTAAGTAAGTAGTGCGAGTCACGAGACACAATGACAAGTTTGCAAGCCGCAATGACTTGTTTGACAAGGCTTGTGTTAGCACAGAAATACAGCTCAACGTTAATTACAGCAACCGAGAGATCACATTTATCCATCGAAAGCTAAAACAAAAGGCTCCACAAATCATTTAACTTCTACAAAACAATACACTGTTCGCATTTACCAAAGATTCATTAAAAGCTTAGTGTGAATGTCAAAGTAAAACACAGTATATGACATTTCTGCTTTACAATACATAGTCAAACCCAGTTATAAACATGCTCTGGTACAGTGCTGGGGCTTATTTTATTGAACTAAACAACTGCATTATAGCGATAACTTCCCTCTCCCCAAAACTGCACTACAGCTTATTTGTAAGAAACCTTAATTGGGGTCAAATTTGTGCGATTTCTTACTCAAGAAAACCAGAGTGGGAGCTCCTTCCAAGTAAATGAAATTCGCAGCTCCAACTAAAAGGGCGCCTCACTGCCCCAAAACAAAGCGAATTGGGAGTGGGTTCCCACAAGTTTGTGTAATGGACTTCTGAATTTTCTTAAGAAATACTGCAAAATAGGTACAGTTTCTGATGGCTTACTACATACGACATGGGGTTGAATCGATGTATAAACACACTTGGTTGATGAGCCCCTTTGGCTAACTCTGACACGAACTGCACACCCGCCTACCCCACGATGTTCTACGATATTTCTCACAGCGTGCAAGGATCTTCCGTGCATTGAACGGGAGAGCTTACCTCTTTTTCATTTCTAGCAGCTGGTTATTGAGTGCAGATCGCTCTTCCTCGAGCTGAAAACAGAAAACACAGCTTGAGGGTTTCTTTGTTGACAGAAATCGCAGGCAGCAGCAACGAGAGTAGCAACCGCTCGCATCTGTACTGTCTAAAGGCTGAGTTTGCAGTCTCAGCCAGAGCGGAATATAAATAGACACCCAGCTTTATTCAGTGCTCAAAACTCTCCACGCTTCTCATTTTAAATTTATATTCCTAAATCGTTAGTGAAATGGGCACCACTTGTAGTGCAGGAGGCAGGATATAACAGGGGAGGAAAGAGAAGAGGCGGACATTCTCAGAATGTAATTTGCTTCTGAATAGAGCCATTCCAGTCATCAAAGAGAATTGCGATCTGACACAGACGGGGAGATGAAGCGGGACCTATTCGCCTGATCTCAAGCTGCGAGTGAAGATTTCCAGCTTGTACGGTTCTACAAAAAAGCAGGTGCCTTTGAAGCGCTGTGTTTTACATATCGTGAGCTGGTTCTGTATTTCCTCAGTGTAAAGCTGGGGAGATGCAGGTGACGTGATGCTTATGCTAAACAGCCCGAGTGTCACTGTCTGCTCTGTGGGTGATGGATTTCCAGCAGACTTGGATCCACATGGAGCGGGTCCAGCAAATTGAGAAAACAAATCTCCACCGAAAACCATGACCATAGAAACAGTGAAAATAGCAGCAAGCATGGAATAGGGGAGCAGCATTTTTAATACTGGCTTTCCTCCAAAACTAATCTAATTGCATTTTAACAACAATAATCCTTGTATTTGATATAGTGTCTCATTCACATCGTTACGACATCTCCAAGCGCTTCACAGAAATACACTGTAAAATGGCTTGACTGCATGTTTTTAGGTGAAATTTTGTTCAAGGTGTGGAGCCTACTTCCTAACCTTGAAAAGTACAGAACAAGGAACTTCTTAGGAACCTGCCAGCAATCGAAGGGTTACATTTATGTGAGCAATTCTTAACTGAGGGTGATAATTGCTCTTACGAGCAAGGGGATCTAAAATAATCAGTATTAACAAACACTTTTTTTCCCTAACCTTTTCTTTAAGAAGAAAGCACGGTGTGAATGAGCATTTACCGAAGATTAAATTAATTTTAATTTGGGGGGGATTAAGGCAATGAACACTCTTTCTTTTTTAAATGAGTTTGTATACTTCACATTGCTCAGAATAGCTCTCCCGAGTCACACTGCAGAATTAATCAGTTACGATTTTGGCATCTAACTTTCTCTCTCCAATGACAACATCCAAACTTTACTACAATCCTGCTTTGCAGCACAGCTCTGAAATCTGTCCTGTATGCTAATGTGGGATCCCAATGTCAAAGTAATGTTTCCCTTGCATTTTAAGAAGGAAAAACCTAAATATAACTAACCCAGTTCCCCACAGGCTTACAATACTGGCTTCCTGTCAGCCACCAATGGAACAACGCTGGTCTCCAGCATTAATACTGGTTTCATTGGCAACACTTTGACTGAAACATTAATGTAAAAAGAGTGGTTCACAACACTGCTTAATATGAGCGGATCCATCTTTTGTAACAGAGATACACAGGGATGTTACTGGTGCAAATGTAGCCACCATGATTGCCTATACATAGAACATTCACTCCATTTCTAATTTCATTCTGTAAAGCGCTCAGAGACATCTCTTTTATGTGAAAGGAGCTGCGTAAATCCAGCTTCTTGCTTTAACCTGAACTTTCTCTTATTGTACATGATTTTCAAAATGTGAATCTAACTACAATACAGCATGAGGAAAAGTACCAAGATACTGGGACATGTGCGGACACGTAAAGGGAGATTAATAATGGTCGAATTGATTACTGGGCCACGCACCCAAGCAGGTAAGAGCACCACGTGTCCATATATCCCAGGTCAAACCCAGGTCAGACTGGCATTTACAGCTCCGAACAAAACCAGTCAGACAGTCTGAACTCAGGCACTGAACCACAGACTTGCTCAAACAGCTGAGAGAGAGGGATGAGAAATGGTTGGGGTGGGGGGGGGAAGAGAACCTCACACTGTTACAGTAGGAGCTGCTCCATAATGAACCGTTACCCTCAAGCATCAATCTGTAGAGATTGCGGAAGGCTTACAGATGCCCAGGCTCCAGCGTACTCCCTTCACCGCCGGAGCACACGCTTGCCTATAATCACAGCCGGTGGACCAGTCCGGACTGGCCAGTGGGCGCACGGACAGGAAGCCGGCCGGGTCAGCCACGCCCACTCTCACAAGCGCCTGTAGCGCTCGTGCGGGCAGGAAGTGATGTCAGTGGCGATCAGCTGACGAGAGAGAGAGAGACGGGGAAGGTTGACGCCTGCGCTCAGCACCTACCTTCTGGTGGCTGGTGACCTCGTCCTTGCTCCGGCCAAGTTCGCCCGAGAGCTTGACATTCTCCTCGTGCAGCGCCGACAGTTGCTGGGACTTGTGGGTCGCTGCCAGCTTCATCTCCTCTCTGCGGGAAAAAAAAAACGCCGGCACACAGTTACCATAGCGACCGCCGGGGCAACAGGAGGCGGGCGAAGAAAACAGCGGGGAAGAGGCTCAGCTTCTCGTTTAAGATATTTCTAGGTCACGTTTGCTAATCGAATGAGCAACGGGCAGGTAGTAATTTGAGGCTGGACTACTGTGAAACGGCTCACTTCAAACGTCAACCAAGCCAGCTTCACACTAGCAGGAACGAGTCGGTTCCAGGGAGTCAGACAGAGCCCAAAGCTCTCTCTCACTCACTCAGTCTTCACCTCAAACAAAAGGCTTCACTGATGTATTTTTAGAACGATTCACTTAAGCTTCCACACAATTAACCACCATTACGCACAGCCCTGTTTGGTGCATGGCTCACACCCGCGCATATTAGCTGCTAAGCTTATCAGCATTAATTTTCACACAGAGTCTGTGTGAGTGAGTGCGTGCGTGCGCACTGCAGACAAGCGGGCAGATCTACAGTGCCTCGCATCCACATCACAATGTTGAATATTCCTCAAGGGATCTATCTCTCGGCAGAGCTACGAACGAACAATGTGCTCGTTCCCAGCTGTCCCTTCAATCCCGTCGTTAATCCCATGTGCAACATCTGCATTTTAATACCAGCCTGGACAGATGGTGTAAAACCACGCAACAGATGGTGTAAAACCACGCACAGTTGGTGCGGCACATCAATGCACGGACCCGCTCTGTCCCACAATGGGCTTTCCATCTCAGCCCGGGCCTGGAGAGGAGGATGGGAATATAGAAACAGGAGCAGGCAATTCAGCCCCTCGAGCCTGTTCTGCCATTCTAGTCATGGCTGTTCTGTACCTCAACTCCAATTACCTGCCTTTGCCCCGTATCCCTTGATACCCTTATCTACAAATATCTATCTGTCAGAGTCTTGAAACTTTGAATGGAGAGACACTCCCCTTGTGCTGGTTTCTGTGACCTGGGGAGACGCATTGCTTGGGGAGGATTGAACAGCAGATATATGTGTGTGTGTGGCTGAATATCCTGGAGAGTTTGCTGGATTCACGAACACGTCATTCTCTCTCATTTCACAGAGTACAATTCGATCAGTGGCTTCTATGTGGCTCAGAGAGGGAACTGACCAGCCTTTCCAACGAAGCGTCTGTTAAACTACACAGGTCAAATTACCGAGAGCAGAGGTTTAACAGACATTTTACGACTCTTATCTGACAATGGTCAATCTCTCTCTCTTGCTTTCACTACACTGATGGATATGCCAGGCTTTGGATGAGACATTAAATCCAAGTCCCATCTGCCTGTTCAGGTGGAAGTAAAAGATTTCACCACCTTAAGAAAAGGCTTATAATAATCCATTGCTCTGGCCCACAACCCTCCATTGGGTCATTCACTGTGTGGCTATGTAGGTGACACAAATTAGTTGCTGCATTTTGTCTACAGATACAGTCACTGCATTTTACAGCAATTCCCCGTGAAGCACTATAATATTAAATAGAGGTATTGTTGAATGCTATTTTTTTTGGTGTAGTTCTACACATTTTAAAAACAAGCAGTGCGTTCAGGTCATGAAGTGTGTGTCCAGTATGGGGGCAGGGGTGTTTCCATGCTGGGGAGATAATGATTCTCACCCTGATACTAACCCAGCAAGCTACACTGCAGCTGCTTCAGACATGCTGAAAGCACAAAGCACACTGGGGAGCTATGCAGTACCACACCTATAATTAGCCCGAGCTATGAAAAACGGGCACAGAAATGAGAGCTTCTTCAAAATTACTGTCAACCTCAGAAATCTCACAATAGGGAACAAAAATAAATTGCAGTTTTGCCATTTGGAGCGCTTTGTGGATTTACTTTAACAGGACCATATTTTAATATATATACACACACACACCTCTTTGTATTTGATATAGCGCTTAACGCTGTACATAAAACATCTCAAAGTGCTTTACAGGCAATTTCTTGGCAACTGCAGTGACTGTGTACTCTTAGGCAGAGGAGTAGAGAAAGTCAGCAGTAAAAACTAGAACCGCTATTAGATTTTACAGCAATAAACCAGTTCCCAAATAGATGGAAACATCTTAGTGATTTGCCAGACTGACAGCAGCAGTAGGATTTCTTCCAAATCCTGGTGCACAAACTGCTCATCTCGTTAAAAAAAATTATACACTCCAAACCACAAGATCAAAGGTGAATCACTAATAATTTTTCCCAATTATTTATCTATGGATCAGTGTTGATAATCCCTCTAAAACAGTCAACTAACTTGTCAACAGTCAACAACAGTCTTGTTCCATAAATAACCCTACTTGGATCATCAGGAAAGGCAACAGTGACAGAGTTTGTATCTTAAAAAACACTGGAGACGTTGCGGGATCTTTTAAAGCCCCTTGAACAGGAGAGAGAGAGAAAGAGAGAGAACACGCTGACAACGAGCAGTCTCAGACAGCATTGGGTTTAAAATCTAATTCAGCACCTTTCCACATGGAGGTTATATTTCATGGATGTAGATAGACACATACACATGCTCACACACACATGCTCATTTGTGCGAAGGTTTGAGTGCTTGATGACAGGATACCATTGGAAGACTATTTGGGGTGAGACCACAAGTGTGCGTTTGAACGACTCAGGGTGCTGGTGCCCGTGGATAGAAACGTGCGCACACGTGCATACACATACAGGGCACATACATGCCTGCACCTGAAGTCAACATTTTGCGCAGTGTGATTTTAAACAAAAAAATCTGATGCAGCGTTCTGAACTTGTTGCGACGAGGAGAAATGGTCCAGAGACAACAGACCGACAGCAGCGTACCATGAATCACCCTGCTTCTGCAGCGTGTGGGGAGGAGGGGAGGAATCAGAGAGCATCAGCTACAATAATACACTTACACCAAATGTCAGCTTATTGTCTAAAAGGGCATCGATCTGAAAATGGTTCCTTTTATATTCTTGAACAGGCCACAACTGCTTGCTGAAGCCAAACAGAAAATGCTGAGCTAGGATGCTCTATACCTTGAAATCGATTTATATACATTTTTTAAAACACAAAAAAAATCAATCAGTCTGTAATTTCGTTGCTGACCGCTGGCAAAGTAACCAGCACGGCAGACCCTGTTCGGATCAATAAAACTGCCTGTGAAATATCTCTGTACCTTTAATGCTTGGTTCTAATGTCAAGAAACATCTATCATACGTTCTAATAAGCACACCGATGTCGTCCTTTGAATCAAGAACAATGAGACTGAAGTGTGGGTCCCCTCTGAAGGTTTATCCCATGCTTGCCAGAAAGTTAGCAACACACAGCTTGAGGATAATAGTTCAGATTCAAAGCACTCGCCATGAGTGCCTTTCCTCCTTTAAGATCCTCCTTTATGATGTTCTCAAGATTTTTAAAGCGTTTAATGGAGCACTAATATTTCCCATTATTATATCAGTCCAAAGTAAATCTGGATGGTATGATTATTTTACTGCTGTCTGGCTGATATAATAATGGAAAATATTAGTGCAGATTTACTGCAAAACTGGTCATAGAATCACTGTAGAGGAACTTCGGCTAATAAAAAAACCATTCCAGTCACTTTTATATTTTGTTTATGAATAATGAAACAAGGTCTGATAGGAAACCAGCGCAGTTATCACGTCTTCAAACACCTCAAAGCGTTTCACAGAATATACTGTAAAGTGAATTGTAAGCTCCAAGTACTGACAATGAAAATAAAACAAAGATCAGTCACTTCAGTCTGAAACTGTCTTTTTTTAGCAAAAGCAGGAATCTTCAAGGATATCAACTACTGAGCACTAAGTGCGGACACTCACATTTCTTTGCACAGGGTTCCGATTCTCTGATTCTCCGAGCTCAGTTGCTGCTTGGAGTGGCTCAGATCCTCCTGGTATTTACTGTTCTTCTCTTTGAGCGCTTCCAGCTGAGGAAGAGGAGAGAAAGAATGAATACAAACTTTTGTTGAAAAAGATAAGCATTTACACCCCCCACACCCCATCTCTTCCCACCCGGAGAGAACATAGTATCAAATCAGGAACACACTCAGAATAACAAACATGACTTACACTGTGCTGTGTCAGTAAAAGGAAAGCACCCATTGTGAAAGCTGAGTCTTATTAATTAACACATTGCACTGAGCACGGCACACTTAATGTCTGGAAGGGACCGACGAGAGTAGTGTCCTCATCCACACACCATCTGTTAAATAAAATGACCATCTCCCTTTATAATCTTGCACCGCTATTCCGCTGTTCACTCTCCACAAAGCATTGCATAATCCCAGGCAAGCAGTGAGTTTAAAACAAAAATTATTGGTGACGAGTTACCAGAGTAAAGCACTTTGAATCTAACATTGCATTTGTATAGCGCCTCTCAAGTTGGGAGGACGTCCCAAGGAATTGGACACTAAGGGATTTGGACCCGAGCTGGGGGAGGGCACAAAAGCTTAAACAAGACTTTCACCAGAGGAATGGCTATGAACCCCCACCCTCACACACCAAACACACAGCTGCTGATTATAATGATACACTGTTACCCAGAGAGATTATTTCTGTGAAACACTGAATGCTACCATCTCGCTGAAAACAAACCATACCTTCAGCTGCACAGAGAAGCAATAGGGGGAATAATTGTTCGGTAAAGCGCGGATATCCATGACGAAAGCGAATGAGAACCTTTGCTTTGTAGGAAGAGAGAAAAATGGGAACGATCCAGACACAGACACACGAGGCAATGAAGAATCCTGCTCGATGCTATCTTCAGTGATATCACTACTGGTCTGTTGCATAACCGAACATTGCTGATCAGACTCCAGTCAGCCTGCCTGCCTAGCACAGGCTCCTGCGTTCTGAGCTGCAGCTCCTCACACAAATCAGCTTCATGCTCCAGCTACATCCCACAACACTCCCAACACAACCCTAGTCTACGTTGGCCCTCCCCCCCAACATGAACCGCTTAGTCTTTCCCCAGGCTGTTGTGCTGGCTCCCGCCCCCCACTCCCCCTATCATCATTGCCTTTAATATTTCTCTTCTCAAGAGCCTAGCCAATTCCCTTTAATAAAAATCAACGGACGCTAATTCCACAAGGGTTCGTGGTGGAGAATTCCACATTCCAACCACACAAGCCTCCCCTTTAATTTCCGTTGTGATGACTTTAAAATTTGTGTCTCATCGACAACTCGCGAAGAGGCACAGAACAACGATTTGCATTTATATAGCGCTTTTCATGACAGGAGGACGTCCCAAGGCACTGGAGCAATAGTGAAGAGTTTGCAGCCGAACTAGTTGTTGATGTCAAGAGGGGTAGAAGTGGGTGGATGACTAAAGGTGCAGTCAAAGAGGCGATGAAGAGGATAAGGCAAAGGGACTCCAGGATGGATGAAGGGCAGAAGGGCTGAATGGCTGCTGGAGAAGCTCACAGTAACATGCTGTAGCCCAGGCACAAGGGGAATGTCTTCTCACCTCCTGCTGAAGTTGCTGGTTGTTCAGCCTGGAGGTCTCCAGCGCTGCCGACGTCTCAGCCTCCTGCTGCTTCAGAGCGCTCCTCTCCCTCGTCTCCTGCTCCAGCGACTGATGGGCCTCCTCGGCTGCTCGCATGGCCTAGGCAACGCAAACACAACAATGGTGGTTGGAGTCGAACGTTTAACCTTCCGCTACCACAGCCGGGTATCCCAGATTCCCACGCTCGCTCTAGTGCCGTGCGCAATCGGTTGACGCATTTCGCCCCCAAAAAGGTGTATCACTCAACTTTACCGTATAACCTGTGAAGCGCTTTTTAGACATCTCAGCGATGCAATACAATGCTTATATCAAATGCAAAGATTGTTATTATTAAATAGCCGCCACATGGGAGGGGGGGGCGGGAGCCAGAAAGTAGATTATTCAGGTTTCACTTGGCGTGGAACTTTTTGTGACCATCCAAAAAAATCCACAGAAAATTGAAAAAAAAACCCTAGAAAAATCAAACAGCGCTATTTACTATAATACCGATTAAGCCTCCAGCCTGTAATTAAAAATTACCCAAACTTGGAGGAGTATACATGTGACAATCTCCCCAGGTGTCCGGCTCAACTCATGCTAAAATAACACATGCTACTGAAATCTCTGTGAATGGCTGTAAAACTATATGTCTACTCGATCAGCAGCTGGCTATTCATCACTGTGGATAAACACAAAGTTTTAGGTTTACAAAGACAATTGCTCGCTGTAGTTTAAATTACATTTTATACATATAGAAAAAAGGATTTCACTTCAAGGAAGATACATCCAGAGCCACCAAATTAACCTTGAATATCCTGTCATTGGCACTCAAACCAGCTTTAGTGCATTAATGTGTTGATCAAGCTTAAACAAACCTTAGTTTTATCCACAGTGTCGGACACAGAATTGCACTTCGATCCACGATGCACAATTCATTCAAGATGACAATTAACCATCGCTAACAATTACCTGTGCAAATAGTAACCAGTGGCATGGCATTCACCGGAAAACCACAATCGATTAAAAACAATCATTCCCCATTCCCCTCACACCGTGGACAAACAAACTCTTGTGTCGTGTTAGTAGAGCCAGGAGGTGATAACAATCAGTGCAAAACAAAAACCCGCAAACCTATTAGTGAGAAGTCATTAGCAAACAGAGTGCGGACGGACAGTTGTGCTGTGTTGGTTTACTGGGAGGTTGGCATTCGGTACCTCGCTCTTCTCTGATAAGGTAAGGTTCTGTAGACTCCGGAGTTCGTGGAGCTGGGAGCTGAGGTTCTCTCCCTCCGCCAGCAGCGTCCGCCTTTCCCCCAGCAGCTGCTGGAGCTGAGCAGAAACTTGCTCCTCACCTCGAGCGGCCTGCTCCTTCAGCCTGCGCTGGGCCTCCACCAGCCCGTCTCTCTCGCTGCTCAGCTCTGCCTGGGCGGCCAGCAGGCCCCGCACCTGATCCAGCAGCTCCTCCTTCTGGCGACGGAGTCCAGCTCGATCCACATCCGAGGTTTCCTGCCCAGCGCGGAGAGAGTCTGCCAGCATGGACAGGCTGGAGTGCGCCTTCTGCAGCTCCACCTTCTCTCTGGCTGATATATCCAGCGCCTTCTTCAGCACTTCGGCCCCGGAGAGAAGCTGATCTCTCTCATCCCTCAGCTCGTCCCTCTCACTGACCGCCTTCCTGTGTTCAGCTTCTGACACCAGCTTCTCCTCCAACACTCGATCCTTCTGGGACAGCAGGTCAGCATTGGCCAGCATGAGGTCCTCCATCTCCTGCTGCAGTAAACGGACATGATTCTCAAGACTAGAATGAACTGCAGCTGCGGACTCTCTCTCCACCACAGTGGCATCCCTCTCTCGTGTTAGTTGACCCTGCACCACTCTGACCTCTTCGTCGAGTCGGTTGTGTTTATTCTGCCATTCGGCCATCTCTTTAACAAGACGCTCCTTCTCCCAGCTCTGCTGCTGAAGGTCGGCTGCCAGTCTTCTCTCCTCATGTATCAGACGGAGTCTCTCCGAGTCTAAAGCTTCTTTCCCACTCTGAGTCTCGGCGAGGAGTGAGGAGAGACCGGAGGCAGCGACCTCCAGCTCTGCCTTGTCTCGCGCTGACCTGCTGAGTTCCTCCTTTAAGCCCTCGATGCTGTCGAGGAGCTGATCGCGATCTGCTGCTCTCTCAGAGGCTTCCCTTTGCTGTTGAGACCTGACCTCCTCCACCTTTCTCAAGAGAGAAGCTTTGTCTGACAGCAGCTCGCAGCCTTGACTCTCCAGAGCTTCCTTCTCCCGCAGTAAAGCCACGCAGCGCGATTCCAGCTGGGACAACCTCAACGCGATTGAGTCGTTCTCTGCTGCGAGATCGCTGCTCTGTCGCCTGAGGCTCTCCTCGCGCAGCGCCGCCTCCTCGCTGCACCTCTGCAGCTTTCTACCCAACTCCTCGTTCTCCCTCACCAGCTGGTCCCTCTGCCCAACTGTCTCTCTCTGAGAGGCCATCAGCGCTTCCTTCTCTTCCAGCAGGCGGACGCGCTCCGAATTCGTCATCTCTCGGCTGCTCTTCACCTCCTCCAGGAGTTGGGAAAGGCTGAGTTTGGAGGCTTGAAGCTCTGCCGCCTCCTTCACGCGCTCCTCGACTTCTTTCCTCCAGACCCCACAGTGGTTCCGCGCCTCATCCCTCTCGGCTGCCAGGTTCTGCGCTTCCTGACTCAGCTCCTGGAGCAGTGAGCGGAGACCCTCCAGCTCCTTCTCCAGGCTTTCCTCCCGCGACACCCGCGCCCCACTCTCTCTTTCCAGCCGCCTGTTTTCCTCCTGGAGGAGGCTGTGGCCGGCTTCGTGCTGGGCACTTCGTAACAAAGCCTCATCCAGCTGGGTTCTCAGGGCCTGCCTCTCCCCGACCAGCGCTTCCCGCTCCGTGTCGGCCTCTTCGCGACAGCGGCGGAGTTCTTGGGCCAACCTGTCCCGTTCTCTTGCCACTTCCTCCATTTCCGCCGCCGTTTGTCCCCGAGCAGACAGCAGCTCCTCCTTCTCCAGTTGTAGCTGCTCGCGCTCCGCGTCTCTCCTGCTCCGCGTCTCCGCTAGTAACGCATTGAGGCTGGATTCAGACACCTGCAAGGCTCCGTTTTCATCCTTTAACCCGTCAACCTTCTCCCGCAGACGGTCGGCCTCTGCGAGAACCTGGCCTTTCTCCATCACTAAGGCGTCCTTTTCCAGGCGGAAATCCTCCCTTTCCTTCAAAAACTCCCCCTTTTCCAGCAGGAGTTGTCCGTTCTGGGACTCTAAGTCCTGGTTTTCTTTGCTCAGGGCTGTGCACTGAGATTTCAGCTCCCCGAGCTCTGACCAGAGGGACTCTCGCTCGGCTCGCAGCGCGTCTCCTTGCTGAGCCAGATGATCGTTATCTCCCTTTAAAGCGCTCACATCCTCTGCTACACGTTCGCACTCAGACTTGGCTGACGCTAGCTCATTGGTTAAAGACTACCGAATTTTAAAAGGGGGGGGCGGGGGAGAAAGAAAAAGAAAGAAATCAAGAATAGTTAAGCAAGCAAATGAAAACGGCACGGATAAAAGACAATGCGAAGGTGGAACGTGCTGCGACAAAAAACGAGAAACACTGTGTTAACTCACGGCTTCCCATTTCATAGCGTTTTTATTACGGTTGGAAAACACTGCAGGGCGGAGGGGGGGGGGAGAAAGAGTTAACACAATTAAAAGGGGCAACGCCTTCTTAACCTCCATCTCAGGCACAGTAACTCACTCCTTCAGAGGTGCGAAAGGAGATTTGGGTTAGGAGGGGAGGGGAAGAGGAGACAGAGGGTGTCAGGTGCCAAACCGCTCTGCGGCATAAGGCTTTTCAAAGAGGCTCCCCCGGCCCCCTCCCACTTCCCCCCCAAAGATCTATAAAGGGGGGGGGTCGTCAATTCTTACACTCAGCCAACGACTGCTCCCCATTAACTGCCTAGGAACGATTACTGCGGAGTTGAGTGACAGCGTTCCCCCTTTCCGCCAGAGCAGAGTAAATCAAAGACAAAAAGGTTATTGCGTTTACGGCGAGAGGAAAAGGGCAAAATGAAAGCAAGAAACTAATCGGCAGGGATTAGAGGAACAGGCACCTGAAACAAGCTCTCCGACTGATCAATACTACAACATACCTCAAGGTCCTCCATAATCACACAAATTAACACGCAAAATAGATGTACAATGCTGTAACCAGTTGGTTTTGTCGTAAACCAACCTCTTCCCTTATGCTGGGAGCAGAAGAGATTGCAACCAGCTTCTGTGCGTGTGTGTATATATGGAGTTGAACACACTGCACCGTTTAGCAGTGTAAAGGAAGCATCGAGTTGAACAGACATGTAAGTTGAAGGATTCATATGATACACAGGTAGGTAACAACTTCCTTTACACAGCGCTCTTCATGCAGGAGTGTGCCTTGGAGCCTACCTGGACACGTTCCACCTGAGTTTTGAGCTCTTGTATCTGTTTTTCCAGCTGGCCGTTCCTCTCCTTGGAGCTCTGCACCTCATCTTCCGCTTGCTGCAGTTTGTGGCTTAGTTCTTTGGTGATGGTCTCGCTCTTGGTGCTCACCTCGGATAGGGATCTCTCGTGGGTGCTTTGCAGCTGCTTCCTGGACTGCTCGCTCAGCTCCACCTGCTTTCTCTGAGGGGAAAACAGAACGTTTGGAACAATCCCATGTGCAAAACATCAAAAAACATTCAAAACAGCAAACGCCTAGCTCCAGTAAGATTAAAATCCCTGGCACCCACCTACCTTTCTGACCTCCTCTCTCCCCATTGCACTACCTGCTGCCTTCACTTGGCTGGCTCTGGCCTTTTGCTTGTCCCTTCCAGTCCACCATTGGCGGCCGCGCTTTCAGCCACACTGCTCCAAAGCTTTGGAACGCTCTCCCTCAATCCCCCCACCTTGCCCCCTCCTTCCCCTCTTTTAGATCACGACTTAAGCACTTCCTCTGCGACCGTGTTTACGGTCACCTCCTTCCCCCCCGTGTGGGCGCCGGGCTCTGCCACCGTTACGTGCTCTGAGCCACTGCCCCGCATGAAGAGCGCTGTATCAATGCTAGTATTTTTGTTGTTGGTGTAAGTAAATACAAAGCGTGCTTTAAAATAGTTACCCTGCAGGTGATAAGATGGAACATTTCTTATGTGAAAGGATGTGTAACTGGTCAGGGCTTATTTCACACTTATATAAATCCAAGTTTTTGTTGTTGAATGTGGGAATAACTGAATACTTCCCCCCCCCCCCCCACCCACTCTTTTAAAGACATACCAGCTCAATCATTTTCTCCTGCAAGGTGCTCAGCTGGTCCTGGTGTTTCTGCAGCGCCTCCTGCTGGCTTTGCTCGGCTGTACGCGTGCTTTGCTCCAAGCACTCCTGCAAACGGCCGATCTCCTCAGTGGACTGTGTGAGCTGAGCGTGCAGTTCATTCTGCTTCCTACAGGAAAGCAAGAGTGGGAGAGGGAAAAACTGTTAGCAGCTCGCAAAAAATGGCAAAATTATGAATTTCAGTCAACAACTGTATTGAAATAAAAATCGGCAAAACCACAGGAGGCCATTTAGCCTGTTGTGCAGGTTTATTAGGTAAGGGTATCAAAGGATATATAGCAAAGGTGGTAAATGGAGTTGAGGTACAGATCATAATAGAATGACGACACAGGCTTGAGCAGCTGAATGTCCTACTCCTGTTGCTATGTCACTATTAGATCACAGATTTTTTAATCTCATTTCCGAGGCTTTCTCTCTGGCCAATCAGTGCGTTCCACAGCCTCTCATAAAACTTGGGTTTAGTTAAACTTTGCATTTTAATTAATTGGCTAAAAAAAAAACGTACATTTCTTTCTCCTTCAGGTCTTTGTTCATCTTGGTGAGCTGAGTGGAGTTATCCCCCGAAGACTTGATCATCTCTGAGATATCGTTCTCCAGCTTGGTTTTCTCCTCGGACAGCTGTGTCGTCTTTACCTCTGCAGATTTCATCTTCCTCTCCATAGCTGAATGGAAAGGAGTCAATTATGGGTACAGAAACACATACACCCCAACACACAGAGCGTGCAAGCATGATGCTGAGCGGGGAGTCAGCGAAACGAAACAGTCACAGAAAGAGCAAATGAAAATGTGCTGTGAGAAAAGCTCTCGGTCGTGCCAGCCTTTTTAGAAACGGAAGGGCTAACCCTTGAAAATGTTATTCTGCCGTGGGCGATTGATTGTTCGATACAATAAGCCTGCGATCTTCAAGCTTTCCTCTGAAGCTGACTGTGAAACAGCACCAGTCAGGATTTGGTGCACTGCAAAATCCCAATGTTTCGCAGGATAAAATCAATATCGGTGAGTAAATGTCTACTTTTTTATAGGATTTATTCAGTGTTCAATGGTCTCACAAACACACAAGGGAGGTAGAACACAGGTAACCTTTAGACAGAGAAAGCTTACAGGGCTCTCATCCTCCCACCTCACAGTTCCCAAATCTTCCCCATTTCCCTGTCCTTCTCTTGCCCGACATCTGGCTTTCTCACAAACAATTTGCAAAATCACCGCATAGCTGACTGGCTCAGTGACTGCATGTGCGCACAGGTTTGTGGTGGAGCAGGGCAGCGCTGGGCAAACGAGACCGTGCGTCTCCACCAGTTACTCACCAGAGAGCTGAGATTTGAGCTCCACCACCTCGGAGGACAATGAGGCCTGTTGCTCCTCTTTCTTCTTCAGCTTTTCCAGCATTTCTACAAAACGGAAAATAAACATTAAGCAGTGATTTTTAATGCCCAGTGGATCACTCAAGCCCAAAGCTGCACTGCACATAAACTTCCTAATTTCTTGTCCAAAGGACGGCATCACCAACAACGTGGCTCCCACCTCTCCCTTCCCCGGTACCACAGACTAAATTGTAAGATCAAGTCAAGACAGAGTTTGAACACACAACCTTTGGACTTGGACGGGAGAGTGCAGCCAACGGTGCTACACTGAATAAGCCACCGCGGAGTTCCTGACAAGCTTAACTTACATAAAAATAAGCTAACGTTAACTCAGGACTCCCTCACCTTGCATAGTGTGTTGTAGCTTCTGTTGCGTGTTGGACGTGCTGCCGATCATCTCTTTCTGAAAAAGTGAGCAAGCCATTAATTAATACAAGTCTTTCAAACTTTTCAGCCCTGGATTAACATTTGCAGCCACTTCCCACAACTGTTTTCGGCAGCAATTAATACTATCTTTTTTTTAAAACAGAAATCAAATCTTACTGGCGTTACAAAAACTTTGAGCAAGAAGACATATTTTGATAGTTTTAGGGCATGAATTCTAATGAACGTTCACTGTATAGAGGCAGACAGGAGTAGGAGTTTCATTCAATTCAATCTTAAAACATCCCGCACATCTTTCATTCTGCCAATTTGATTACATAGGCATAGGCCAGGCATCTATCTCTCAATTAAAACTTCTCCCACCACATTCCTCGTCGATCACTTTGGAAAGGGAGTGCGTTGCAGGGAATGGTAGAATTAAACGTCCACTTCCTACTACAAGAATTTACTGATCACAAACTGGAACGGCGATGACCAATAATTACTGTTTTTTTAAAAAAGCCCACTGTAAATAAAGCTCGCACTCTCTCAGCAGCAAGATCTAGCGAAGAGGTTTACATCTGAGCCTTTTCCCCTGCTGCTGTAAAACTGAACTCTTCACAGAGGAGAGAGAAAATCTGAACCTACCTCGTTGCAAAACAATTTCACTCCCACTTCACAAACGGAGGCACGGGGTTTGTGAGCCACTTACCATGGACTGCAGTTGCTCCTCCAAGGTTTGCTTATCCTGGCTGACTGTAGCCAGTGCTTGCTCCAGGATAGCGTGTGACTGCTCTCGCTCTTCCAGCTGCTTTGCCAAGTCACTAACCTAATGATAAGCGTGAAAGTGCAAGCCCGATGGAAAAATTAAAGTTAAAAACAAAAAGGATAAAAAAAATTCAACTGAATGTAAACGTTATACCTAAAGCTGCAGCAACCAAAATGATCAAATATTTTAGTGCGAACAATAAGTGATTTGATTGAGGCTTTGTAGAAGAGGTAAAAATTCTTTACTGGATACCGGATTTCAGTCTGTCCCGCATTTGATGTCGCGCCTAGAAGTGCAGTGACTGTAGGCGAATGCAGCAGATATTTCTGAAAGCCATGAAGTGAATAACCAATTTTATCTGGAGGATTGTCGGTCAAGACACTAAGAAGAGAGAAATTCTCCTCCCAATGGTGTCACAGAATCATTAACATTCACCCTGAACAAGCGGATGGGACCTCTGTTTAGCATCTCGTTCGACAAGGCAAAGTTTCCAGGAGTATTGCAATATTTAATTTCATTTTGCTCAAGTCAATTCTCTCCAGTATTACTGCAGCTTTAAGTCAATCAAAAGAATTTAACTATTTGAAACAAAGATCAGATAAAAGTGTGGATAAAATAACGAGAACTTTGATAGATGAACAAACAAACTTGGTAACGAAAGCTTTTTTTAAAAAAAATCATAATTAAAGGTGAACACAAGTTGCAAAAATGAGTAATAAAAGAAATGGCGAAAACATGAAGACAAACCTTACTCTCTCCGTCATGCTGTGAAGCCTTTATGGTTACAATTTGGGACTGGGCTTCTTCGAGCTGCTTGCCGAGTCTCTCAATCTCCTTTTTACCTCTGGTTTCCGCTTCCTGCAGCAGCTCGTACTCTGCCACCTTCTGGTCAGCCGTTGCCACCTGTGCCTCAAGGGCCTCCAGTGCTCCTACCCGCTCCTGGCCCTCACTAAGCGACACCTGCAGATCCTTTACCTTCAGCTCCGTGTCCTGCAGCTTGCTCAGGGCCTCCTCCATCTCCACCAGGTGCTGGTCGGTGGCTGAATCCAGCTGGGACCTGAGGCTCTCGAGCTGCTTCTCCCTGTCCTCAGTGATCACCAACATCTGACCCTTCAGCTCTTCCACCTCCTTGGCATGGACCAGCCTTACCCGCTCTTGCTCGATCTTGGCGTTCTCACTCTCCGCCTGACGTTCTACCTTGAGCTTCTCAAAGGTGATTTTCATCTCCAGCAACTCCGCCGACTGCTCAGCCGCTCCTTTGCTGGAGGAGGACTTCAGATCTTCCATAGCTTGCTGTTGAGATGCCATGGCAGCCTCTATCTTGCTTTTCCATTGACTGACGACCTCTGCGGTTTGGACACTGGCTTGGTCTAGCTTGGCCTGGAGAGTCTTGTTGTCCATGGACAACGTGTCGTTGGTGGCCCGCAGCTGCTGGAGGTCCTGCTGGTGATGGCTATCGGAGGCTGCTAGCTTGTATTTCCAGGCGTTGAGTTGGCTTAGGTGCTCGTTGTTCATGGCTGTGATCTGATTTCGTAGAGAGCTGACCTCCTCCAACAGAGGGGAGGGCAATGCAAGGTCATCTGTGCTGCCTGAACCTTTGGTACTCTCCAGTCTCTGCCGCAGCTCGGACACGTCCTTCATGCGCAACGCCAAGTCCCTCTCGAGCTCCATTATGCGCGACTTCTCAGACACAGTTGCCACCTGCGACGTGTTAACATCCCACCCCAGACAAGGGCGAGAAAACAAAATAATTACAACTGAAATCAACTGCAGGCCAAGATTTCTTTGCCAACAATCAATCGGCTGCACACAGAATGGTTTCTTGTTGAACCCACAAAACAAAAATAAAATGTAAGTCCTAGTTTTAAAGAAAAATATCAACTTAAACCTTTCAGTAGCCTACTTGCATGCTTAAAATGTGGATTTTGTTGCCGCTTTCATTTTGATAAATTTTGTAAGGTTCTTACCACCATGTAATGGGTAGTGTGGAGACCAGGAAGGACAATGGTTTGATCCCTGATCTGTACAGAGTATCCAATCTCAGCTGGTTAGAGGTGGGACGCTTTAATTGGTCACTGGGGCTGGGAATAATAAGCCAGGGTTTCCAACCCGCTTTGCTCTCCAATATCTCCTGCTGTGGGCAAGCAATTGTGCACAGCAGTGTCCGACAAACAGTCGTGGATTAAGCGACCAAATTATTTTATTTATTTATTTTGAAAGGATTATTGCCCCTGGAAAAGCAATCAGCCAATCGACTAACAATCGACTGGGTTCCTACTTACTGCTAGGTAAACAGAGGCTTGTGGAGTAAGGAAACTTGCCCAACTTTTCGTTCTGTCAGGAATTGAACCCAGGTCCTCTCACTTGTGAGGCGAGTGCTCTAAGCACTAAGCTACAGGAACAGTGTGGTCCGAAGTCAAGCTTCTATAGAGAGATCACGCCGTTCTAAACTTGAAATCTACATCTATTGGCGGGGGATGGGGGAGTAACAGACTCGCTCACAGAGGAGAAATATGTTAATTGGTTATCAGAACTTTCCATCTTCTGAAGACAAGTTACAGTAACACTGACATATATACTATTTTAAGTTTTAAAATAATGCATTGGTAAGCAAACACACTAGTTAACTTATTTGTAAAATACTAACAGAACAGACTGGTCATGAAGATAAGCAACACACTACATTTTTAACTGCTCGACTGGCATTTAGAACATTAGTTCCCCGTACTGTGTGGGAATGACAGCACATCAGCCCAGGAATTGTTACACAGGTTGAAGTTTCATTTTAAAATGATCTTTCCTTGCACGCTTTGTAACCACAATCCCCCCCACCACCCCAGTGTAGCGATGGAATGGTACAACCCTTCGATCAAAACACCACCGCTGTGACTGGATGCTAACCCAACCGTCCACTGCGGAAACCGTAACTCTCTGTGATTTGGCTCAGAAACAAACTTCAGTGAAGTTGTAAATGTGGAGAACTTTAGGTCCAAGCCCTTTGCCCCTTTTACACAGAGCGCTATTTTGTTAGTTCACTATCAGAGAACCACACTGCATGGCCTGTTCTTGGAACCCAGAGGACATCTGAAGAGCAATGGGGCTGGCAGACCTTTGGTCTTAGTGGAGCACCCTGGGTCATTGGGGACAGGGGTGGAGAGGAAAGGGGTGCAGCGGGGTGGGGGGGGCGGAGGCAGCAGAGAGAAAGGAGGCAAACAGCAGAAAATAACAGCTCATTTATCAGAGTTCAACTGGTTACCACCTCAATTGGAATTTTGAATTCAGAGCCACTACACACACAATCAGACACACAGACCTGTTTATTAATAAAACGACTGCTAGACAGACAACCTGTAAACAACCTAGCTGTTCTGGTAACTAGCAGCACCTTATGTGGGAAGCCACCCATGCCTCTGCCACTGGAGCACCCTCTCACTGAAACGGTGGTGTTCGGAGAAGCGATTAACACTTTCAATTAAATTAAAGAGTGGGGGGGGGGTTGGTTATCTGAACATTAAAGTAGCTGCTTTTCTTTCTTTTTTTAAAAAAAAGGTGAAAAGGCAAGCACTTTACCCAAAGTGACTGCCAGTCTTTTTATGCGTGTTTTTTTTTAAAAAAAAGAAACTAATTGAATCAAAGCAAATTTTTTTCGCATTTCCTTCCAATTTGTTCGTGGCCTGGAGGCAAAGCACGACTGCACACCAACACATTGCACCACATGATGGTCGGCTGTGGGATTGCACTCAAACTATCTCAAGGCAGTAAATTCCTAATCGCTTCTCAATTGCAACTAGGTCTTTGCTTTTTTTGGTGGGTGGGTTTCAGTGGTGGAAGATGAAATGCTTCCTAGAGCAAGCGAAGGAAGACTGCAAGCGAGACAACCTGGGCCTCTTTCACACACATGCGCGCACACCTACACACATTATTGGCTGGTTATACGGGCAGAGGCTTGGGAGCTGAGCTGCCAGTCTGACTCTCTCGAGTCGAGGCATTGCACGTGGAAATGTCAACTCATTGTTATTAAGAGATGCAAATTTAAAAATAAACTCAAGTTTAAGAACACTTTGAGATAAAAAAAACATTTAGCGCATGGTTTTAAAAATCTAAATCCACTAACATTTTTTTTTAAAGAGTTGTTTTTCTTTATATTTATGTATTAAAAAATCCTGTTTCCTTCATGTACAGGTAGGAGTCACTGCTTAGTGCTGACCCTGGCTGTAAAAACAAAAAGACAATCTGCTTCATCCTGCCTGCTGCCTGCAATACTTCTAAGGCTATGTTCTGAAAAGCTGAATGGAGTTCATTGATACAGTGAAATCCATTACCCTAGTGTCTTCTAACTCCCTCTGGAGTTTCTCAGCTTTGGTCTTTTCAAAGAGCAGGCTGTGTTCAAGCTCCTTAATGCGGGCATGCTCCAGTCTGGTCTGCGTCTGTTAGTGAAAAGGGAGAGGAAGAGAACACACCAGTGCCACTATCACATGCCAGCAAGGCAGGAGGGCCTGCATGCAGGCTTAACTGCCAGCACCTTCTGCTTTTGATAACAATTAGGGGATGCAAGGGGGTAAAATATGGGCACAGAAATGGGACCGGGGTTAGGGAAGGAAGGAATGGGGAGGTGGAGGAAGAGAGAATGTGGTGGGTGGGGGGGGGGGGAAAGAGAGAGAAAAATAAAGTTTAATAAGGAATGGCACCAAAGATAAGCATAGGAAAGGAGAAACGGGGACAATTATGGAGGAATAACAAGTTTGAAAAATAAAGGCAGATTCATAAGTCTCATGCAGTAAGTGTACATCATTTTAATATCAGCATTAAAATCAGAACAGTTAATATTTCATTTTAGTCTTGTGCTGTAAACCCCCGGCTTCATTGGGTGTATTTACAATGTCAGGTGAGCGGAAAGGGGCGGCTGTGCTGACATCTGAGGTGCGTGACGGTGCGTTCAGCATTTATCGGTGCGGATAAAAGGGAAGCAGGCAACGTTCGCCGTTAATGGCAAATAGATGGCAAGTGGATTTGACTTTTATTGGAAGAGCAGTGTGTGTGTGTGCGTGGGTGGGGCAGGAGGGAAAGGGGGGTCACACTCAGTGTCCTGCTGACAATCCTCTAGATAAAATCGGTCAGTCAGTCACCTTATGGTCATTTTCGCCCGCAAAGATTCACTTTACAGCATATTCTGTGAAGCACTTTGAGACGTCCAGAAGACGTAAAAAGCGCTATATTAAATGCAAGGATTATAATATTTTTGGTAACGGGTGCGTACAAAATGGCTGCGGGACGCTACCACGTGCGAGGGGTGCTATACGAATGCAAGTTGTTGTTGTTGTTGTTGAAGTTTGCCTTTAAAAGCAGTCACTGCACACAGGTAATTAATGTACCAAAATGATCCTGCAATTAAATAGGGGTTTACAGCAGATCATTTAGTCATTGTAAATATTGCAGTTCAGTCTGCATAGCTGTGAAAGCAACATGCATATCAATAAGTCAATGCGGAAGGATAGCTGCTGCAGTTAGTGGCTTCACATCAAATCATTTCTGGGCTGCTATAAAGAGAAACTATTTTAAACAATGGATGTCTTCACACCCTGCACTGCCAGCTAACTAGCCCCTCATTAGTCTGACTTTCTTGCAGAATGTAGCAATCCTAAAAGATAGAGATGAAGGTTTTGCCAATTCCTACCCCCTCCTTCTGGAAGTATTGATTTGCACTGGGGTGTGGTCCCACCAGCACTTGCCTAGTGCCTCACGCAGGTAGATGCTATTTAAGTGCGAGGCAAAACAGCGAGTGCCAGGGCTGTGGAGGATGTCAAAGGCAAGCTCAACCCTGGAGCTCCAACTGTATCCTAGTGGAGATCAGCTAACTGAGCGCACATCAGGAATCAGCCTCACCACTTTCTGTCTGCCTGTATGGTTTTAAGCACCAGGCCACTGACTGCAAAACATTTGTGCAAGATTGATACTGTACTCTATGAGGACACAGAACAATCGGCCATTGATTTGCTCAATTAAAATACAAAAACACTTTTTTTAAAAAAACTGCCTTCTGTTGTAAACTTGTAACTTGTAAACCATTCAGTCTTTCCAGGCAGAAATCTCCCCACCTATCGCACTGATGCTGTGAATTACTTCAGTTCACGCACAGAACCACTTGTTTAATGACAACGCTGCATTGGTGCCTAACACTATAGAAGACATCCAAAGTTTTTCATAAAACTGGCTGCATTTGGTCCATAGAAGACAGTTCCTACACTCATTTTGTGCAGTTGTAACCAAGTTTGCGTTATTCTACAAGGTTATAAACAATTTATCAAAAGTCCCTGAAAGGTGTGTGTGGGATCCTCTCCCCCACCCCCGAGTCCGCTGTTCAAACTTATTTAAACACATCTACGGACAATATGCTTCCGTGGAAAATTAGTTACACTCAAAAATTACTCAATGTTGAAGCTGATTATTAGTTTCCTTTTCAAAGATCTGAATTTCCCTGCAGTTCTCTGAATGACAAAACTGGAAGTTACAAGACCCAATCTGTTAAGCAGTTTATTAACATGAATGATTGGGATCTATAAATATTCACTCTCACATCAGCGAAAATTATCCTGCAAATTCTCACCTAAAAATGTGCATTTTTGTGCAAAATGTGCAAAAAAAATTAAAAAGGCTACAAAAATACATTAAAAAGTATGATTTCCTCAGAGGATTTTAAACCCCATCATGAGTAAGATGCAAAGCAGAGCAGTGTTTTTTCTAACACTGAAATTGTATCTAATTTTAAACTTCATCTCGTCTCCATTCCCATTTACTAAAAAAAATCCCGATTTTCTTTTTAAAAATAACTAAAGAATGGAATATACATATTCCATCCTAAAGCAACTGGTGAGATCTGAAAGCCCATAAACTCAGACTTTAAACACACGAAAACCCCTGTAAAACAGCGCTTGTAAGCTAGAATAAAGAACCAAACGCTAACAGTTTTATGGGTATAGTTCACGTAGTTTATACAATTCCAAAATATTGGATTTTTAAAGTTGAATTAAGAATTTTAAAAAAAGCAGCAGCGAGACTTGTTAAACAACAGACAGAATGAGCTTTTGTCCTCACTTGATTCACGAAAGCCCCTGAAAGGATGCTGTGTTTGGTGAGTGCCCAAGGTTATAGCCTGCCCAGGAATCGTCGCCGCCACCAAATCAGCCACCTATTCACAAGCGCCATGCCAAATAACCCATCACCCAAAGGCAATTGATCTGTGAAAGATTAAGGTGTTTAGCCTCAAAATTCTCAATCGATCAGCAGCTACTCGTGTGAACTGTTCAGTTTCTCATCCCTTTATTGCCTATCCAACTGCCGGCAATATGGTTCAAGCAGCTCCTCTCTCATAACCGACAAAACATGAGCTGTGAGACTGAGTGAAGGTCCCGTCAGCTCCTGAGTACATACAGACACCTGGATTGTATTGAGCACTTTACAGAAGGTCGTTTACCTCGAGGTCACCTTTGGTAATGGACTCTTCCTCTACACGGAACTGGAGATCTTCCACTTTCCTGTTGGCAAAAGAGGAAGAAGTCAAGCCTCAAGTAAGGTGACCATCTCGCAATCAAATCCCGAGAAAGAAGACACTGTAACTGAGCACTCAGTAACAGGAGGGATGGAAAAAAAAGTGGGGAGAGAGCGAATGCTCTGAAAATAGACTCTTTAGCTCCTGTGTAAGTCAATTATAATGTTGCAAAAAGCATCCCTCTTTTAGGCATTTGCTGCTGTACTTTATCTAATGCTACTAACTTATTGGCTAACGCTTACTTACTTGAATGCAATTCATCAAAAACAAAGCACTTTAAAATGTCTTTGCTTTGGCATCCCACCTGGTTATCCAATCTATATTCCACCCTGCCCCCCGTTTATCAGAGGAAACAGTCAACAGACAACGAGTCACTCTCACAATGGGGATCAATTTCAGGAAGCTGTACAGATGGCCTCCTCCCTACGCCGACGGTACCTTTTTTCCTCCTCTAGCTGGTTGAGGAGCTCCACCTTTTCCCGATCAGCAGCCACGACCAACGCCCTCAGCTGGTCCATCTTAGCATCCATCTCCAGCACTTGCTGCACACATCACAAGAGGGAGAAACTGAAGAAAATTCATTACGTGGTTCCGAGACCGGGTTCCTGATAGATTTAATAACTGGCACAGAACACAGCAAACCACAAGCACTGCACTGGCTACCTTTGCTTATTGCAAGTCAAGTGAGTGGAAAGACAGAGCCCTTTAAACATCGCATTAATTTACCGGCTTGTTTAATAAGAATACACGGAACAATACGGATGCTGAATAACGCAGGAGAAGGTATTCATAAGTATCATTTTTCAGACCAATTACTGTAGATTCTTACTTTTTTGGGGTGGGGGGGTGCAGCCAGGTGTCTCACACATGCGGAAACCCATCATCATGCTTAAGACTCTCCAAACCAAAATGAGAATTCCATGCATCCAACTTCTACACATGGGAATTCCAGAGATAGATTGCTGGAATGGATCCATCTTATTTTACCTGTTCATGACCCGTCCTAAGTAAGGTGAGCTCGTGCTCCATCTCTCCTAAATGGCTGGTTGACTTGGCAAGTTCGGCTCGTTCCATGTCTCGCTCCGCCAGAAGCTGCTCAATGTGCTGCTGCTTCTCCTTCAGAGCCTCCTGCAGTGCAGTGGTTCCCGAAATCTTTCTGGCGTAGCGCGAGGACGTTTCCGTTAGCTGGGAAAATGAATAAATATTTTAAGTTTCTAGGTGGGATTAGATTTCTCTTTTCAACTTAAGAGCACCCTCTTCCCCCGCGTCCCGTCCCCTCCAACAGAACTATTCCCTCAAGCCTCCATGCAGCCTTGCTGCAGCGCAGAGGAACTGAGAGGAACAGAATCACTTCGGTTTGGGCCGTTGCTTACCAATCCTGTCCGACTGGGTCGACCACTGATGGAAGACGCGACAGAGCTCAGAGAGCTGATGGACGAGGCACTCGGACTGCGCTTGAGATTTGAAGGAGTCGCCACCATCTTCCGCACGGTTGTCTTGGCTTTCGCTGGCGTTGTTGATGGAAATCCAATTTTGGTTACTTTGTGGACTGGTGCAAACAGTCCGTACTTTGCCTGGCATTGAAAGTACCTGAGAAAAGGGCAAATCACATTCACTTGATCAGATTCTGTAAACTCACTCTTTACATTTGGTCGAAAAGACATTTTATAAACCTGTGAGCCCAAATCCCAAATGGGGACTCCTAGCAACTGGAAGAAGGTCTCACCAAGCCCACAGGAACAACGCTCTAATACTATCTTGCTCCAGAGGGCAGTGATGTACTTATAGCTACTAGAAGGAATCCCCATTTGTACCTCAAGTCTTTATTTAATCCTGCTGGAAACCACTGAGTTTTAGACTCAATTACAGTATTGCAACACTATTAATCCAAACCGTTTCCCCATTACTGAACTTGCTCGATATTGAATTACCGACGTGTCAACAACTGATATAATGAAAATCTGCAGGAAGAAACAAGCTTTCACTCTCAACTTTAACCAATGCAAATGATGTGAGACCAACCTGGTGCCAGCCACAGCCCCATCGTTCTTGCCAAGGGGCTCGTCCAGTTCCACTCCGCACCATTCTCCTTTGGCAAAGTCCGTCTCCCCTAAGAACCGCACGACACCCGCCTTCGTACCCCCAACCTACAGCAGAAATAATGCAAACGATCAAAATATTTTATTAAAATTATTTCATAATCTATCAAAAAAAATTTAACAAACCTATAAACTAAAAATGAAGTCATGTCTAAGGGGCATCATATTCCTAGCGAGCTGGTAGACAGAGTGGGAATAGATTCAGTGGCTCACAGAAATCATCAGCTTGATGTGGTGAATCGTCTTTCTGTGTTGCACATTCTACGTTTCGCCCACAAAATATACAGTTAATTAATTTTACAGTATATTTCGTGAAGCGCTTTGAGACGTTTCAACAATGTGAGAAGGCGCTATACCAAATACAAGGAATATTATTATTAGTAAAATAACATAGGTTTTGATTCTCTTCAATGAAACAATCAATTCTGCTTATAGCAAGGTCCCATAAACATCCATGAGTGACTAGTTTATGTGGAAGAATGTTAGGCTCAGACACTGGGAGGAACCAGGAGTGGTGCCAAGGGATCTTTAATGTCCACTTGAAAAACAGGCAGACATGAACAGCATATTAGTCCAGCATATTAGTCTTGCATCACATAAAAGGGGAGTTCAAGAGATAAAGAGCAGACAGAGCCTGGAGGAAAATAAAGAGCCATGCTCAGCAAGCTATTAATAGCCAGGGTTCCGCACACACGTTGGGGCTCTTGAGTACAAAATTTATTGTGAGAGGGTCTGAGAAACGTGAAAGACCAAATAAAGTACTGTAGTCTTGGGAGTATGTGCTCGGATTATTGGCTTCAGCGATTGGTTACACACTAGTGACCAAGAAGTTAGTCAGCATGCCGGAATTCTGTACTTGGATAAAGGCATTACATTTGGTTTAAGTCGCAGAGCTTTAAAGAATGCACAAAATCTTAAGAGAAAAAGGGCGCGTCTTATTCAAGTTTTAATTCAACCAGTGAAGTGGAGGCGTATCTAGAGTGGCTGATCAAAGACCTGAAATTCCACCTAGTTTTAACCTGCGAGACCATTTTGCAGTAAAAATTGTCAGAATTATAGAAAATTCTTAACTTTCACTTGCAAGGATGTCACGATTGACTGCAGTGCTTATGAATTATAGGCATGAACCGAGTCATGCAATAGATATACAGTACATTAAAGAAAATCTTAGCACTCCCCATCCCCCCAGAACAGCATCTCCTACAGTTACAGCTAATGTGTTGCGTGAAATCCGACTTCACTCATTTTGTGGGGGGTGGGGGGGGAAAGAGAAAAAAACAGACTCTTTAGAAAATTGATGTGCAGCTGATTTCTAACCATGCATTGAAGTTCTAATACAGAAACAACAACTTACATTTGTATAGCACCCGTCATGCAGGGTAGTGCCCCAAAGCACATCCTCCCCCCACCCACACAGGCACTTCTATTTAAATAAACAGGTACATTATGACCTTAAACGACTGACTAAAATCTGACCCAGCCGTTATCGACGCAGGCAGTACAGCAACTTGATGGGTATAGAGAGCCCCTGCCTCTTGGGTTTCCAATCGGGCTTTGATGTAGAATTCCAAATGTACAAGGTGTCATCCTGGTGTCACTAAGGCAGCTCAACTTACTGCAGAATCAGCAGACATGGGACCAAATGCAGTCATGCCGCAGCCAGCTTTCGATTTTCTCCCAGATTTACTCCATTAGCATTCAGAGGAGAGGGGCTGTTTGCTAAACCAATCCACAGCTACCCAGACTGCAGTCTAGCACTTCTCTCATTGAATAAGTGGATACTTCTTTGAAAAAACATCTACCTAATTAGATATCTACAATTTCAGTGTAACGACTGCAGTATGTATCAACTACTGTTCAATTTGCCCCCACCAAAAGCCTGCATCTTTGTTGTGCTGTCAGGCTATAACTCAAACTACTGCATTTGGCATTTTGCCAAACGCGGTAGCAAAGTTTAAACCTCTCTGTGACGCATATTTATTAAACGCAAGCAGAGATGAGAAATCGATTGTGGGATTCAACAACAGCTTGTGCTAATTATAATGTGTCAAAGCGATTTACAACATCAGGCTTTTGGGGAAATAGAAACATTAAGATATGGTGAGAAGGCAGGGGTTAGTTATAATATAATAATCCTTGCATTTGATATAGCGCTTTTCATGTCTGAGACGTCTCAAAGCGCTTCACAGAATATAATTGACTGTATATTTGTGGGCGAAACGTGGCAGCCAATTGCGCACAGCAGTATCCCACAAATAGTTGTGGATTGAAGTGACCAATTTACTATTTTTTTCTTGAGAGATTATTATCAGGCATGTGGAGTAAGGAAACTTGCCCAAGGTTTTGTCCTACCGGGAATCAAACCCAGATCACTCGCTTGCAAGGCGAGTGCTCTAACCACTGAGTTACAGAGGTGGCAGTACATTGTGCCATGGAATGGGATGTGGCAGAGCGGGCTAGGTGCCTTCTAGTTCCACATTTTGCTTTGTAAAGTCTTAGAACCTCTGGCCATGAGCCACTGTCAACTCCATGTGTGCGTGCCCATGTCAACACAATTACGCCTGCTCTGTCAGTAACGTCGGTAAGCCTGCAGTTGTAATGGAGAGACAATGATGTAACTGGACTTTTAATCAGTGAATCTTCAGCCCTCTAAGAAGCAATTAACATAACCATAGTAGGATGCCTTCAGTCATGTTCCAACAGTAACCAAGTCATTTGGTCAACCGCAAATAGGGTGGATTTTAAATCTCCCCCCCCCCTCCCCTTGCACCAGTCACAAATTAGTTGCACTCAAAAGAAACCCTATACTCTAGCCTGTTTCCATTGTGTCCATTATCAACTGGACTCTTATAAGAGTTTCAATGCTATCAGTGCAATAACAAATGCAAGGATTAGATAAACACGTGGCCATTGTGGTCAGATAAGTGGATTGGTGGAAGCTCTGTGAATGTACCTATCCAGGTCTGAGTGCCACATAAATCTCTCATTTACCATCAGGCTTTTAAACCCTACATAAACGCTGACTCAGAGATGCTGACTCAGTGATACTAACCACTGGTAATCCCTAGCATTTCATCAATCAGCAAATGGAGCATTAGAAAAACTGCACTATCAAATTCTTCGCGGATGAGAGAAGAATTTCTCCTCTCAAAGCATTAACTGTGAATTGTCTGTAATAGATACCAAGCAATGCTCAGCGATGGACTATAAAAAATTTACAGTAAATATTTTTTTCCTTTTAAAAAAATCAATTGGTTGATTTAATTTTTAAGGAAATTCCCTGAAGTAAATTCAGAGTTTCAGATTCTGGCGTTTCCCACAATTACAGAACACTACTGATGTCTGGCAATTTACTATCCATTTGCTACACTTCGCTCTGATCTATTGAGCACTGGCACCAATGCAACAACAACTTGCATTTGTGTAGCACCCTTCATGCGGGACAGTGTCTCAGAGCGCTTAAATGCCTCCAACATTCAACAATACACATTGGTGGATATATGGTATCCACCGATAATGGAACGAAACAGCTTCTGAACATTTTACTAGAGATTTCACCCATTTCCTTGATCGTTTCCCCACTATTATAGTATCACAATCTTTCAACACCTTTCTGACAGAATGCTATAAACAGCTGCGATACTAAAAAATGCCCAAACCAGCTGACTCAATATCAGTTAACTTTATCAGTAGAGCATTTACAGTGATCGATTTGAAGAGGTAGCAGTTCTGGTCACAAATGATACAGAAATTTTTTTTTCAATTGTTGCTCAAAATGTCTACTAGTTTAAGGACAATTTACCAGTGACAAATTCAGCCAAATGAGCAGAATACATTAATTCAGACAAAAGCTTTTAAATTGAACATCTGGCTTGCGACATTCAGCACCTATAGTAGTAGTCACCTGTGCACACTGCAGAAATGCAGGACTCAACTGAGAAAGACTGCCGGATAAAGCAAAATAATGCGTTGCAGTTCTGTCTGCAACAAGCAACCAGCAAAGCCTAATAATGTATGTAGTCTGTAATTAACCCTAATCTTAATTGGGATATTGTTCATATATTTTCAAATAAGGTAGTCAGTTTGATCCTGGCAACTCAACTAAACCCTCATTATAATGATGCAATGCACAGCGCAACTCTACTTTGCAATAGCTTCTATGACAACCTACACAAAGGCCGGGTCAATATCAAAACAGAGCCAAAACAGTCAAACCTAGTTATGGAAAGGCTCATAGAGACCCTTAAATCATCCATGTTTGGAGCTGCAGGTGCAATGTTATTGCCGCTATAACTCAGACTAAGGAAAATGTGTTAAAAACAGGTTTATTTCACAATCTCAATGTTGTTGTGGACCTTGTTACTGATCTGGGTGCTGGAGACTGAAAAATCTCTACCCAGTTCTAACAGGCGTGAACCTATGACTTGACATTGAGGGCGAAGTGCTTGACGAATTCCTCTGTCAAAACATGATGCTCTCTCACACACAGAGTGCTACAGCACAGATTTTGTTTATATATATTCAATCGAACAGTGATATTTTTCTCCATTTGAGCTACCTGGCTTAATACCACTGCTGCTCGCTCCCCCTCTTTAGCATCTTTCAAGAATTTATCCAATCTCCTTTAAAAATAATTCACAGACTCTCCGTCAACAACACTCTGTGAACACTTTCCTTCATCACTATGAGCGCCAGATGCTTCCCCATCCCCACCCCATACTCACGTTATTTAAAGAACTTTCTTTCAATAACATTATGTCCAATCTGTTAGTTCCAATATGAATTTATGCTACATTTCTCAATCATGGATACCATTAATCATTAATACCATCAAATACAGACACAGTCTCTCCATGTCTAAACACGGTGCAAGTGTCTCATCCTAAAATAACATTGAATTAATGCAACAACAAAATTTACCAAGACTCGGTCCGCAATCTTCAACTCGCGTTCCCCTTTCTTAACAGAACCGGCTTCCGAAAGGTTCGAGATTGATTCGCTTGCGGTTCTTAAGAGGTTGGTCATGGAGGAAGGTGTGGTGGTGTCCTGTGGTGCCTTCTGGGGGGTTGCAGTGGATGCAGCTGTACTGATTGATGCAGACGTTGGCGATGTGGCCCGGGAAGTGGACCCTGCAGGAGTCTGCGCCCCATTGGCTTCGCTGTCTGCTGTTTGTTTCCTGGAGAGTTTAGAAGGTCTCGTAAATATCCCACGCAGCGCCTCACACTGGAAGTACCGTACCCCCGCGACTGAACCGTCATTTTTGCCAATTGGTTCGTCCAAAACAATCCCAGCCCATTGGCCTGGGGCAAACTGAGTCTCGCCTAGGAACTGGATGAAGCCAGGCTTCGTACCGTTGACCCAAATCCGTTCTCCAATTCTAAAATCATCCACAAACTCTTCCTGTGCCTCTGTAGTGGATGAACTTGGTGGCGACTTCTCACCAGGTGATGATTTTGCTGCAGCCACTGTCGGCGCTGTTGAGGGAGAAAGGATAAACATTTCAGAATGGATTTGCAATGTTCCTCACTCTCTTCTTGTTCAGTCACACCTCACTCTTTGACATGCAAGAATCAAACCCAGTTCTTAAGAAGGAATTGCCTCCTCAACCTCAAGCTCCCCTTCCAACAGTGATGCCATTCCAGCTAAGGGGGAGAAACAGCTAAATATCAGAGTCAGACACCATGCCTTTCTAGCCCAGGGGTGACAAGTTGATTAAAGTAATGCCACTCCCAGCCTGGTTCAGATCAGGTAACATATCCCAACCCTGAGACTCCCCTAGGCTTTACAGCACTGGACCAAACTGAGCAGACTATCGAATGAACCATTCCATCGGGACACTTCAAGAAAACCTCCCAAAGTTTATAAAGTTTGGTCTTTTACCCATTTATTGCGCTAAGAATCACCAGCACAGCCAAGCGCAGCATGAATGCTGAAATACCCAGCATTCAGGTACGGCAAGCACAAGTTCATGGTCATAGTTCAGAGTAGGCACTGGACCACACTGGAAGCAGGTGACACCAAAGTTGTAATTTGAAAAGAAAACAGTAGTCAATGTAAAATAAACTCACTCAGAAGAAGAGGAGAGACAAAGAGTCCAGTACAGCCCGACTCGTTGCAAACAAGTCACTGAGGCTTTATCCCTCCCAACCACATCTTCCCTCACACCAACTGATCACATTCTGTGGGCCATCACTGCAGATCTACTCTGTCAGTCCATCTCCCCTCAATTATGTGTCTTAAAAGATTCTCAAGAATATTTCTTTGTTTGACACCACACAGAGAGAAAACAGAGATATGCACATACACAGGCAAACAGAGAGGGGGAGAGAGGGAGGGAGAGAGAGTTCATTTTATTGCATTTAATTAAAAATTATTGGGCTGAAAGTCACCAATCAACTGATTAAAGAATCACATTGAGCACTGAACCCCTCTCATTGAATAATAAATGAAAGGAGAATTGGAAAATATAATACTTGGCTTAATGCACAGGAATCATTGCTTTATAGTTCTTTAAGATCACCATTTGGCAACAAACTGGGCACTCCACCATTCTTTACTGCATACTCATTGCAGTGCAACAAATAGCGCACAAATAATACAATCCAATGGACTAGCAATTTTTGATGATACATTTATTAAATTCCAGCCACTGAAGAGTGGAAACATGTTAACATCATGACTGTACTGTATCACACCCTAAAACAATAGCTTGGGTTTGCAGTGCAAACAGCAGACCGACAAATTGAACAGCACAAAGCTGCAAAGACGGTAGAATAATCTCATCATAAATTTTGCCTTAGGAGCTTTGACGAGACGGTGCTTGAGAATTTAAAGAGACAATCTCACATAAAATAAATTGTTGGTGTTAAGTTAAGTATCCTTTGCAACAGATCTAGCTTAAAGCCGAGATTCTAATCACTTACTTGATGATTGAGAAGCACTCGTCTTTGCTGCGGTACTCCCTGACTTGGCAATCTTGTTCGGAGCCTTCAGCCCACTCGGCTTTAGGAGACTCATCCTCCTTCTCCCCCTCCCCTCTGTCTGGTTCCAGCCTTTGTCTCAAAACAGGGATGAGCTTTTCCCAATCATTGGTTTGCCTGCACGGCTTTCAGATCCCACCCGTCATCCGGCAAAACCTGGAGGGGGAGAGAGAACATTTCACAGGCTGTGGGGGAAAAAAATCTTCTGGCACCCACAGAAAAAAAAGGTACTGAATCATTGCAGCAAGCAGCCTACAGCACAGCTTCCTCCCGACAAAGCACAATGCTCCGTTCCACACACGCCTGAGCTCCTATCAATGCACTCTTCAAAGAGGTCCTCCTCCCCTAAACCATCTCATAAAAGCTTGTGAGTTTTTTTAAAAAAAATCTGAATCAATTATTAGGTCCCCAATTAATTAGTCATCATTTGTGGCCAGTGCAGAAATCATCATTTTAATAGTTTTCACTTCTCTGCGGTACAAGGTTAAATACACATGGATCAGTTTTAAAGATGTTCAAAAAACACACAGCTAAAATGCATATGGAATATTTTGGGTAGTTTCACGGCAAGTCTTTTGTCTGCCGCACAAGGCCTTTCGTTCCCTACGATTTATAGTCCCGTTTACACAGCGGATCACCAAACCTGGGGTGCCCTCTTTTGTTGGAAACACATAAAGCAGTTATTGGTAAAATTTATACCTTGCTTCTGAAATGAAAAGGCATCAAATAGACAATGGGATGCACTGAACCCATAGAGTTCATGTATTATTAATGATAAAGCTGCTGGCTCCCAGTAATTAATTGGCTGCAAAATGAAAACCCGGCATCTATGGTGGTTTCCCAAAGCATCAACAAATCATTTAAGGTTCTTCACACTACTCAGAGGTCACTGAACATCTAATGCAACTTTCAAAAGGGTGTTTAAAAAAAATCTCCACAAAACAAATTCATTCAAGGCAGCAGGAAGCCAATAAAAGCGAGGAAATAATTCTGTACGTGGTCCATGCGCGGAGTTTTCAAAATGAATGAATGAGTGCGGAGACCAATTTCGTATCAGATCGATGTCTGCCATCCATTTCACAGCATCCGTTCAACATTCACAGCAAAAACGAAGGTTACTGTAGAAACCTCAAGAGTTATTTGACATGCTTGCTCCAACACAAAGCTTGGCAATAAAGTGCAAATATGCACAGTTTTAAAGTTTCATTTGATTCCCAAGGTAAAATACTCCCAAATTTTCCAGTCCCATGTGAACTTTGATTATGTCTTGTAATTCTCTGCCTTCACATTGATATTCATTTACTAACATTCCAGAGACAAATCATGCAATGCAGAGTGAATGGAATTAAAGGTTTCTTTACAAATTCCCATAGTTAGCTTCACTAAACTCCCCCTGTGTCACATACCATTCATTGACCCAGACTAGACTCCCTTCTGTGCTGCTGGCAATGCCCAACAAAATAGCGGCAACAAATCCACTCCCTTTTCACCCATGTCCCTGATCCAGGAATTTTTTTCTCCTGCACCTTGTAATTATACAGTGCCTTTCCTGTAGAAGAAACTTGTTAAGTGCTTCACATAACAAGATTAATGAGATAGGATGGGAATTTTATGTGGGCAAAGGCAACAACTAATTTTCACCATCAACCTTCCACAAACAAGTTGCCAAAGGTTTTAAACACAGGATGAACAGAAGCCAGGACAACCAGGAGAATGTTTTCTACCCTAAGGAGATACCCAAAGTGCATTATCGATTACATCTATAAACACGGGCTTGGGGAGCACAGGCATTTAGGAAAATACATTTGTAGAGCGGAAGAAAAAAAATCTGTTAAAAAAGAAATTGACAGCTCCTCTCTGCAGAGAGAAGGGATGGAGTTGAACAGTTCTATGGCGAGATTGACATAGCGAGGCTGAAAATTCAAAATGGAACAGGACCGTCGAACAGAGCACTATGTCGGGCTGCCAAAAATTGTTAGGTTTTCACTTCACCCTTTACTTAAATGGAATATATATTTATTCACAGTATCCGATGATAAGCCAAACACAACATTTACAGAAAAGTAACCTCAGAATTTTACTCATACGTAAGCCTTTCCAATACTTCCACCTCAGTCATTTCCAGTATTATAGAATATAGGGTTTCATTTAGCTGGAACTGTCCTCTGTTATATCACCAAGTCATACATAAAATTATACAGCAGACATTTAATCTGATCGATAAATACAGAGTGAGTGGGAAAGTATCTGTAAATGGGACAGAAGAGGTTTTATTTAAGCTTTCCTGATTTTTAATATTAACTTCACACCTGTCACTTTACAGTATTGCCCATTGAAAACCTATCCGTTCAGTAAGACAGAGATCCAGTAACTGTACAGTGAAATAAAGCCCAGGCCAACAGGATAAAGTTTCTCTGCCTCTGACATAAGTAGCTTATACCTTAAATGGATCAAGTTGAGATTAAATAAAAGAAGGTAAAAGTAAAACCACTGTAGTGGAAGTGCAAAAAAATAAAACTAAAGTAATTTTACTTTAAAGTTTAGTGGGTCAGCCCAAGACATGTTGATGATATTCAGTGCTTCAAATTAAACTTTACTCTATTAGCTGTGCTACACTCTGATTAATTCAGACTGGCTCACAGATGAGGACTTATCCCTGAGTATAAATCATATCTTCAGGGGAAAATTTAAAGGATATCTGATGTACTGTATAGAGAAAGACACTTCTGTCAGGAACAGGGCAAATCCAATCTTCACACATGGGAGAGGCTCTGTGATTGATGTTAAGGGAGACAGCTACTAGAATTCCAGTTGGGAGATGGCAATGGCAGCAGTGAGCACATCAATTGAAAATGAGAAATATTCCATGGAGCCTTACCAAGAGTTCTCAATGTTCTGGAAGTGTTACAGGAGCTGCTCTCCAGTCATGTAAATCAACACAAAATACAAACTCTGGCTAAGATTTCCACAGGGAGACTTGTGATTGGCGTAAATATCAAGTAGCACTTTTATCCAACCATAAACTTACAAGTGTTTACCCTCTTCTTCCCTGTTGTCAGATCTTCAATCCACAAACTATGAGGAACAGTCGCTGTTGAAACTGTTTGAGTGCTGTCTGCTGGATCCAACAGCTCAGCAGTTGTATTAAAAGCGAAGTGCAAAAAAAAAGCCAACTTCCAGGTCATTAGATCGCTGCTGTCACTTCCTGCAGGAAGTGTGCAGGAACCACAAATTCTTTGCGAAGTGGCACCACAGTAAACTAAGGAACCAAATGGCAACATAATAGAGTTCTACTGTATATGTCAATTTAGAAACAGCGATTAGTTGTGAAGTGCTTTGAGACATATCAATGCTATAGGTGCTATATTAAATGCAAGGATTACTCACCATTTTAAAAACTAAATTTAATTTAAATTTAACTAAATTAGTAAAACACCCCAATCAGGAGGCGAGAGATTATGTAAAATATTTGGTGCAGTGTAAAATGGGCTTGCCAACTTCCAACAATCTCACATTTCCACCTACAAACCGAGAATAGCTATTCTGCTTAGTCATTCGCCATAAACTCTTCTAACACTTAAAATCCCTCCATTTTCTCTTCAGCCTACTTACAGACTGCAGCCAAAAGGGAGCTTAGGCAATCCTCTTCAACTATCCTGTGAACCATCCAATTTAATCAGCATTACTTGTTAATACCTTTCTATGCTGTAGGGTGCTGGGAACTTGTCCTCCCCTTGTACTGTACATATTCGTTCACTTCAAATATTACAAACCATTTAACTGTTGAATGTGCTAAGAATCTCCTTTTCTACACAGGTAGCACTTTAAATACATTCCTACAACAAGCTAATAAATAAAGCTAGCTTTGCAGGACAAGCAACAGCAAATGACCAGAGCCCATTGGGTGCAAACAAAGTGTGGCTGTTTTGATAATAATAATACTTGCATTTGATACAGTGCCTTATGTTGTTGAGCTATCTCAAAGTGCTTTGCACTAATATGTAAACCACCATCAAAAACTCACCAACAGAATTTCAACCACTTTCGTATTTAACAATAAGAGCATCTTACTGAATATTAGTCTTACCAATGAGTGAAGGGGGAAATAGACTAATTAACGAAGCAGCGAGTCTGTCATCTAAATCGGGACGTAATGAGTATAGGAAGAGGCAGCCTCAGAGTACCAGGTTACCCAGGAAACATTCATTTGATACCAGTCTGTTTAAGAAGCAGCGGGTAAGAAGTCAAACCCATCTGAATATTAGGTTACCTGGGCGACAGGATAAATATATCAGTAGTAGAATTTTGGAAAACAAAATTTCACCAAATCTGCAGGACATAGACATTGCTATTGTCAACAAACAAGGAGCCATTCAGTCCATTGTCTGCACCACTGCTAACTGATCACCCTCATTATATACCAATGCAGTCACAGACCGATTTAGTAACACATACAATAAAATGGGCAAGAAAGTTTCAGTGCTCTCTGAACCAGCTCAGACTTCGACAAAACAGCTATTGAACTTTGGACAAAACACAAAATACTGCAGATGCTGGAATCTGAAACAAAAACAGAGAGCTGGGAAAACTCAGCAGGTCAGGCAGCATCTATGTAGAAAGGAAAGTGAGTCAACGTTTTGGGTCCAGTTCTGATGAAGGGTCGTGGACCTGAAATGTTGACTCACTTTCCTTTCTCCATAGATGCTGCCTGACCTGCTAAGGTTTCCCAAATCTCTCTGTTTTTGTATTGAACTTTGGGTTTGGTCAGAAATTGCAGCAACTCCGAATGAAAGTGTAAGCTAATTATACAATATTGGTTTTCTGGATGATCACTGTACAACAAACATGCTAACCACCTGATGACACAGGAAGGACTGGACTCAAATTACTGCTCGCAATCCAAGCTATTCTGCAAGATAATAAACGTATCAGACTTCAGCTCACAAACTGCCTCTGGGACACAACAGTAAATGTAAATGGCAGGGAGATCAAATTCACTTTGGGAGTATTGATCTGCACTGAATTCAATCTCCTTTGTCAGAAGCACCAGTCTGAAGGGTCCTGAACTGGAACTATTTACAAAGTCGTACCACTGACATTCAAAGTGTCCTGATAGCCTATTTGAAAAGTAGGAAACAAATGCAAAAGCGATTTGG